CTTTGTTCCAGAATACATAGCTAGGGGGAAAGGTTGGATTACCTTTTAATAAGTAGTCTTATACCGAATAATAATGTTGCTTGGGGCATTTAACCCCTTCACATGTTGGTCTATAACTTTTTTTAGATATTTTTGATTTTATTTCCTGAGATTTTAAAATTTGAATCTACTGGTGTTTCTTCTTAGAGAGCAAATGATCTCTTGTATTATTATTCCACAGTGACAGACTGCTGAACACAGCACAAATACTAAGCAAACTAGGAGGGCTCTGGGCATTGATGACCTGAGAGATTTTCGGAAGTGCAAACATAAGCAAGAGACTTATAATGTTCAGTAACCGTAGTTGCTTAGATCACAATATATAAACCTGCGAGAATCATAATATATAGCAGAATAAGACATTTCAGTTTTGTAGGTTTTGCACAAATAATGAGATGAGATTTATGGAGTTTGGCTCTGACTATCTGGCTAAGTATCTAATCTATATACTGATTAGTCACAATATTAAAACCACCTGTCTAATATCATACAGGGAGTGCAGAATTATTAGGCAAATGAGTATTTTGACCACATCATCCTCTTTATGCATGTTGTCTTACTCCAAGCTGTATAGGCTCGAAAGCCTACTACCAATTAAGCATATTAGGTGATGTGCATCTCTGTAATGAGAAGGGGTGTGGTCTAATGACATCAACACCCTATATCAGGTGTGCATAATTATTAGGCAACTTCCTTTCCTTTGGCAAAATGGGTCAAAAGAAGGACTTGACAGGCTCAGAAAAGTCAAAAATAGTGAGATATCTTGCAGAGGGATGCAGCACTCTTAAAATTGCAAAGCTTCTGAAGCGTGATCATCGAACAATCAAGCGTTTCATTCAAAATAGTCAACAGGGTCGCAAGAAGCGTGTGGAAAAACCAAGGCGCAAAATAACTGCCCATGAACTGAGAAAAGTCAAGCGTGCAGCTGCCACGATGCCACTTGCCACCAGTTTGGCCATATTTCAGAGCTGCAACATCACTGGAGTGCCCAAAAGCACAAGGTGTGCAATACTCAGAGACATGGCCAAGGTAAGAAAGGCTGAAAGACGACCACCACTGAACAAGACACACAAGCTGAAACGTCAAGACTGGGCCAAGAAATATCTCAAGACTGATTTTTCTAAGGTTTTATGGACTGATGAAATGAGAGTGAGTCTTGATGGGCCAGATGGATGGGCCCGTGGCTGGATTGGTAAAGGGCAGAGAGCTCCAGTCCGACTCAGACGCCAGCAAGGTGGAGGTGGAGTACTGGTTTGGGCTGGTATCATCAAAGATGAGCTTGTGGGGCCTTTTCGGGTTGAGGATGGAGTCAAGCTCAACTCCCAGTCCTACTGCCAGTTCCTGGAAGACACCTTCTTCAAGCAGTGGTACAGGAAGAAGTCTGCATCCTTCAAGAAAAACATGATTTTCATGCAGGACAATGCTCCATCACACGCGTCCAAGTACTCCACAGCGTGGCTGGCAAGAAAGGGTATAAAAGAAGAAAATCTAATGACATGGCCTCCTTGTTCACCTGATCTGAACCCCATTGAGAACCTGTGGTCCATCATCAAATGTGAGATTTACAAGGAGGGAAAACAGTACACCTCTCTGAACAGTGTCTGGGAGGCTGTGGTTGCTGCTGCACGCAATGTTGATGGTGAACAGATCAAAACACTGACAGAATCCATGGATGGCAGGCTTTTGAGTGTCCTTGCAAAGAAAGGTGGCTATATTGGTCACTGATTTGTTTTTGTTTTGTTTTTGAATGTCAGAAATGTATATTTGTGAATGTTGAGATGTTATATTGGTTTCACTGGTAATAATAAATAATTGAAATGGGTATATATTTGTTTTTTGTTAAGTTGCCTAATAATTATGCACAGTAATAGTCACCTGCACACACAGATATCCCCCTAACATAGCTAAAACTAAAAACAAACTAAAAACTACTTCCAAAAATATTCAGCTTTGATATTAATGAGTTTTTTGAGTTCATTGAGAACATGGTTGTTGTTCAATAATAAAATTAATCCTCAAAAATACAACTTGCCTAATAATTCTGCACTCCCTGTATAGGTCCCCTCATGCTGCCAAAACAACTCTGATTCATCATGGCCAGCATTACGATTTTCAGCAATTGGAGCTACAGTATTCGTCTTTGTGATTGGACAAGACGGGCTAGACTACGCTCCCCTGCGTGCATCAGTGAGCTCTGGACGCCCATGACCCTGGTCCAGCATCCGTTTGTCCTTCCTTGCAACACTTTTGGTATGTAGTAACCACCCCACTTGCCGTATTGGAGATGCTCTGACCCAGTCGTCTAGCCATCACTATTTGGCTCTTGTCAAAGTCACTCAGATCTTTTTTGCTTGAAAGTTAATCAAAGTTATTCACTTCAACTGTCAGTGGTTTTAATGTTGAGGCTAATCAGTGTATATCTCACTTATCAAGGTTGACCTCTTTTATCTATCAGCACAGGCTGAGACAGGAAAAAGGTCTACAGGCACATGGTCGGTGTTATATCTTCTTAATCCCTCTCTTGACTTGGCAGAGACAAAAAGAAAAGTAGAGACAGGATATGACATTTAGAGCTGTGCAAAGGTTGAAAAGGAGTACTCTCGTATGTTATTGCTTTGGATGAGAGTTGGAAGAGCAAAATTTAAAAATTTTACACAGTATCAAGCATGTTTAAAGGGACACTCTATGCACACTGTAGTGGTTAATGTGCTAGGAGTTCCCTGGAGGCCTCAGTGTAAATTGTCAATCCAATTGTGAACCATTCCTCACATGTCTGCAGCCAGAAGTGAGAGCCAAAGCTCCTGATAGGAGCTTCTGATGGATTTCCTGAACTAAGCCCTGGCTAAGCCTTGCAGTGTAGAGCCAGCTTAGTGGTTGATAGCATCAGCTGATCACTGTCAGCCAATGATCTAAGCCATGAACCGCTAAGTGTGGCTCTGTGAAGAAAGCTTTACCTCTTTACTGAGCAGCGCCTGACTGTTTGACCACAAAGTAATAACTATAGACTGTACAACACTGCACTGTAATGGTTATTTATTTAAAGGACCACTATAGTACCAGGAAAGCAAACTCATTTTCCTGGCACTATAGTGCCCTGAGAGAGCCCCCACCCTCATGGCCCCCCTCCCCCTGCCGGGCTGAAGGGGGAGGAAGGGGTTAAATCACTTACTTTTCTCCAGCGCTGGGGACTCTCCTCCTCCTTTGGTCGTCATCGGCTGAATGTGCGCGCATTCAGTCAGTCCATAGGAAAGCATTCTCAACGCTGGCGTCTTCTCACTGTGAAAATCACAGTGAGAAGCGCGTAAGCGCGTCTAGCGGCTGTCAATGAGACAGCCACTAGAGGCTGGATTAACTCTAGTGTAAACATAGCAGTTTCTCTGAAACTGCTATGTTAACAGCTGCAGGGTTAACCCTAGATGGACCTGGCACCCAGACCACTTCATTAAGCTGAAGTGGTCTGGGTGCCTATAGTAGTCCTTTAACAATTCTTATATTTTACAATTTTTACAAAAATAACATTGGTAATTATAGAAACAGGAGATCAATATTTAGTCGCCCTGACACAAAAAGTGAAGAGAACTCTGCTTATGAGCTTCCAAACTAGAGGGGAGCTTGTACATTGAAACAAAAGATTGTGGGGAGAAAATACAACTGTGAAGTAACAGTCTACAATTGTGCCAATATAAGGAGTACTTTTTGCTTCGCTTGGAATGGTCCTTTAAACACGCGCTTGGAATGTAGTTTCATATGGATGTGTTTCTGGTACCCTCAAAAGTGTGACCAGAAAAAGACGAGAGACAGGCGAGAAAGGGACACAAAATTGGGACTGTAAAACCACATATTATTACCAATGCGACAACCTCAGCCAGACCTATAAATTACAGGCATAATGCATGTTTAAGACCTTATATAGTCCCGCATTATTTTCTCATTAACATTACTACTGCATTATCACAATCACACAAGCCGAGCTAACCAGAGCTAACCAGACATAGCGACATCCCTTAAAACATAAAATAAAGCAGACATGTGTATCAAGGTTATAGGTTTTTGCAAACGTATGAATACTCGCTGATATATTATTCATCCTTTTCTTCCCTTCTGTAACGAACTTATAATGCTTCAATAAAACAAAGATTTACAAAAAAAAATAAAACATTGGGACTGTTTCTTTTGGGTCTGTGGTTGCACTGAAGGGGAGAGTAGTTTTGGTCACGGTGAACTGAGGCCAACTGTGTTCCAATTACATTTTTATAGCTACAACTCTGATTGTGGTGGCCAAAGGAGGAAGGTATAATGCATTCCAGACTCCCCCCTGCCTGCCCCCCCCAAAAAAATCACACTCACTAAGCAACTTAAGCACGATAACTTAAAGGACAACTGTCACCACAATTATATATAGAATTCTTTTTTTATATATATATTTTATATATATATATATATATAATATTCCTTACTCCCCCCAAATATTTTCTTATATATAATATTTGTCTCTTCAACTATTTAAAGGTAATGGATTTTTGTTTTGTTTTTTTAAAAATGATTCAATCAATACACAACTTCTACACAATAACACAGTAAATAAATAAGAAACTCGCCCCTACGTTTAGTATATGACAGGGTCCTTCAGCCATATACATACACTTTGGGTCAGACAATGTTTAAAAACCCACCAAAAAATGTCAATGAAAAATGTGACCGTTTTAATTATTTGTCATACTAAAATAAAGTGTTTAATTGCTGCTGGTTAGTTTATTTAACCTTGTTTCTTCCAGAATTATAAAGTCAATGAGATGGATTACTAAACCATTGCACAACAACAACAGCTGTTACTTAAAGGGTTAAGAAATTCCTGTCCAGTTCTAGCAGTGAAAGAGTTAATAAACTGCCCCCTCCCTGTCTTGTACTAGTGTGCCACTCTGGGTTCTGTGAGTAAAATTCTCCTTAATCTGTCAGTCCCACCCAGGGGGTGTGTGCAGGACACACTGTATAAAAGTGCACAGCTATAGATAGGATATTATCCTAATACTAGGAAGGGATCTCTTGCTGTGAATTGAACCATGGCTGAAGGTAATGTACATAGACAGACACTGTCAGCTAGGAATTTATAATATTTACATTTAATAAACTATATATAAATAGTCCTACTCTCTGTTCTGTATACTTATTGCAAATCACATGAAATGCATGCAAAACTATTCAGTTAACACACAACTTCTACACAATGACACAGAGTTAACACACCCAGTGTGCACAGCTGCTGTTGTCTGAGTCACACTAATAACTGTTTTGTGTGTAGAACACAATGTTAATAATGACTGCACATGGCTAGTAGTGTGTCACAGCTTTGTATACTTGTATCACTATGTATATGCCCTGTACACAAACTACTGTGTCTGTTATTAAATATGCATTTATTGCATGTCCTTCAACACACAGTGTATAGGTAGTACAGCTTTCAACAAATAGTTACCTGTATACCCCGGTGTATTTTGCAAACCTCAGAAGTAAATGTAAGCCCTTGTAAATATATCTGTGTCTAATGGTTATATATTATTATTATTGCCATTTATATGGCGCCAACAGATTCCGTAGCGCTTTACAATATGTAATTGTATATATATGTGTGTTAATCTCACAGTATTTTGTATCTTCCAGTAAATAACGTTTCCCTTATAAAATACTGTTTATTTGTTCCAAAATAATGTATATTTTGTGTATGTGTTGTCTATAAATTCACCATATTCCAAAACGCAATGTGTTGAGATAGAGAGTATTTTTTGTTTGTTTGTGTGTGTATTTTGTCTGGATATATAAGGGCATATATTTCACCAAATAATTGTAAAGTGCTATATTGCGTGCGTTGGTTACATCCAATTTCTGTGCCCCATTCATCCAGTAAAGGTTTGTAGAAAGTATCCGTCCCCTCGGGCAGTTAATGATGTGAATGTATTGAAAGCAGATGTATTGTGGGATACGGTCCCTGCTCGGGATTGAAAACAAAACTAAGTTTGACGAAGAGTTATTTTAAGTTTGATGAAACCTCTCCAGGCTAATATAATTAATTATCATACAGAAGATATTACTTTATTCTACAAATAAGATCCTGATGTTGGTGTTAAAAAAATAGTTACTTGTTAAATGTCTTTTCTTTTTTTTAGATTTTTTTTTTTTTTTGGCACTAGTATTAGGCAAGTTGGTTTGTTATAAATTGTGCAAATGTATTGATAAAATAGTAACAATTATTGCAAGGGGGTTTTGTGTCGTTGTGGCTTGTGTGTCCCTCACCCTAATCTCATTGAGAAAGTAAACCTTTTTTTAAAGAGACGCCTAAAGCTGCATGTGATACAAATTTGTATGTGTTACTTAGGCAATGCTTTAAAATACATTCAGAAACAAATATATATTTAAAATAATGAAAAACAGAAATAAAGTTACTCAGATTTCATGTTCCGCTATTTGCTGCAAATCTTCATGGTTTGCAGCTACCACAGTGAGCTCTCACTCTCACCAAAATGACTATCGAGCATAATAATTGCTTAGTTTCCAGTAACACTGCTGAGCATATCCAAAAAGTAGTGCATTAAGGTGCACACTAAGGGTTTCTGGGAATTGTAGTTAATAGATATGTGCAATTCGTTTCGTTCCGAATGTACGTTCGTACGAATTTCATGCCATTCGGATGATTACGAATACCCGAAGCGCCCAGGGGCGTATTAGCCGCGAGGCAAACAAGGCATTTGCCTTGGGTGGCATTTTTCAGGGGACGGCAAAAAAGCCGCCCCCAAATGCCCAGGGCAAATGCCTAGTTAGCCTCGCGGCTAACAGACATGCCGAGCGGGCAGCGCTGGGCGGGCGGCCGGCGAGGGAGCTCTTCCCCTGAGCGCTCTGCTCAGCTCCCTCGTGCACCTCCACCAACAGAGTGAGGCCGGGAGCCGGAATATGACGTCATATTCCGGCTCCCGGCCTCACTCTGCTGGCGGCGCGCGAGGGAGCTGAGCAGAGTGCTCAGGGGGAGAGCTCTCTCGCCCGCCCAGTGCCGCCCTGCAGCCACTGGACCCCAGGACCCCAGGGAGAGGAAGAACTCCCCCAGCATTCCCAATGGTAAGGAGGTTAAATTAAAAAAAAACCATAAATGAGTGTGTTAGTGTGTGTGTGTCTGTTAGTGTGTGTATCTGTTAGTGTGTGAGTCTGTTAGTGTGTGTATCTGTTAGTGTGTGTGTCTGTTAGTGTGTGTCTGTCTGTTAGTCTGTTAGTGTGTGTGTGTCTGTTAGTGTGTGAGTCTGTTAGTGTGTGTCTGTTAGTGTGTGTGTGTGTGTGTCTGTTAGTGTGTGTCTGTGTGTTAGTCTGTTAGTGTGTGTGTGTCTGTTAGTGTGTGTGTCTGTTAGTGTGTGTGTCTGTTAGTGTGTGTGTGTTTGCCTGCTAGTGTGTGTGTGTTGCCTGTTAGTGAGTGTGTGTTTGCCTGTGAGTGTGTGTGTCTGTTAGCTAGTGAATGCGTATCTGTCAGTGAATGTGTGTGTGTGTATTTAGAAGGCGGAGCAGGGGGGAAGGGTTGGGTGGCGGTTGCGCGGGTGGGGGTAGCGTGGGGGGGTGCCTGAGTTTTGTCCTGCCTAGAAGTGACGAAGTTCGGTAGTTCGGAAGTGCTGAAGCTCCGAAGTGATTCGGATTTCTGAAATGTGGCAAAACAAGAGAGAGGGAGGGAAAATTACGAAAATGATGACTGGAATCTTGACCAATAAGCTAATTCCTTTTGTGCAATGTTATGCTTGCTTGCCCAATCCAGTTTCACTATTCCCTGTCCAATTAAATGAGCACATTTTTGTGATTGATGTTAGAGGACAGCCAATTAATGGTGATTTTGTCACTGACACTTGGCCAATGAAGGCACATAGAGTCAATGAGGTGGGATAGCATATAAATCAGGCTGTCAGGGTGTTGGCCTGCATTCATGTGACCAGACTAGTTGTGATAGCATTCTGCATTTTGTTTCTTATTTTGAAGGGGCGGGGGGAAGGAAGAGTGTATGGCTGTGCATGCCAGGTAGCCTGATTGCCAGGGTGTCTCTCTGCTGCACTGTGACTTTACTGCAGTGATTAAATTTGTGTACCAGTCATCACTTGCTCTCACTTTGCGCTCTCTCTCTCACACACTCTCACTTGCTTGTTCACACACAAATTGCTTTCTCTCTGCTCACTCTATGCTCCTAAACTCTCCACAAAGATGGTGTCACAGGGGTGGGATTATATAGTGTGCAGAAGTGTTGCATGCTGGTAGTGCTCCCTGATTGGCTGCACTATCTGTGCAGTGCACTATCATTGTGCACTAACTGTGCAGTGAGACGAGCAGATACAATGGTTGGAAGTACAAACCAACACGTATCCCCATTGTTCTAGAAGAGATTGGCGCTCATATTCAATCAGATTAAAAACACAACTTTTATTTAACCTGTAGAATTTGCTATTGCCTACAAAGTAACCTTTCCACTTTAATTTATTTAGGAAATGTTGATCTGGCACAATACATTGAGAACATTTGCAAATACACAACATATTTCTTTTAATCCAATACACAACAAACATAATTTATTACACTTCTGGCTTGCTGATACAGAGTACAGAGTTCTTCTGTTTATAGATTTTTCAACTTGAGAAAGATCTAATATTTTTTGGCATGCACATTCCATAGTTGCCAAGTTCTGCAGATTAGTAAATTAAAGGGATACCATAGGCATTAAAACAACTTTAGCATAATGAAGAAGTTTTGGTGTCTAGATCATGCCCCTGCAGTCTCACTGCTCAATTCTCTAAATCACTTTTGTTTCTGTTTATGCAGCCCTCGCCACACCTTCCCTGGCTCTGACTGACACAGCCTGCATAAAAAAAATAGGTTTATTTTATAACCTTAATCAGATGTTAACTTACATTAGAAATGTTTATCTCCTGTTCTATAAATTGAACTTTAATCTCACACAGGAGGTTCCTGCATGGTCTAGAAGGCTTTTAACAGATCGGGAGATAAGAAATTCTAAATTAAACAAGCTGTGCAATAAATGAAGTTTAAATATTAGACCTCTCCTTACGGAAAGTGTTTAGGAAGGCTGTATAAGTCACATGCATGAACATGTGATTAGAGCTGCACAGACAAAGTGATTAAACTAAATTGCAGAGAATTGAGCAGTGAGATATCAGGGATACCAAAACAGCTTCATTAAGCTAAAGTTGTTTTGGTGCCTAGTATCCCTTGTAAGTGCTAGAAATTGGCCAGATGTTGTAGGAAAAGGGAGGTGTGTGAAACTGTGGTGAGTGTAATAGAACAGTAATGGCGAACGTTTTTTAAGCCCGAGTGCCCAAACCGCAATACAAACCAACTTTTTTTTCCTCAAAGTGCCAACACAGCAATTAAACCTGAATGCTGAGGTTTAAGTTTAGAAAAAACAACTCGTACAGTTGCCCGAACAAATTAACATATTTTGTTTTAAAAGCAGAACACAACAACAGAGAGTTCAATAATACAAATTGATTTTTATTGAAAAAACATACATTTTAGTAAATGAAAACACACTGGTGTTCGGTGGTGCTTCACCTAACTAAGGACCTATTCCCACCTATCCACCTGCAGTTTGTGCGCATCTTACATGCTGCTTTGGCACAGTTTACATCAGAATTATACCCATCCGGTTTTAATGGAGCTTTGTATGTATGTCAATGGACATGCATTTTCATCAGGTTTCTGTCAGTCCGACTGCACCAAAACTGAATGTAAACTGTGCCAAAGATGCGTACAAGGGGATACTCAACTTGTAATATGATTACATGCCAGAATGAAATTGTATGAGGAGCATCTCCTCCTCCTCTCCCCCCAGCATATTCTCATCTCCCCCAACTCTTCCTTCTCCACTCCCCACAGCATCTCCTCCTCCTTTCCCCCAGCATCTCCTCCTCCTCTCCCCCTCTCCCCCAGCATCTCCCTCTCTCCCCCCAGCATCTCCTCCTCCTCTCCCCCCAGCATATCCTCCTCTCCCCCGGCTCTTCCTTCTCCTCTCCCCACAGCATCTCCTCCTCCTCTCCCCCTTTCCCCCAGCATCTCCTCATCCTTTCCCCTAGCATCCAATTCCATTCCACTGCTGTGAGGGGATATGAGCACGAGGGAGCACTGACTTACCTGCTGTTCCAGCACTGCTTCCTCTACTGATGCTGCAGGGAGACAGTAAATGATGTCAATCAGGCGCCGCTGCTGCCTGATACATGTAATTTCCTGTCTCCCGGCGGCATCAGCGGAGGGCATGGAGGGAGCAGTTCTGGAACAGCAGGTAAGTCAGTGCTCCCTCGCAGCCCTCATTCCACCCAACCACCAACGATACGAAAGCAGAGTAGGTGCCTGCTGTTTTGGGCGGGCAGGTGCCTATTCTGCATTGCCGCTGGGGGGGCCTAAGGCTGCCGACCGATGCCTCCCAGCGACCTATGGCTGTATGCCCACAGAGAGGCCTTGGCGTGCCAGCTATGGCACGTGTGCCATAGGTTCGCCATCGCTGTACTAGAGGGTACTAGTTAAGAAAAGATTGGAGAATGGTACATCTGAAGCTGAGTGTCAGGCAGTTTACCTTTATTGAAATGTGAAAATGTAATACATAGTAATTCAGAGTAAAATGATGGATGTATAGATGCAAACACTATTTCTAAAAGACAGACATTTTAAGGATAAAGCTTGATATAATTTATAATTATGAGAGATCGGGGTCTCTCCACAAACCAAGATATTTGTAGATGTTAGTTGGGGCAAAGTTGAATTTCGCTTTAACTTTCTTCAAAGCGCACTTGAGACTGTTTTGTAGGTAGCTCTAGATGTGTCTGAGCAATAAGGAAGCATGTGTTTTTGAAGATCAAACGTTCATCCTCTAAAAATACTGCTGTAATAAAGCCTTGTTCTATAGGGTATGTTTGGTTTCAAAATCCAGATTATGGATAATCTATCCAGAAATATTAAAAGTACCAGAATGGAACATTGTGTGAGAATGGAACTTTGATGGAACTAGAACTGTGAGGACTCCATATCTATAAATCATCTTTATCAAGTAGATGTTAACATGCATTCAAACTAATTAGATACCACTGTTCTGTGTGGTGTACCATTTAGATGAGCATATGTACACATGACTCAGATTTATCATAATTTATCTGTGTTGTAAAACACACATTAACCCATACATTGCATTGTTCAGTTTGTGTTGTATACTGTGGTTTAAGTTTCAATGCATTCTTTGTGGTAGCCACGGGCACACTAAGTGAAGCTTCTACAATCATCTGGAACTGTTTCTCTGGTTCTAAACAATTTCAGAATATTTCTCTATCAATGCTAACACTGACAATCCTAAACTTTTCCCTGTAAAAGACCTCATGGAGCCTAAATCATTAAAGGGACACTATAGTCACCAGAACAATTACAGCTTATTGAATTTGTTCTGGTGAGTAGAATCATTACCATCAGGCTTTTTGCTGTAAACACTGTCTTTTCATAGAAAATGCAGTCTTTACATTACAGCCTAGTGATAACTTCACTGGCCACTCCTCAGATAGCAGTTAGAGATCCTTCCTGGGTCATGGCTGCCTAAAATGCATCCAAACATTCAGTATCTCCTCCCTCTGCATGCAGACACTGAACTTTCCTCATAGAGATTCATTGATTCAATTCACCTCTGTGAGGGGATGCTGATTGTTTGAATTGTGCTGGCTCTGCCCCTGATCTGCCTCCGTGTCAGTCTCAGCCAATCCCATGGAGAAGCACTGTGATTGGATCATGTCACCACTACTGATGATGTCAGCAGACAGCTTGTTTTTCTGAGGCAAACAGCATGCAGAGCTACAGCTTCTGGCTTGAATACAGTAAGATGTTCCTATATTTATGGAGGCATGAGGGGCCCAGGGGGGCTAGATGGTGGTTTTAACACAATAGGGTCAGGAATACATGTTTGTGTTCCTGACCCTATAGTGATCCTTTAAAGTTAAAAAAACAAAAATAGAGACATGTGCACATCTCCCCACTTTGGTCTTGCAAAACCTTTTGGATGTTTAGTGAATACTTTGAGATCTGTGCACCTGTGAATGTATCAAACATCCAAAATTATCATTATGTGCAAACAACATGTGTGGATATTTTTAGCAATGCATCTAGCCTTCAACACCATGAATTGGTGCAGAATGTTTCCAGCAAATGGAAACATTATTCTTTGATACATGTCCATTAATATGTTTTAAGATGATGGAGAGCTAGCAATGTATTCTTTCGTTCCACACATTTGTTGTGAGAATTTCCCCACATAGGAATTTAGTTTAAAAATATAACAAACGCGACTGACCTTGATAAATTTCTTTCATCTCTGGGAAATGATGCCAGGAATTGGCGTTGGAGATAGGATGCACACTCTGCCCACTCCCTGCTCCCACACAGAGGAATGTGTAAAGTATTTAGTGGTGACAAGTGACAAAAGTGATGAGGGATGGGGTTGGAGAATAGGCAAACAAAATAATAAATGCGGTCTATTGTACCTTTAAATATATATATTTTTCATGGTCTTAAACTCTTAAGGATCAGTGGAGAAATAATTAAAAATTCTATGTTAATATAGAATGCCAGAATGTGATTGCAGGACTGTATAGAATGCCAGAATGTAATGATTGCAGGACTGTATAGAATGTCAGAATGTAATGATTGCAGGACTGTATAGAATGCCAGAATGTAATGATTGCAGGACTGAATAGAATGCCAGAACGTAATGATTGCAGGACTGTATCGAATGCCAGAATGTAATGATTGCAGGACTGTATAGAATGCCAGAACGTAATGATTGCAGGACTGTATCGAGTGCCAGAATGTAATGATTGCAGGACTGTATCGAATGCCAGAATGTGATTGCAGGACTTTATAGAATGCCAGATTGTAATGATTGCAGGACTGTATCGAATGCCAGATTGTAATGATTGCAGGACTGTATCGAATGCCAGAATGTAATGATTGCAGGACTGTATAGAATGCCAGAATGTAATGATTGCAGGACTGTATCGAATGCCAGAATGTAATGATTGCAGGACTGTATAGAATGCCAGAATGTAATGATTGCAGGACTGTATCGAATGCCAGAAAGTAATGATTGCAAGACTGCATCGAATGCCAGAATGTAATGATTGCAGGACTGTATAGAATGCCAGAATGTAATGATTGCAGGACTGTATAGAATGCCAGAATGTGATTGCAGGACTGTATCGAATGCCAGAATGTAATGATTGCAGGACTGTATAGAATGCCAGAATGTAATGATTGCAGGACTGTATAGAATGCCAGAATGTAATGATTGCAGGACTGTATCGAATGCCAGAACGTAATGATTGCAGGACTGTATCGAATGCCAGAACATATTTATTGCAGGACTGTATAGAATGCCAGAATGTAATGATTGCAGGACTGTATCGAATGCCAGAATGTAATGATTGCAGGACTGTATAGAATGCCAGAACGTATTTATTGCAGGACTGTATAGAATGCCAGAATGTAATGATTGCAGGACTGTATCGAATACCAGAATGTAATGATTGCAGGACTGTATCAAATGCCAGAATGTAATGATTGCAGGACTGTATAGAATGCCAGAACGTAATGATTGCAGAACTGTATAGAATGCCATGACGTAATGATTGCAGGACTGTATCGAATGCCAGAATGTAATGATTGCAGGACTGTATAGAATGCCAGAACGTAATGATTGCAGGACTGTATCGAATGCCAGAATGTAATGATTGCAGGACTGTATCGAATGCCAGAATTTAATGATTGCAGGACTGTATAGAATGCCAGAACGTAATGATTGCAGGACTGTATAGAGCTGCAAATTCTACATAAGGACATTTCATATTAGTACGGAGTCTGTAGGGGCCAGATTGTGATGATGGCATGAAATAGCATGTCATTTAGGGGTAGATTAATTATGCTGGTCTTTTTCTAAATGACTACGTAACATATTTTACTCATGCAAACTAATCTCAAAACAACTTTACCGCATGCAGAGCATCCATCACTGAGAGTTGTTTTGCCCTGTATCTCCGAAATAGTCTCATTCTCAAAGTACATCACTGGGAGTTTTACTTTAGTGGAGCTCTGTGATGCTCCTGCACTAACAAACCGCATACATTACTGTGGAGCTCTGTGATATTCGTGTATACGTGTGTTTTATTGCTGTGTAGAGAAAGGGCAACTCCTTATAGGTGCCTGTCAAGTAGATGTGCCCACCCTGACTACAAAAGTGTTTGTTTGTTTTTTTGTTTGTTTTTAAATGTCTGTTGTTGGAGTTTCAGAGGTGTTTTTTTTTTTGGGGGTGAGGATTTAGGCACTTGAGAAAAGTCACCTGAGGTGTAAATCCAGTAACGTGTGGATTTGGGACACCCATTTATACTTTATGTTTGTAAGTATGTGTTTTCGTGCATAGGATAATGTTTGCTTTTTGTGTGTGTGTGTATTGCTCTGAATGTGCACTGTAAAGGTTAATAGTAGTTTTTCTCTGTGTGTCCTTCCTGCTGAGCAATGACATCTTGGAAAATGTATTACTGTAACAGTCACAAATCCCACATTCGGTGTCCAAATATATGTATCTGGGTGGGTGTGAGTAAGGGGTGGGAGGAGGTGAAGAGAGAGACATTGAGTATTGACACAGCTCTGTCCACACCCGCATCCATTAAAATACTTTAACTGGAGCCGGGACAGACTTAAAGAAACTAAACTGGTTTACTTTACACCTTAATTTAGATCTAAAACTGCTTGAAAAAGTAAAGCGAACCGAAGCATGTGACGGTTATTATTCTTCTTAAAAATATATAGTCCTCTCCACATATATATTATACACATATTACAATACTATTATAAATATAGTGTAACAGTCGTATGTATACTGAAAATTTACAAATAACACTTATCCATCTAATGTTAACTTCCACCTACTTTCTTTTATGTGTAAAGTTAAGACACTCAAGTATACGTGTGCATCTATCTCTTTACTTCTCAACCTTTGGCACTCCAGATATTGTGGACTACATCTCCCATAATGCTCTGACAGCCATAATACTGGCAAACATAGTGTGAGATGTAGGCCAAACCACCTGGAGTGCCAAAGGTTGCCTACCACTGTTCTATCATTTAAAATTGTTCTTTAAGTACAGTTACTGGAAGCACCTATATTTAGTCCTCCTGCTCAGTACACGTAGAAGGATATGAAGCTGTTGTTGAAAATTTTAATTGGTGAATTCGTTATTTTTCTAAAATATCAATATTTTAAAAAGCTTTATTTTTGTACAGAAGCTGTGATCGCCACTTTATCAGTATGCTCCATCTTGGAGTTAGGATACTCCCCGGCAAGTTGAAGTAAACACTGGGTAAATTAAGGTCATTCCTCTACTAAGATTGTATTTTTGCTAGTTGGATATGTGCCTGTCCTCCCTCTGCCCATGATAGGACCACTCCAGGAAAAGAGAAAACAATGGTTATAGGAGATAAAACAAAAATGTCCTTATGTGTAAAGGACCTAGTTTGTATACCATTGGGACGAAAAAAAGAAATGCCTGATCGCATAATTACTTTTTTATTTTATTTTCAAAATAAGCTAAACCAAGCATACCATAAATTCAGTCAACAATCTTTGTAGACCAAGTAATCAGAGAGGTGCAACTGTTCTGTACCAATAGCACTGCAGTTAGTGTGTATGTCAATTTAGTCAAATGGGCCTAACCTTTATTTTTAAGAAGCTGCTAGGCCTCCTCTTAACCCTGGTTAGGCTCCTCATAATATAACAATGCAACCCAGTAAGCATTCCGTACATATCTTCTGATCATAGGTGTGTGCATGGGGTGTGCCGGGTGTGCCTGGGCACACCCTAATCACACCTCCGTGCTGCACTGCCTTAGGGCAGACTAACATGTCGGGTCCTCGGTCTATGACCGAGGACCCGACACAGGAGGGGGCCCGGCAGCTTGCCCACAATGCCACTGGGTGTGAGGCCCCTCCTGTCAGTCTGCCCTGATGGAGATCCAGCCTCAGTCTGAAGCTCCGCCGGGAGTGAGCTGCAGACTGAAGTGTCTTGCGATCTCTAGCCTGTCAGAGCGTTGCCGCGCTCTGACTGACTGGAGATCGCGAGACTCGCCATGTGGTCTGCAGCTCACTCCTGGCGGAGCTGCAGACTGAAGAGAGAGGGCGCCCAGTGGACCACCAGGGAAGGTATTTAAACCCTCTGCCCCCTGTCACTCACTGCCCCTCCAACCCCCACCCCCTGTCACTGCCCCTCTACCCCCTAACCCTTGTCACTGCCCCTCCACCCCCAACCCCTATCACTGCCCCTCCACCCCCATTACCCCTCTCACTGCCTCTTCACCCCCCACACCCTGTCACTGCCCTCTAACCCTACTTGCCCCACCACCCCCTAACCCCTGTCACTGCCCCCTCTACCCCCAACCCTGTCACTGCCCCCTCACCCCCAACCCCTGCCCCCTCTACCCCCAACCCTGTTACTGCCCCTCCACCCCCTTACCCCTGTCTCTACCCCTCCACCTCCCTTACCCCTCTTACTGCCTCTCTTCACCTACACATCACTGCTCACCCTCTCACCCCAGACCTCAGTCCTCCACCCCCAACCCCCTGCCCCTAAACCCTGTCCAGTGTCCTTCTACCCCTCCAGCCCCTGTCGCTGCCCTTCTACCCCTCCAACCCCTGTCGCTGCCCTTCTACCCCCATCCCCTGCAGCTGCCCCTCCACCCCCTGTCACAGCCCACCCCCACACAGTGCACCCCTCACAATCATAAACACTGTACCCCACACACACACTGTACCCTCACAATTACACTGCACCCCTCACAATTACACACTGCACCCCTCACAATTACACACTGCACCCCTCAAAATCACACCACACTGTACCTTTCACAATTGCGCACACACACTGTACCCCTTGCAACCACACACACTGCACCCCTTACACGTTGCACTGCTCACAATCACACACACACCGCACCACTCACAATAACACACACACTGCACTGCTCACAATCACACACACTGCACCTATTTGTATTTGTGTATATATATATATATATATTATATATATGTGTATGTATGTATGCTGCGTGTGTGTTTGTGCTTTAGGGTGCACACCCTAATGCAACAGGCTGCGCACGCCTATGCTTCTGATATACATTACCATCTGAGGGGCGTCATCTCGGAAGTGAGACAAATATTCAGGGACATTCTAAAATGTGAAATTCTTGAAAACAACTGACCAATAGATACTCTTTTATGAGTTCATCCAATCTTGGTCCTCTAGCTGCTGCTAGAATACATTTCCCAGTATTCTCTGTTGCAAATAGTATTGGGAAATTTAATTCATGGGCAGCTGCAGAGCTAGGATCGGACATCCCTGCTCTACTGGATTCACCAATATGAATCCCTGTGAGTCAGTTTGTTGAGCCAAAAGTTTGCTATTGACCTGATAACCATTCTCAGCAGTAGAACTCAACTTTACCCTTCTAGAAGCTGGCATTCAGCCAAGCTGATGTTAAACCTCGGGAGTCAGTGTTTGAACTTTGTGGGATCTCTGTAGAACAGGTTGACAATGGAGAAAGCACTGTTATTCTTGGCCATGTTTGTCAGCAGGATTTTTGTTTTTAAATAATGAATAGGAAAATGTAAAGTTGAATAGATTCCAAATGTGTCACAGTCTTTTGTTTGGGACAGTCTGGCCTTGCAAAAGTATTTGCCTCCTGGACATGTCACAATGCAATACATCAAGAACCTTTGGCTTCAATTTTTTGGGGAGTCTCTTTGTTTAAATCTCTACCAGCTTTGCACATCTGGATCTTAATTCGCCATTATTCTTGGCAGCATCAGTCAAGTTCTGTCAGGGTTGAATGGTGACATGGAGATTCTGTGAGAAGATTTGTAATCTGATCCATCACTATGAGGTCTGTTCTTTTATCAATTCTGAGGCATTTGGGTTCTTGGTTTTTAAACAACTGCAGTGGGGCTTTGGCTGCACTTTTAGTGTCATTTATACTGCTGGAATGTTGAACCTCTGCCATTTTCAAGTGTCTTTTGGTGTGTCACAATGCTGTGCATGCTGTAGGTAGGATAAACAGACAAGCGCACAATAACGAAGGTACACACCACACATGCGGAATTTGATATCAACATGCTTTCATCTTTGACGACAGTCTGGATTCTTCGAAAGAGCTCTTGCCCCCTGATTGTCCCTAAAGACATGTACTGGTTCCATTCCCCTGATAAACTGCATCAGGTACAAACTTTCTTGTATAGTCGTAACTAAAGCCATGTATTCAGCTTCACATACAGGACAAAGCTTCAGTATACTATTTCTTAGACTTCCATGCAATCAGTGGATCATTTTCTGTAAGCAGGACCCTGTCTTCTTTCTTCTATCATTCACATTAGAGGCTCAATCAGCATCACTGTATGCTTCTTGTTTAAAGTCGTGATGACAGTTCTTGTAGCATAGCTCATAGTTAATGGTATACTATAAGTATCTTGTCATGTGTCACACAATAAATGAGGAACACACCACACGCATTTAGCTCTTTACTGTCCCACACTCAACAGAGGAAGAGGTGAAGCAACAACTTTATTGAACCATGAAAAAATAATAAATTGAGGGTCCCTACGAATTACATCTCCAATTTAATGTCTTCCTGTGGAATTTGGTTTGACGTAAATTCACATTGAATCAATCCAGACCAGTTTCTCAGTCCCTGGTGTGGGGTAAGCAATATTTTTTTTTGTTTTACCGTTTTGGTTCCATCAAACCAGAGAACATTTTTCAAATGTTGATTTGTCACCTGTGTATTTGGTCACTGAGGTTTTTTTTTTTTTTTTGTAAATTCTTTATTTTTCAGTGTTATTGAAGATTATTATGGGATACAGAATGAAAAAGTAGGGAGGGGTGTTAGTCACATCAGATTCATTGGTACAATTTGACATGAAATATTTCGCTATTGTCTTTGACAGTAACGTGTTACTTATCAGTGCTGTGATCTTTGTGACCTGAGCTCTTTTGTCACACTTTGAAGAGCACGTGAGGTATTGGGTCATAATTTCTTGATGTCTAGAGGTGGAGACCACTCTTCGGTCTTTGCGTGGGTTTGTGTTGTGTTTCATTCAGAGGTGTGAGGGTGTTGGGGATTTGGGGTGGTGATTTGTAGGGTGGTAAGGTCGTAACTGGGGTGTTTGTCGTTGTGTTGCGCGTCCTTTACCTACGTTTATGTTGGGTGGTTAGAGAGCTTTATTCGTGCTGGAGGCTGAGCCTCCCTTTCATTGTGTGCGGATGTTGCTTTGTGAGTGTCTCTAGTTCTTGATTGCGTGTCGTCCGTTCTGCTTTTTATTGTCCTTATATTTTCTGGGAGTGTGGTCCGTCTAGTGGTCTCTTTGGTTATTCCATGTAGTGTGGGTGCGCTTTCCTTGTAGAAGTGGGTGGTTAGGGTAGAGGTGTGGGGGATGGGAAGGAGGGGTTGAGGGAGGGTTGACGAGGATGGGCGGTTGTGTGGGGTTGGATGGAGTGGGGTGGTGTTGGGGAGGTCTAGGGTTGTTCCTGGGCAGGTGTACGGGGGGTGAGTGGCCCCCCCGCTCATACCCCAAGCTGGCGGTTCTGGACCCATGGGTCCCAGATCCTGTGGTAGTTGTGTGTCGTGGAGCAGGGCCGACACTTTGTCCATCTCCATAGTTTCCTCTGTTTTGTTAATTATGGTTGTGAGCCGGGGTATGTTCTGGCTGCCCCATTGTTCCGCTATCGTACGTCTGGTGGCCAGCACCAGTCTCGCTACCAGTTTGTTCTGGGCTCTGGTAAGGGGGGTAAAGGGTTTGGAGAGCAATCAGATCCAGGGATCCATGGGTATGTCCGTGTCCAGTATCCTGAAGGTGAGATCTGATACCTTGCCCCATATTAGTGAGACCTGGGGGCATTCCCTCCAGTGGTGGATATATGTGCCCTTTTGTCCGCATCCCTTCCAGCAGGAATCTGTGTCTGCGCGCCCCATTTGGTTCATTCTCAGGGGTGTAAGATACCACCGGAGCAGTGTTTTGTAGGCCTGCTCTTTGTGGTTAACACATATTGTAAGTGAGGCTGTGGCCTCCCATATGTCCGCCCAGTCTGAGGGGTCCTCTGGGGGACCTATATCTCTTTCCCATGCTTTTATGTATGGGTGGGCGTCCTCCGGGGAGTTGGAGTTTAGGAGGAGGTATATAGTGGAGATTTGCCATTTTTGTATGGGTGCGTGTATACATGCCTTTTCGAATTGTGTTAGTGAGGTAGTGGCTGCGTTATGTGGCTCGTTGGGAAAGCTGCTTATCTGTAGGTAGCGCAAGTGATCAAAGGTATTTAATGGCGTCTGTCTTGGTAAGTTGAGGAATGGTCGGAGTCGTTGGCCCTGGAAGAAGTGGAAGAATTTGTATAGGCCATTGTATTCGTAATGCGCAAAATCTTGGGGTGACAGGACCGGGGGGAATTGTTTGTTTCTTAGGAGTGGTGTGAGAGGCGATGGGGTGATCGCTATGGGGTGGCGCTAGATAGTATTGTCCCGTATAAGAAAGGATGTTGTTAAGGCGGGGGTGGTCTGTGGGGTGGGTGGTCTATCTCTCTTGGGGAGCCAGAGAAGGAGCGAGGGATGGTCCCTGCCCAGGAGGTCATGCTCGAGATCCACGCAGAGTTTGACAGTCACTGAGTTTTGATAGCAGAGTTTCTGTTGTGTCATGTCATTTCCATTTTTTGTTATAATAGATTTGAACTGTGTTCTAAGTGATATTCAAAGTTTGCTGTATTTTTGTTCTGTTTTTTACCTATGTTTTTTTTTGGGGGGGGGGACATAATAATAAAATAATTCCTACTTTAAATTGTTGGATATATTGTGTAAAGCCAGAGGTAAAAACCCCCCAATAAAATCAGTTTTAATTCCAGGTTGTAACACTGCAAAAAGTGGAAACGTCTAAGAAGGGTGTGAATACTTAAGCCAAGCACTGTACGCCCTACTGTCTTGTAGCCTCCAATATACAGGACTATGTAGGGAGTGCCACTGAAGTGTTATCTGTATGGTCCTAGTGTTCATTCACATCGGGACACCAAGAAACAAAATCATCTATATCGGGACTCTTGGGAGGCCTGTTGTCTCGATCAGTGACCTGATTATTTCCAGTAGTGGTTATGCAAGTTTGCCCATAAACAGATGGAGAGCGTTGATTACACTGTATATACAAAGCAGCTGTTTTAATACACACTTAAAATTCCAATATGGAGTGACCTTTGCCATCATGTCATGTTGGGCAATAAGATAACAAATCAGTCAAAAAAAACTTGAATATCTGCTGTGTCTGCCAAAGAAAAGAGTTATTCTAGTGGAAAAGGAATTAGTCAATATCCATGCAAACATACAAAGGTAAATATTGCAAAATAATAATGCAAATAGCAACAGACAAAAATTTACCCAAATCCTTAAAGGACCACTATAGTGCCAGGAAAACATACTCGTTTTCCTGGCACTATAGGGTCTCTAGGCCCCCCCCACCCTCAGGGCCCCCCTCCAGCCGGGATCTAGGGGGTGGAAGGGGTTAAATCTTACCTGTTTTCCCCCACCGGGCTCCCTCGGCGCTGAATGTCAGCGGCTGAATGCGCATGCGCGGCAAGAGCCTCGCACGCATTCAGTCAGTCCATAGGAAAGCATTCGCAATGCTTTCCTATGGACGCTGGCGTCTTCTCACTGTGAAAATCACAGTGAGAAGCGCGGAAGCGCCTCTAGCGGCTGTCAATGAGACAGCCACTAGAGGCTGGATTAATCCATTTGTAAACATAGCAGTTTCTCTGAAACTGCTATGTTTACAGCAGAAAGGGTTAATCCTAGATGGACCTGGCACCTAGACCACTTCATTAAGCTGAAGTGGTCTGGGTGCCTATAGTGGTCCTTTAACTACTTGTCTAGAGGTAATACGGATGGAACGTTTAGCGAGTGCCACTCTACTAAGTCATTAACTGGTCAAAATATCTCTGGAACATTAATCATTTTTGACCTTAAAAAAATCACCTTGAAACATGTTTTGACAGTAATTATCTGCTAAAACCATGCTATGTAGTGGAAAGTTTTACCTCATTGCAACAAGGTAATAAATGCTTTATAAATGTCTTGATATATATATTTTTTTTAATTATAATTTTCAGAACATATCAATGCATATATTAAGCAAAGGTCAGAGGTATGATGTGTACAGATCCAACTGGAATCTCAAAAAGAATTTTAAAAAATTAAAAAGAAACAATTATACGGATAAACAAGCAGTGTTTTATGGTTGCAAAAGGGAGAAGATAGGAAGAGCAGTGGATAAGGAGCATCACATTAGGAGCAGTTAAAAGATTTTTGGAGTCTTGGTCTGCAAAATATGAAAAAAGAGCTATGGGTTTCACTAGAATCTGGAAGAACGACTTCCTTCCTTGCCACAAAAATACTCGCACACACCATGTATAGTTACTACCTTCAATTGTAACCATCACATGTGGCTAACTACTGTCTAACTACCTAAACGCCAACAATATTGACAATTTGGTGTCAGTCACCCTGCGACACACACAAGCACACACACCGTCCCCGTCAAATTGAGTGATACATCAAACCTTCCACTTTAATCCAACTGTTCCATTATACTCTGTATAAGATATGAGACTTTTCATTTGGATTCTACAAATATTTTCACGCTAGTTGCTTTGTTTATATACTATAGCTGTTACAAAGGTCCTCTCACTTTGATTATCGTAAGGTTGGTGGGTTCAAGCAAGGTGAATGTATGGCTGGGGATGACAATCGTACTTTTCCAATTTAGATGACAGCCCTGACATCCACCGGTCTTTACAATGGCAATAAAAGTTCAAAGCAAGCAGTTCACAGGGGAATCTGAGAATCCCATATTTATTAAAAGAACACAAGTTCAAAGATTAAGCAAATGGAATGGCCCAACATCTGTTAGTCACTGACTTTTCCTGAGAGACCCTTCTAGTAAAACCTTGAGCATTTCCTCCTGTGCATTTTACATTTGCAGTTTCCCATCAGTTATAGGGTACCAGTGGTCTAATTTCACAGTCATGCAGGGGCATTAAAATATATCACAGAACTACAATATTCTTGTCTTTATTGAAGAATTAAGTAGCTTGAGTCAGCTGTAGATATGTCTACGAAAAGTTTTGTAGTTGGGTTTTTTTTTTATTGAGAAATAAATAAAATACTGAGTATGAATACAAAGCTGCACAATGGCTGGAAAATACAAAGATTACAACAGTTCTTAGTAATATCATCACAGCAAATAAATTAAACACGGAATATTGTTAAGGAAACAAATAAATCATATGACAAATATGGATTCAGATTGGCAATGCTTTAACAGTGAGAATGTAAAAATTCCAAGGTTAACAAATATGAAGATTGCCTAGGGAGCACCATTGCACCTCTTCCAACGTATTCTACTTTTTGGATCCATTCCTCAGTAAAGGGAGGTTTAGAATTTTTCCATTAGCTGCAGTAAGTAAAAGTAAAGATTATTTATCTTTAGGTAAAGTTATTGGTAGTAGGTGAGCAAAGCTGCAAAGCCAGTTGAGTAATGTACCAACTTGAAACCAATTTGCAGTTAATTTCTTGGAGACGAACACGAACGTAGACCTGGAAAATTGTTTAAAAAGGTTTGTTCCGTTCTGTTGTAGTGAGAGATAATGACAAGTTTCTGGACCAAGTCTCACTAAAATATGGTGATCTTAATTTTTTTTTTTTTGAACAAAATGGAACGTCACATAAAAAAAGATTAACAGAAATTAAATGTTCTATTCAATAATGTAACTTCAAGACGAATGACAGCTCCGCTTTAACTTTTCTCCAAAATTAGTTTCTATTGTAATCATTTAGACACAAGAACACAAAAACATAACGCATCATGTTAACCCTACTTTTTAGAGAAACTGTATCCCCACCATTGCGTATGCAAGAAAGTATTGCCAATCAAAAACTTTATTCAAGCAGGTTTGGTTATTGTGATTCTAACCAGCTAATACTCGGTGGATTAAGATCCAGAACCACCAACCTGACCACCGAAAGCGTTAATTATAGCCTCCCATGGCAAAGCATTTAGTAGAGAAAAACATTTCCATAAAAGTAAATGTTTAGAAATTAATGTGGGAAAAATTCTCTGTGTGATGAAGAATATTTATTTTCTCAGATCTGTGCAATGCAGATTTCTCTGGAGAACCCTTGTTGTGGTTAAATAAAATAACGTGCTGTCACTACTCTAATTAGCTAATCGTATTAAACATGGTTTATTCTAGTGACCCGCTGCAGTCAAAGAATGACATATAAATGAATGTACTAAGCGGTGATGTGAAAGTATCAAGCATGGAATCATGGTGATCTCAAATTGGAGAGGCTTCTCTCTCACTTCATTCAGCTCTGAAATTAGACAAATAACATGAAAATGTTTTTTTTTTTTTTTTTACCACGTGCTATTTGTAAATTTTTCTGCTGAAGTTTTTAAATGAAGATATATAGATCTTTCCTATAGATTAGCCTTGGTCTTGTCATCTTGCAGACATAAAATATGTAACTATTTTATTTTTCTTTACAATTTTGTACAATACAATCTTTATATCCGTATTTAGCATGTTTGTAGAGGTGGAATAATACAAATAAACAAGGTGTGCCAGCAATTAAGGGTTAAAGGACCACTATAGTGCCAGGAAAACAAACTCGTTTTCCTGGCACTATAGGGTTATTAGGTGTCCCCCCCACCCTCAGGGCCCCCAACCCGCTGGGCTGAATGGGTTAAAACCCCTTCAGCCACTTACCTGTCTCCAACTCCGGGCTCCCTCTGTGCTGGGGAACTCTCCACCCCCTGCCGACGTCAGATCCGAATGAGCATGCAAGGCAAGAGCCACGTGCGCATTCAAACCGCCCATAGGAAAGCATTACTCAATGCTTTTCTATGGACGTCCAGCGTCTTCTCACTGTGATTTTTCACAGTGAGAATCGCGGAAACGCCTCTAGCGGCTGTCGGTGAGATAGCCACTAGAGGCTGGATTAACCCTCAGTGAAACATAGCAGGGTTAAAACTAGAGGGACCTGGCACCCAAACCACTTCATTGAGCTGAAGTGGTCTGGGTGCCTATAGCGGTCCTTTAAGGGAAGTGATCCCTTTAAGCACTCTTTTTGCAGTGCAATGCGGAAACCATAAAAAGGAAGACCCCACAGTAAAGATCATGCTGTGGCTATTGTAAAGACTACATTTGCAATTCTTTTTCCAATATATATTTTTATTGGATTATAACAGAAGAGAAATTATAACAAAAAAATAAATTTTGATAGACACAGTATTCCTTACATTTAGCATTAGGTACAAACATTAAATATTGCTGGTAGTAGAGCAATCGTACAGCTTTTACATAGACAGAGGCAATCAACAACTACACTTATACAGAAGCATAATTAGCATACTTTAGCATACATTTACTGTGGATTAGCAATGTCATCTCGCCAACTGTTGGTGGGTACCAAATCTGCAAAGCCAACGAGATAGACATGCAATATACCTTGTTGTATTGGCTTCACATTGTCGCTGGTCTCTCGTATCTCCTCAAAATGGAACGGGGTATGTACCTTTACGTTATATTTTAGGGCAAAGGAAGGAAAAGTATAGGAGCATCACATAATGGGGGAAAACAGGGGAGTATTTCACTCCAGAAATTCAATCGAGACTGTTTGGAAACGTAGAAACATAGAGTTTAGCTGGTGCACCTACACTTGGACTGGCTCTACCTTGCAGTTATCAGTTAGTCATCTGGCGTCTTTGGCCTGACATTTTCCAAGGAAAGTGCATTACATACAGTCGCATAAACATTACCTTAGACAATCCACAAGACATTACCCAGTTCATTCTCTAACCTGGTCATTTAAGTACACCTCGACTGTAGGTAAAAGTACGGTAAGCCTGACAGTGGGGCTCTTGGGCGCTCTATTTTGGGTTATATAGGAATTGATCCCGAACCTCAACCCAAACTTTCCACTGTTGTTAATGGGAAAGCATTTTACCCTGTATGTTCAAGGTAATTTTTTCATATAAGCATATGGAATCTACTCTTTGAAACGTGTCTTCCATAGGCGGGGGTAGAATACTTTTCCAGTGGTAGGCAATGCAAATTTTTGCTGCTACAAGGAGATTCAATATCATTGTCCTATTTTGCATAGATTCAAGGTCTGGAAAAAGGTGGAGCAGATAATATTCAGGCAGTCTGGGCATAATAATCCTGGAGGCCTTATCTACTAGATCTGCTATAGTGTTCCAAAACTGTTTTAGTACTGAGCATTCCCAGAATACATGACTGAGAGAACCTATGTCTTTTTGACATCTCCAACAGGTTAGGCTGGAGCCTTTAGAGATTTGTGAGAGCGTTTGCAATTCTTTTAAAGGGACACTTTTAAAGGCACACTGTAGGCCAATGATGGCTTACGTTGACACGATAAATTGTTTCTGGACTACATTTCCCATGATGCTCAGCTAGCTTTTAAAGTCTAAAAGCTAGCTGATCATCATTCGAAATGTAGTCCAGAAACAATTGTGGTGCCAAGGTTAGCCATCAATGCTGTAGGCATTGTAATCATTTTATCTAACTGAAGTGGTTATAGTGCCAGAAGTTCCCTGGCCCTGTTCCTCCTTTCAGTGTTAAACCATTTTCAAGCAGTTTAACATTAGATGAGGGTCCCTGGCCATCCACAGCCCCAACCCCTAGTAGAGGTATAGCTACGGGGTTACCATGTTACCTGTCCCAATTCAAACCAACAATGGGTGACTGTGATAGGCTGAAAGCAGTCAGCAAATCACAGCTGCCCATTGCCTCATTAGCCTGAGAAGCGCAGAAGGACGGGTTGCTGGGGACTCTTGTTTATCATAAAAAATGGTTTAGCACGGAAATGGAAACACAGTACCAGGGGTCTCCGAGTGCTATAACCACTTCAATGAGATGAAGCGGTTACAGTGCATAGAGTGTCCCTTTAAGCATATGAATATAATAGTATGACTTGACAGTAAATTAATGCCTTGTGTATCTTGTCTCTGCAGAGGTTCTGTCTTCTTGAACTTCTAGCTTTTCCAGTAGGCATTCATTGTCACTTTTATATCTGCACAACTATTGGTGGTGTGGACATGCTGAGAGTTGTGTCCACGAATAAGGAACACTATAGCATTAGGAATACATTTTATATTTCTAACGTTATAGTGTCCCTGTCCCTACTTGTAGTAAGGCAGGGGTGCCCAAAAGGTAGATCCCCATATGTTGTAGAACTACAACTCCCATGCTATGCATGCCTTTAGAATGATGAAGCATCGTGGGAGCAGTAGTTCTACAACATCTGGGCATTAGACATGTGCAATTCGTTTTGTTACGAATGTCAATTCGGATGAATTTCGGCAATTCGGACATTCGGATACATCCGAATGTCCCATTAGCTGAATTGCCGAAGTTCTGAAATTCCAAAGTGCCGAAGTTGCCCAAGTTCCGAAGTGCCAAAATTCTGCATTGCCGAACCAAACCGAATTTCGGAATGCCGAACCGAACCAAAACTTTTCCCCATGCACATCCCTACTGGGCATCTACCTTTCGGGCACCCCTGTAGTAATGTGTCTCTCCTCCCCTCCCCCAGGTGCAATAAAATGTTTAAAAATATATATACATTTTACTTACCATTTTCAAGCTCATCTACCTCACAGAGGAGATTTTTCTCTAGCGATTGTCCAATCCAATGCTTATCATAAAATAGCATTGGGGACATAACACGCATGCTTAGAAAACAGTGCCACATGCTCATTCAAGCGTTTTGAATCAATGCTTTCCTATGGGGGCTTTACTCATACTGACGGCCACAAGAGGGGGGCTTAATCCTGCAATGTAAACATTGCAATTTCTCAAAAACATTGCAGGGTTAAGTGGACAGGGACACTGCACCCAGATCGCTCAATTGAGATGCAGTGGTCTGGGTGACTTCAGTGTTCCTTAAAGTTACAAAGACAAATAATGAACATGGTATCATCAGACCACTAAAGATAGTAGATCCACAGCTTGTTTACCTTTTAGAAGTCTTTGCCATGCCTTGGAGGTCATTACGTTGCCAGGTCTCTCACTTTTGCTAAGAACTGACCTGTTTCGCCCGCAACCGAGCCCGCTGATCCCACTAACACATAACGGGGCCTTGGGAGGCGGCCTGACGAGGAGCGCATGGCCAGAAACTAATGGAGAAGAATATCTCCCTCTGAAGGAGGCGCTACATAATGCGGGGCTAAAGAACATACAGGAATGGACCGGGACCGAAACCCCCACTCTCATGCACAGGTTCCGTTACGCATTTCTACTATAACATCCCGAACAGACAGGCGGTACATAGGGATACAACATGGTTTGAAAACCTATGCGTCGACACTCCTGAAGCGGATGGGAGAGTCTCCATAATATACCAAAGAATACTGCTGGGCGGCCGGGTCAGGAATATAGCATTTAAAAGTGGGAAGACCTCACGGGCAGGACATACAGTGACGCGCAATGGGAATAGATCCTCATACTGCAACATAAGAGTTCGATCAGCTCAAAATACCAGGAGGCCAATTTTAAACTACTATCCCACTGGTACCGAACACCTGTATTGCTACACAGGATATTCCCAGGGACCCCTGACACATGCTGGAGATGTGAGACCCACACGGGTACAGTACGACATATATGGTGGGACTGCATTAAAATACAACCATACTGGGACCAAATCCGACAAGAACTGAATGTGATCCTGGGCGACACACCGGACCTTAGCATAGAAGCCGCCCTACTCCACTTCACGGACCAATCCGTGGCACAATATAAGAGATCAATTCTAAGACAGCTACTCAATGCGGCTAAAGCCTTAATCCCAACGCTGTGGAAAAGCACACAACCACCCACGATTGCACAATGGCAACAGAAAGTCGAGGAAATCTACACAGCGGAGGCAAAGATCGCGGACCTACAAGGGAGAAGCACCAAACATGTCGACTTATGTAGGCCATGGTACATGTACCTAACACACACACGAACACAGGGGGAGGGGGGAGACATGGGGCACACCGAGACACACACAACCAATATATAATCTACGTGAGCATCCCCCCTTGGAGCCCCTACCCTCTCCCCCTCTCTTTCTTCTTCTTTTTCTTTCCCCCCGTTATCTGGACTTGGCTCGGGCGGTGGCGGCTGGTGCCTGCGTATCCTGCCCCTGGCCTCCTTCTGAGGCAAAATCACAACAGCACCAAACAAGACCAGACGCATGAAGGGACTGGGGACCCTTCCACACCACCACACACACGACCAAGTAAATGCTAGACCACGCAATAAAACACGTACAAACATCCCGACCCGGGCCAAAGACGATAAGGCCCAATCTGGAGAAACAAAGACCGAAAGGACCCTTAGCACTAAATCTGCCCCACTTATAGACTGACACGAGACGCTTGACCGCACGGACAAATACCGGGACTGAGACGATAGCAAACTCAGAAACACAATCCTAGACCTATGTTAAAACACACCTCTGTAGTCTGCTCACTGAAAAGTTAACTTCTACAGCCAAATATCATAAGCAACGGTATTAGGGACTTACAATCTCGCATCTGAACGATATGACCATGAGGTACACCTTGCTACGAGACCTGCGAGTCTCCCTACCATTGAAGCTTACACAGAGATTTGCATATCTCAATGTATACTAAGCACCTATGAGTATAAGAAACCTGCGAGTTTCATAATGGATATTAACCTATTGCATTCTACAACATGATAAAGAAATTTACAAAAAAAAATTGACCTGTTTCGGTGCCAAAACCAGGGTTTGCAGTTGTTGTATATCGCAGATTTCATAAAACCCCCATCTTACACTTTCTGTTGACACAGCTGAGCAATGTTGAGTTTCCTAGTGACATGATTAGTACAAATGTTCAATAAATTAAAATAAAAAAAATCTAATAAATAAACAGACCCATCAGAAGGGATTCCAAGATAAACCTGTCTTTGTACTTGGCGTATATTTCCAAGAATAACACCACCGCATGTTTACTGTATCAGAACATGACCAGTACATGTTAATTGTATCTAGAGGAAATGCTAACGTTTTAATGTACTAAAGTGAGCCCTGTCAGGAGTTCAATGTGAACTTCATATTTTAGACCAGGATACATTTAGCTTATACAGAAACAAGAATATTTTGCTTTTCTGTACTGTTCTATGAACATGTAAAATCAATGTATCTGGACACTGTACTATTTGGAGAAAATATCTACAGAATGCGATCACTTTTATATGACATATCCTCCTATTGTACAGCATGCCGTATATGTTGGCGCTTTGTAAAAATCACTGACACATTTTGAATGAGCGCAATTTATCAAGGCAAATCTGGAGACATTTAATGGTAATTACTGAATTAGTATCAATCATTAAAATATTACTTTGTTTACTTTAATATATTTTAATATTGTCAAAATGTAGCCTCCGTTTTTATATTACAAATATGTTGTTTTCCAATTTGCCTTTTGTCAGAAAGTCAGTCATTTAAAGTAATTTAATCCAGTTGCATTGCACTACTAAAGAGATGAAAATGTGCAGAATTAAACAATTAAGCTATACATCATGCATAGACACTACAAAAAGAGGCCCAAGGCTAAATGTTGCCCCTTGGCACAGTGATATGAACGCCTAATCAAAACTTAGAATCAGTGTAACGTTATATGTGTTGAAAAATGGGATTTGTGATCATCAAAAAAGTATTGCTCATGTAGGTTTGAATGCATGTGAATTATTGCTGCGTTAATATTGGCGAAACTCTCATATACTCTTGTATATAGTGGATGTTGGTGTCACTGCCCTGCAATGTTTAAATGTGACATATCGCGTGCCCCCATTTGACATATCCTTAATGTCCTCTGGTTCTCCTGCAGATCTGGTTCTGGAGAGCTGTGACTTGGATTGCGCATCAAATAACCGCGATCACCACACTGCAGACGTCGGCTGTACCCAGCTGATAGTCCGGAGAGGGCAGCCCTTCAACGTCACCCTTCACTTTTCTCCCCGAGGGTATGAAGAAGGTGTGGATCAGCTGGCACTCAACATTCAAACAGGTATGCCAACCTCCAACTTACTAATGTATGGATACTGTGACCTGCACCTGATATGCACAAAACCCAGAGGTTGATAACATATTCCTAAAATGTACCACATCCGGGAAATAACCTGATATTGTAATTTTTACAAGACAAGTAGAGGGTACTAGAAAAGGTTTTGGGGGTTCATTCATTAAAAAGGGTATTGCATGGCACTGACGGGTGAATTCCAGACGTTTGGTCAAAATAAAAAAATGTGAGATTTTCTGGTGGAACTATATTTTTAGTTCTCCTTGTTCTGTTAATAAACCCCTTGAAATTTAGTCGATTTTCTGGTTCACTGGATCCTGCATTCATCAAAAGGCTGAGGTAGATCCTTTATTTCACACCTAACATACAGTTATTATATATATATATATATATATATATATATATACATATACACACACACACACCATTTAGAATGTTCGTAATTAAGTGGCATCACTTTATAGTCTGAATGGGTGACCTGAAGGCCAGAACTATCAATAACAGATCTCATTGTCTAAAAGCAATGTATTATTATATAGTATATTATTTAATAATATCAGTCATATTCCCTATAAATAGGTGTTGCAGTGGATTACCCCCTCTTCCCCGTATGACCTCTATAATGTATTTAGAATTTACAGTAAAATGCATAGTCAGCTGTATTGCTATACAAAGGTTAACTTGTGCTCAGTACAATAAACAAGTGTAACTCCTTGTCCAAACATTGAGATGGAATTCATATCATGCTGCACTAATCCCAGTGAGGTTACTGATTGATTTAGCTTATGTGCCGTCTGAATGTGACTGTATAGAGAAGGAGGAGGAGGAGGGTTAATTCCCATCGCTGCCTACCATTGTGTCAGATCATTTTTGTAACAATGTGCGGAAGCCGAGGGACACTGGGTGTCTTTCCCTGTGCATAGGTATTTTCCCTGGTCCCTCACCCAGGTCTAGCTTCCAAGTGTGGGAGTAATACTTCTAAATCACTGGATGTTGGAAAAATCTCAAGTATTACACCGTCTGTGTCCTTTGTATACTTTCTCAAACTTTGTTAAACTTGAAGATTTTTGTGTTGGGTTACAATAAACTAAGGAAAATAGGAGTTACCTTGATATAGTGGATTGAAAATCAGAGTAGTGCTGTCCGTCAGGTACTACGCAGCAGTGGAAAAGCGACAGACGGCTCCTCAGACACTACACACATTTTCCGAACGATCCATTAAACCCTACTCATCATGTGTTCAGACTTGCAGTCAGAAGCAATGGACTGGTCATCAAACCCTAGAAACCTGGCCCACTCTGGTCTTGACTTGACTGGCTATCAGACACTGTTCCCCAGCTCTACTGTGAATATTGTGGAATATAGATTGACCATTATCATATATATTTTATTTAAATCTACTGAGAATTTATTTCCCCAGGCTGTAGGTTCCTCTAATTAAGCAAAGTAGATGAGGTGGACTTCAGGAATGTGGCGATGTGAGCCAAAAATGTTTACATTTTAAGCACAGTGTTTTTCTTATTAATTATAATGCAGCATTATATTTAGTGGTTTCAAGAGTTAATATATGAGATTACAAAATAAATTCAGGTATAAGCACAATTAAAGGAGTCTGTTTTTGTAGTCTTTTCAGGGATTATTCAAGGTTCTTTTTCCAACAGGTCCATGTCCCGCAGAAGAATCCGGAACTCGTGCTCACATTAAATTGTCAGATTCCCTCCAGGAGGGAGCATGGAATGCATCTATCAGTAGCAATGAAGGGGACAAGCTGATACTGTCTATCATCTCGCCTCCTGATGCCCGCATTGGATTATACAACATTTCTCTGGAGGCCTCCACAGGATACCAAGGAACTAGCTTCCATCTCGGAACTTTCACCCTGCTCTTCAATCCATGGTGCCCTGGTGAGAGAGGAGATGGGGTACTGGGATATAAGTCACTCTGAGTCCAATACAAATACATTTTTACAGTCACAATTAAAGTACCTCTGTCTCTTTTTGTCCATTGTATATTGGAAGCAATAATGCTTAGATTGAAAAACTGTAGTCCACAATGATGACCAGATATAGTACAGTTGCCACACTTCACTGTCAATAGATTTTAGTCCTTTTTTTAAAAGCCCTGAAATCCTCTATATTAGCTTTAACCTTAACAAGCAGTTACTATGGATACCTGTCTCTCTCTTCTAGTCTTACTTTGTCGCATGTTTTTCTTTTGTTTTTCTTTAGAGGATACCGTATATCTGGAGCGTGAAGACCAGCGAACCGAGTATATTATGACCCAGTATGGAATGATCTTCCAAGGGACAAAGACCTCAATCACCAGCGTTCCATGGAACTTTGGACAGGTGGACAAATTATCTTTTACAGCCTTCTATCTGTTAATTCCATTCATTTTCCACGCCTTCGTCTTGCATATTATTTCATAGACTTTATCACCACATAACTTTATTCCATACGGAGTGAGCAAGAAACTTGTATACATGCGAGTATTCATGACTTAAATACAGTATTATACTTCCTATCCCAGCATTGAAACCAGTAAAAGTTGCACGACTGGTAGTTGTCCCATTGTGACCTCTAATGACTAAACTCTTGGGGGATTTGAGGACATCAGCACTGTGCAGCAATACCATCAACACAGTATATTTGTTTTTGTCATAAGCACACTCATTTTGTTTAGGTCTTAAGATTACCCCTCCACTTCCTTATCTTGTATATTATATTTCACATAATGTCAGCAAAGAGTAACTGCGTTCTGTGAGGAAATGACAGTGAGCATTTGGCTTTTCTCCATGTTAAGGGAACATTGTGTTTATACCATAAAAGGTCTTCAGCAAATACAGAAGTCAGAATGCTTATCATCGATGTGGATTAACTGCTTTATGCTCTGAAGAATATGTTAAGGCTGCACATTATGAATAGACGTGGTCCCTTCCTTCAACACTGAAAGATGTTATTTTAAGTCGATGAAGGAAAACCATGCAGTAAATTCAACTTATGTTCTTACACACATTTTGTAAAAACAAACAAACCTCCAAGCACCATAAAAATCAACTATAACTTGCTGTAGTGGCTATGGTGGTAGGAGAGCCCTGATGCCCCCGATTGCAAGTCGTCACACTGTTTTTGAACAGCTTGACTTATTATCTGGTGGTTAAGGTGCTTGGAATGTTCCTCTTAAGTTGTATTGTTGCCTAGGGTGTTCCTAACATTTCATGTACTACATGATTACAATTTAATCTGTTCCTTGTGCAACCCAACTTGCTGGCAAACAGACAACACTTGCAACACTTATATCCGCAGGCTAGGATTTGTTAGATTTCGCACAGGTAGAGTCAGATTAAGATTGCCCAAGGCCCCAATATGGGGTTTCCCCGCCTAGGGTTGTGTTTCTGTGCTGCGTGTGTGCTGACTGAGTATTGTGTGTGTGTGGAGAAAGGTGAGAGCTGTATGGGGAGATGCTAAGAGTGTCTGTGTGGTGACTAAATTTTGTTTGTGTGTGTGTAGATGAGTGAGTGGGGCTGGGTGTTGGGTATGGGGGTGCTGGGAGTCTGAGCGTGGCTGAGTGTTGTTTGTTTGTATGTCCCCTCTTCTTCCTACTTACCTTCCCTAGTGATCCAGTGGATCACTGGTGGTCCGGTGGGGGAAATCCATTGTCTCTACTCATTTTAGGTACAGACCACTTTAAGAGTGCCCTTGTGGTTCCACCACTCAGATAATGACCCAGAGAGCTGGCTGTGGCACTCTGAGTTATCCAGAGGTGCCAGGGTGAGGGCATTCATAAAGTGGTCTGTACATAATATTGGTACAGACCAAGCTCCCCCAATGAAGTGAAGGAGTGCAGGGCCATGCAGGGAGATCTTTTAATATCCCTGCCACCTGGAAGTGGGCCTACTCAGAGCTGGAACTACAGTCAACTGTCTGAGCCCGAGCTCTAGACAGTCACCTTAGCTGTAGAAGCCATTAGGTGGGCGGGCGGCTGCAAGTGCTGCACTTTCTCTTCCAAGACATAGTAGCCAATGATTTTCAGTAATATTTAGGTCTGACTGGTAGAACAGGAAAAAATTGTTGCGGCGCACTCAGGCTACAAAAAATACAACACAAAGAAGGCTTCTAAATTGCCTATCTAAGAATAAATATGGGGATTTAGTTCCACCATATGGCCATATGATAAGCCCACCACTGCTTTCACTGCTTTTTATTCTTAGATAGGCAATTTAGAAGCCTTCTTTGTATTTTTTGTAGTCTGAGTGCGCCGCAACTATTTTTTTCATGTATGAAGTTTGGTCACTGCAGCAGCACCTTTCATGCAAAATGCAGGTCTTGGGTGTGCCCCCAATCCTTTCTCTGTGATTGGTAGAACAGGACTTAAAATTTGAATGTTTATATATTTATTTGAGTAAATCTGGATTTTCTGAGGTCATGGTCCTTATTTTTCATGTCTTGTTAGTTTGAAGATGGCATCTTAGAAGCCTGCCTTCAGATCCTGGATACCAGCCCCAAATTTGTGAAGGACTCTAACCGGGACTGCTCTAGGCGTAATGACCCAGTCTACATCAGTCGGGTTGTGAGTGCCATGGTAAGTATTAACCTTAATGTAGAAACAATAATTAATGGAGATCTTCTACAATGACCCAATGTGAGAAAATAGGGAATGCAGTTTTGGAGTTACTGCTACAGAGAAGGGCTGGTAGTACATGTACATTTGAGATCTATCTCTTTTTTTTTACCTGCAGGTTAATTGTAACGATGAAGACAGAGGTGTGCTGTATGGACGATGGGACAACCTGTACGACGACGGAATTAGTCCCATGTTCTGGATTGGAAGTGTGGACATTTTGCGGAGGTGGAGGAAGTTTGGATGCCAACCTGTGAAATATGGACAGTGCTGGGTTTTTGCTGCTGTGGCATGTTCAGGTGAGAGGATGGGAACAATGGTGGGATATAAACAATTGGAAAGAATTCTTGGCGGCCAACTTCATAACAAAATGTATTTTTACATCTTTCTGACTCATAGAGTAATGGGTCTGGATTCTATTAAATCAACAATTAAATGAAGGGAGGTAAAACTCTGTAACAGTCTCTTATGATGGAACACTTCCAGGACCATTAATGGATACCTAAATGTTACTTAAAGGGGAAGTTTCACTCTGAAAATAATAAAAAAAATGTTCCCTTGAAAATAACCTGTAGCTTATGTTAACCTTTCTTTACACAATGCTCAGTTTTATTTTCCTTTATTTTAAATGTATAAAACAGATTTAAAGGGACACTCCAGATCCCTAAAGCAGTTTAGCTGGCTTAAATACTTTGTGAGAAGAGAGTGTCTAAGTAAGGCAGGAAGCTTTGACATTTCTGGTAAACGAGAGAAATAGAATATAAAGAATTCATGTGCAAACAGGTTACAAGATCCTACACATGGCCCCAACCCAAGAAAATGTAAAAAAATAGAAAAACCCTTATTCTGGCATCGTGGAAAAAGCTCCAGCCTAAATGAGGAACAGAGAGGGAGGAATGAATGTCTGTGTTTTTTTTTTTTAAATGTATATAGACTTTTTGACACAAAAATATTTCCAATGGCAGTATCTCTAGATCAGGGGTAGGCAACCCGTCAGCACTTCATCTTCCATAATGTTCTTATAGCCATAATGCTGGCAAAGCATCAGGGGAGATGTAGTCCACAACACATGGAGTGCTCAAGGTTGCCTACCCCTGCTCTAGAGCAAACCAAAGATTAGAAGGGTCAAATCAAGCACCATTTATTTGGGTTAACCCCAATAACACTTGCTTATTTAATTAATGTTATTGTTATTACCCAATCTATCTTCCATCTCAGTATGCCCTAGTCATCTTGTCTCCAATGTTCCAAAATCTCACTTAATATTCTTACAATTTTTGTTTTTCTTGCTTTTGCCACAGTCCTACGGTGTCTCGGAATCCCTGCCCGTGTTATCACAAACTACCATTCTGCCCATGATACAAACAGCAACCTGTTGATCGAGCAGTACTTGGATCAGGAAGGGAACAAGCAGAAGAAACAAAAGGACATGATTTGGTGAGAAGACAATTAGGGGTCTCCTCCATTTATTATGACCTGCAAACCACTGAACTAATAACACGGAACAAAGGATTTTGGAGTTAAAATCACTTTAATATACTGCCTATCTGAGACTAGATTATAAAAAAGGCAAGTTCAGCAATGACAAAGGTTGCAACAGGGTAAGTATGATGGCTAGATTGACTACAGGTGCTTCAGTTATCCAGAAGCTATATTCATTTTAAAACAGATTATTTTACATGAACAGGCTGTTCTGACTAGTGGAGTCTACTTAGCACAGCACTATTCCACAAAGAATATGTTTTGTATCCTGGGTGCAGAGAATCTACTTTCTGCACCAAGGTAGAGATCTAAAAACCATTTACCTGTGGACCCGGGATCCAGCAGATCTCTGGTGTTTCTACTCTAGTATTATCTGGGACTCCTAAGGGCTATTTCTGTATACACCCTAACCTTGGTAAAGGCTACAGTAGTAGCAGAATAAAAATAACACTAATGCAGGCCTTGCAGATCAATTCTTTAAAAAATGAACCTTCAGAGGCATAAATTAGGGGTCTTCAGCCTAGCTGATGTGATTGAATATGGGCATATCTATTTGTGCTTTTTTTCCCCATGGATTCTAGAATAGAATAACCTATAAATGTCAAACAATCTGTTGTTCAAAGCTGTTTTTGATTAAAAATAATTGGTTCTCAATCCTCTGGAGTTTGATAATGTTCCTTTCACTGCATGGAAGAATACGTCTCTCCACCACTTGGGTTTGTTTGTTTGTTTGACTAGTCAGTTAGTATGGAACTGGCAGTACCCTACTCCCAAAGCAAAGTAACCTCACCATCTCTTCGGGGTTCCAGGAAGAAGTTTTAGAATGTTCAAAATAGCTTTCACCACAACCATGTTATTATTAAACTATATCCCTACATGTAACTGCAAGTTCTTAATTCTTCCTTTGGAACTGTTTCAATAAAGTTATCTGTTAATATAGTAAATCACTGTAGATATCGTATATAAGCTTTGTTTTATTTGCAGTATATTATAGTGTATTATGTCCCGTAGTTCTCTGTGATTAATGAAATTAACCCATTCATTTAATTACATTTTGGTTATAAATCCATGAGATGGGTATGGACATCTCCTCAAGTCTACATGCAATAAGAGTTTGTGTTTTTTATTTGTTTTTCTTCCCCCCTCCCCCCCTTGCACTGAAGGAATTTCCACTGCTGGGTAGAATCTTGGATGGCACGTCCAGATCTGGAAGGGGGTTACGATGGATGGCAGGTTGTTGATCCAACTCCACAGGAGAAGAGTGATGGTAGGCATGACGTGAAAAGCACATCTAACCTCAAAGGGACATTATAGTCACCAGAACAACTACAGCTTAATGTATTTGTTCTAGTGAGTAGACTCATTCCCTTCAGGCTTTTTTTGCCGTAAACCCTTTTCAGAGAAACTCCACTTGCCACTACTCATATGACTGCTAGAAGAGCTTCCTGGGGCAGTGCTGCCTAGTGTGCAGTACTGCGATTCAGGGGAAGCATTGTGATTAGTTCAGAACAGCACTTTTGATGATGTCAGTCAAGCAGGCAAATCAAGGGGAGAGCCAGCAGCTGCAGACTTGAACAAAAGTAAGGTTTTACTATATTTAGGGGGCAAGGGAGGCAGGGTGGCTAGATGGTGGTTTTAACACTATAGGGCCAGGAAGAAATGTTTGTGTTTCTGACACTATAGGGTTCCTTTAACTTATGCAGATCTTCACCGGATATCCAATAAATTACAAATTCTTACTTCTAAATACTCTGGAATAACAGCTGGACTGATTTGCAAAGTCTTAAAAATTAATTGCGTTATTGCACATTTCCCAGTCCTACTTTTATCCCGGCAACATGTCATATTCTTCTACCAATGAGGGCTTTTTGTTTATTGTGTTGACATTTCCCTTGAAATTTCCTTATAGTTTGTTGTTAGTGAAATTTATGAATGAGAAAAATGTGTGTCACTAATTAATTTACATCCACTAACAGTAGTCAATTGATGATATAGACTTTTTTTGTTGTTCTCTTAATGACATTTTTTTTGTGTCTTGTATCTTATAATGGTGACTAGATTTTTTTTAAACTTCTGTAGTAGATCGTATTGGGTGGTTAGGCTGACTGTCCATGTGCTGTAGAGTGTTGACCCATTCTCCTAGTCCTGCTACCTACTCGTTTGACTGTTTGCGTTTCTCCTGCAGGTGTATACTGCTGTGGTCCAGCTCCCGTGATCGCCATTAAGGAGGGAGATCTGAATGTAAAGTATGATGTCCGGTTTATATTTGCAGAAGTCAATGCAGATGTCATTTATTTCGTGGAGCAGAAAGATGGCAGTGTTAAGCAGACACGATACACTGACACGGTGGGTCAGTCTATTAGCACGAAGGCAGTGGGACGGGATAATCGAGAAGACATCACACACAATTACAAATACCCAGAAGGTAGGTCATCAAATTTTGGTGCACTGTGTTTTAAAACGGATAATAGTGGTTGCTGTTCTGTTTTCCATTGTATACACTATCACTAATGATTGTCACAAGAACCATTAGCGCTGACTGGATTTAGAACAATGAGGGTAGTCATAGACTATTTTCTTAGACATATATTAGCTTGGCTTGCTTGAATTAAATTAGCTTGTATGTTTTTCCACACTAGTGCAAACTTATCTTATTATCACAAAATTATATTAAATCCATTGTCAAGTGATGGATAAGCCACCATCTCCAATCTCCATGTGTCCTGGGTCAATCTTCGAGTAGCCTTGGAGTATAGCGAAGAACCAGCGAAGAGGGTCCCATTACAAGTGAACCAGGTTACATAAAAACATAGAACATGACGGCAGATAAGAGCCATTCGGCCCATGTAGTCTGCCCTTATCTTATAGTTAGGATAGCCTTATGCCTCTACCACTTCAGCTGGAAGGCTATTCCATGCATCCACTACCCTCTCCATAAAGTAATACTTCCTGATATTATTTTTAAACCTTTGCCCCTCTAATTTAAGACTATGTCCTCTTGTTGTGGTAGTTTTTCTTCTTTTAAATATAGTCTCCTCCTTTACTGTGTTGATTACCTTTATGTATTTAAATGTTTCTATCATATCCCCCCTGTCTCGTCTTTCCTCCAAGCTATACATGTTAAGATCCTTTAACCTTTCCTGGTAAGTTTTATCCCGCAATCCATGAACCAGTTTAGTAGCCCTTCTCTGAACCCTCTCTAAGGTATCAATATCCTTCTGAAGATACGGTCTCCAGTACTGTGTACAATACTCCAAGTGAGGTCTGTACAATGGCATGAGCACTTCCCTCTTTCTACTGCTAATACCTCTCCTATACAACCAAGCATTCTGCTAGCATTTCCTGCTGCTCTATTACATTGTCTGCCTACCTTTAAGTCATCAGAAATAATCACCCCTAAATCCCTTTCCTTAGGGTAGTAATTGGTTGTAATGGTTATGATGCTCGAAGAAACGCTTTAAAAGGTGGCCCCATCATCTGGCGTGTTCATTAGTCTCTGCATTTCTTGTCACAGGCTCTGAAGATGAAAGGCGAGTTTTTGAGAAAGCAAACAAACTCCATGGCTCGCAAAGAGAAGATGCCGTGCCAAACAACTTTGACGTAACAATAAAGATTAAAGTGTCTGAGGGCATGGACAAGGGCAAAGACTTTGATGTGAGAGCGCTGATCAACAATCACACAGATGTTGATAAGGATTGCCGGCTGACATTTTGTGCTCGAGTAGCCAGCTATACTGGAAAAATTGGCCCAGAGTGTGGAATGAAGGATCTGATGAACCTAAAGCTAGAGGCTCAGTCCGGTACGGAACATAATGTAATAAGGTTTTTGTTTTGAATATTTTTATTGGAGTAGCAATAAAGTGTGAGCAGGCATATTGCAGATTCATAGAAATAACATTTGGTTGCCTGCGCAGAGGCATAGACGTCAAAATAAACAAGCAGTTAATTAAATGTAATGAACCTGAACTTTGCGAGAGTTAAGATGTCATATGTATTTAACAGACATATTTACGCATTGTGCTGGCTGTATAGTCCTCCTAGTCATGCCTAGTTTTATGAGGTTCTTATTGCATAGGTTATTAAAGGTATCCTATGGTTGCCTGCGCAGAGGCCAATAATTCTCAGCAATCATGCCATCAGGGACATGGCCGTTTGGGGACCCCACATACCCATGGGCTAGGGCACCCACTCCTCCAGCGGGCAGACAGTCATCACAGGGGATCCATCTAGCGCTCAGCTGTGTGCCCAAGTCCGACTGGGCGGTCCAGAACGGCCTCCCATGGGTAGCGCTCTCCACCTTTACTCCTCTGACTCTACAGTAATGCCTTTGTGGAGTACTTGTCAGTGATGGGGCAATCTCTGTGTGTGCCCAAGCCTCTTTGCGCCCCATCGGGGTGCTTCCTCAGGTGTTTCAGCCCCCCCGTGGCTGCATCCAGTGTTGCTGGCTGGCTGATTTTCGTGCAGCCTGTGCCAGTGCAGGCAGTTGGTATCTGGACCGTGCAGGGACTCCCGCTGCGACCCGCTGTTACCCGCTCCTCCACCCAGAAGCTGGGATATCCCCCACCGGCCAAGGGGGGAGGGGGGGCAGAGCCGTGCCCAGGGCCGAGGTTCTCGCTCTGTCTTGATGTTCATAGTGGGATGCCTTGCTGTGTCTCTGTTTCGCAGCGCCATGCTGCGTGCAATGGTCGTTGGGTTTCTGACTCTTGGCCTCGTGTAGGCCGTGACTGGGCTATAGGCAAAAGTTGTTTAACCACAAATTCTGGAGATCTACATGATAACTCACAGGGTTATTTACAAAACAGAGAATTGTTGGGAATTCATAGAAACATAGAATGTGACGGCAGATAAGAACCATTCGGCCCATCTAGTCTGCCCAATATTTAAAATACTTTTATTAATCCCCGGCCTTATCTTATAGCTAGGATAGCCTTATGCCTATCCCACGCATGCTTAAACTCCTTCACTGTGTTAATCTCTACCACTTCAGCTGGAAGGCTATTCCATGCATTCACTACCCTCTCAGTAAAGTAATACTTCCTGAAATAATTTTCAATTCAAAAGTAATTTTAAAATTTTAGACAAAATAGTCAAAGTGGAAGCGTAGCTGACTTAGAGAATGTTTCCACTTTAGCTATTTTTGCCTTAAATTGTAAATTCTATTAGAATTTTTTTTTAATTTCTGACAATTCTTTAGTAAATAACACCGAAATAAAGGGGTCCATTGGCGCTGTGACAGGCTTAAGAAATGTATGATCACATACTGTATCCCCATTCACCCTAAGTCGGGTGTTAAAACTATTTAATTTTGTGATCTTTGCAGTTGGTGTGCAGTGAGTGTGTTGTATGTTGTATAAATTGGCTGCAGTACCCTTATAATGTTTAGGTGAGTTCAGCCCTCTTGTTTTCACATGTAGATCTGAAATTACGTCTGTTTTGGTGATCCCCAACTTCTTCTTGGTGGTCAATTCTGTTTCAAACTGTCAGGATTTGATGAAAACAGAGCCCATGAGCTGTACCTGCTAGACAGCCATTAAGAGTAATACCGGTTGGACAAAATGTGTTATTGATAGTAATTGTTAATTCCACATTATCAATGTGCGGGAGGGGAAGGTCCGTTTGGGTACTAGAAGAGCACCATTTTTTATCAGACCATATGTAAATGATTTGATATTAAATGAGGAAACAGTGCCAGGGCAGTCTGGACACCATAACCACCGCCATGCTGCATAGCGTGTCCCGTTAGAATTGTCTGCTTACCCAGCTGGTGAGTTTTACTAAACAGTGAGTTAAAATTGTGTTCATAATAAAACTTCTAACTTGAACTTTTAATGGATTTTACAAAAAAAATTAAGTCACCGTTTTTAGTGATTCAGTTCCAGAATCCACAGAATCCTCATGGTTTGAAGGGTCACTGGTCACCCGATTAAGGAAGTTTCCACAGATAAACATTATAGTCTCTGAGTAGAGGAGACTTGTATAATATAGGTAAGGTCTCCTGAAGGTATTTGATACCCAATTTGTTGTTAAACTACAACTCCCATAATTCTCTGCACGCCATACACTGGCACAGATGTTTGGTAATTGTAGTACAAAAAAAAGCCACAGTCTGACGTCTGTACTTGGATAACTGACCTGAACATTCTGTTGCTATGTCTCGGAATGTGATCAAAATAGAACAATTACCGTCTGGTAACTTCTGAATATCATATTTTAGTTTGTTCCTGCCTCTCCGTGGTTCTCATTTAGGGGTTAACAGTACATTTTCCTTATACCCACCTTTTGTATTTCTTAGAAATTCTCTGCCTGTGTTGAGATAATTCCTTAGCCTTGCTGCTCAGCAATTAGATCCTTATACCTAATATGGGCAAAGTCAACTAAAGGAATGATTTAAACTCAATGTTCTTGATTGCAAACCAGAAAGCAAATGCAGATGTGACTTGAGTTTTAGACATATTTGCTTGAATTACAATGTTAGCATTTCTACCACAGTCTGCTTGCAGTGCAGGTTTCTTCTTTATACCACGGTGGTACTTTTCTAATTACATTACCATCTACAACACCCAACGAGTGGAGGCACTGTCTACTATACACCATTTGCTACGTTAAAAGATCATTCATTCTGCAGCAGGCTTCCCCAATCTTCGGCCCTCCAGATGTTGCTGAACTACAACTCCCATGATTCTATGAATAAAATAGATAGGCTGAGAATCATGGGAGTTGTAGTTCAGCAACATCTGGAGGGCCGGATTTTGCGGAAGCCTGTTCTACAGGGTCTGCTATGCTACTGTGGATACATTGTCCGCCGAGCTAGTGGAGGCCCAGTCTGACAAGGCATTCGTATGTACTTGTATGCACATCAGCAAAACTGGGAGTGATTTTTGTGACGGGGTTAATATTTATACAGGCATTGTCCTGTAAAACTATAGTGCTAGTATAGTCTATGGGAGATTATAGCAATATCAGACTTTTACGAAGGTCAAGCTGCCTTTTTGTGTGTGATAAATCATCAAGCTCCATTGTTATGGGATTGGGAAATTTTCAGGTTAATAATTGCTATGTGTAGCCAGTTCATGCCTGCTTGACTACACTACTGTATTGTATCATTAATATTGTGTGTTTAAGATAAGATTCTTTATCATTAAAAACATTCCACCACCAATAGCAGATATTACAAACACCCAAAAAGATGGACATGCATTTACGGACTACCCACTGTTTTTCCTATAACGAATGTACAGGACAGTACGGTCTTTCCATTGTTATTTCCCACAATGAATAACGTGCGAAGGGCAGAGTTTCCACCTATTGTTTTTTTTCCCCCCAGCATGAATGTAACTGCATAGGGTGGTGTCGGTGTCTTCACATTGTGCCCTGTCTGATAATGAATTGTGACTGCGTGTGGTTGTGGTGGTGTCTTTACATATCATATAATGAATGTACTGCATAGGGTAGTGATGTCTTCCCGTTACATTATTTCCTGTAATTAATATACTTCTGTTTTCACGTTGTGCTACGTCCTATAATTAATGTAACTGTGTAGGGTGATGGTGGTGTCTACGCTTTGTCCTATATCCTGTAATGAATAGATGGCGTAGGGTAGTGATATCTTCCCATTGTAGATTACCCTGCAGTAAATGTACTGGTTAATATACTGCTGTTTCAACATTGTGCTGAAACCCATAATAAATGTATTGCATATGATGGTGAAGTCTTCACATGGTTTTAATTTCCTGTAATGAATACCTTACTTACTAATTTCAATTCATGTATCTATGCAGAAAAGGAGGTTCCATTGCAGGTTCTGTATGAGAAATATGGGCCTGTCTTGACCGATGACAATCTGATCAAGCTTGTGGCTCTTCTCTACGATTCCTCATCAACGGACATTCTCCTGGCAATGAGGGACATTCATATCAAGAACCCAGACATCAAAGTGCGGGTAAGTACGTAGTACTGGAGACCGTATCTCCAGAAGGATATTGATACTTTAGAGAGAGTTCAGAGAAGGGCTACTAAACTGGTTCATGGATTGCGGGATAAAACTTACCAGGAAAGGTTAAATGATCTTAACATGTATAGCTTGGAGGAAAGACGAGACAGGGGGGATATGATAGAAACATTTACACTGAACAAAATTATAAACGCAACACTTTTGTTTTTGCCCCCATTTTTCATGAGCTGAACTCAAAGATCTAAGACTTTTTTTCTATGTACACAAAAGGCCTATTTCTCCCAAATATTGTTCACAAATCTGCCTAAATCTGTGTTAGTGAGCACGTCTCCTTTGCCGAGATAATCCACCCACCTCACAGGTGTGGCATATGAAGAGGCTGATTAGACAGCATGATTATTGCACAGGTGTGCCTTAGGCTGGCCACAATAAACTGTGCAGTTTTACTGTATTGAGGGCTCCCAGGAGGGTCCAAAAACCAGTCCGTATATGGTGTGGCCACCACACCAATTTATTTAATTTTTGTATTGTATTCAATTCTTCAAGATAGCATTATGACTATGAAAAATATATCTATTTAGTCAAGTCATAGCGGGATCAGGCGACAGACAAAGGAACAGTGTAAAATCTGTTTTTATAAGTGATGATCAATAATAGAAATGTGATAAAATAATTAAAATAGAAGACTCACCTACTTGAACGACATCTGGTCTTCGCATGGATCAAAGCAGAGTGTGTGTTTGAAATACTTTTTATTCTTCAATAGAAAAAAAAATTAAAAAAAAAGTAAGGGACAATGTTCTTAATGAGGTCACTGAAGACTTGCAAGGCCACAGCTGCAAAGGGTTGGCTGTCAGAAGGAATATTCATTTTAATTACATTCTCTCCAGATCATCAGGCTGGCAGGAGAATTATGGGAATTGTGAGAAAGGCTAATAACGAACTTTGTAAGACAGTTACCTTGTGCAATCAACCAATTTGTCAAAAATACATTAATTTCCTTCTATGGAGGAGTTGGAGAGGGTTCTATATACAGAGCTCGGGAACAGTAGATGCCCTCCCTAACCCCTGGTCTTCAAAAATGGGGAGCCATTGTCAAAGTAAATAATTAAATTAAATTGTATTCTTAATTTCTCAACTCTACTAAAATTGGTGAATGGAGTTGGGTGCGGCCAGTCCCTAGATCCATCTTCTCTCTAATAATAAATATACTAAAATATGTCTAAAAAGGGTTGCTCCCATGGTAGACAAGTACATGTAGGTAGTTGTTTACTCTGTATCTGAGATAGGGTTGAACTAGACAGGATACAATCAATTTACTTTATTTTTTTTAAATGAGTCATGTTTTATGCAGAGTTTCCAGCTGCTATGAGAGTTCAATTTAGCCATGAGAATATAGATGCCTTGGGAAGTAGATACTGGGAAAAGGTGGGGTAGATATATTTAAATTTCTATATATTCTATTTAGAATAGCTGGAGAATACAGTAAGTTTGTGTATCAGGTGTATAGGTTTTAGAGTACAGCCAGATGGAAGTCCATCTCTTAGAGGAGTGGTATCACGTAGCTGGAAATGGTAGAGGAAATACTGAGTAAGCATTGAGGGGGAAAAGGAGAGCCAGTTTATTATTTTAGGCAGACAATCAGATAGCTCACGTCAATACTCGGGTCCCTCTGTGGACCCAAATTTCCGACTTGCTCTTTACATCACGTACTGGAGTCTGACGGAGCCATGTGCACTGTGTATTTAACCCAAACAGGACCGATCTGTCCGATACAATGTTCTATACAAATTTGGCAGACGTTCCGCTATTACATCAGTTCCTGAAGCCCTCTCCACCAGCTGCCTGTGATACTCCTAACAAAGGCCGTATTATTTCATTGCAGTTTTTAACAGTGGATTATTAGACTATCCATATAGTTTCTATTTAAAGTCCCATTATATAATTATATTAACATCGGTCTTACTTTGCAAGCACCATAACCACTACAGAACATAACAGTGGGTTTAGAGCTAGGAAGCTGTTGCCACAGACTTTCATTCAAAAGCCTCACTTTTTTTTTTTTCAATATTGTTTTTATTCTGTAGTGTAGAGACTACACCCCATTAGCAGTGATCTAATTTGGGGAATTATTGCTAAAACACTAAGCTGTACTTGTACAGTGCCTTAGGATTATCTGGATAGAATGGTTCAAAATTGAGTCCCCATGTCATCTCGCTGGGACCAGAATGGGTGGCACAGGCACATTATCAAGGTTACTGCCCTCAATATATGTACTCTTCTGCATTGTCACTGCCTTCATAAGTGTAATGGAGACCCGATTCACATTGGAAAGAGTCAAGTGAAGGTGTTTGGCAGAATTTATTTTTTTATATAGTACACTACAATGGAAAACTATGTCACCAAGCTAAAGTAATCCCTCTCAAACGATTACTTCCAAGGCCCATATTTCTAAGAAATCAAATCTGGAGAACAGTTCTAAAACAAAGATCAATAACCAAAGAACTTTTATTATGCCATAATTTGTTCTATGTGAACTTGCTGTCCTTGTATGATTCATAATTGAACCAGTTCTTTAGTATAACATAATTTATCTACGTATGTTACCAAACTATGGACTCTATTTAATATTGTTGGATAAGCTTTTAAAAAATGATTTAATATTGTGAAAAATATTTAAAACGTTTGTAGAATTTTTATTTTTTTATTTTTTATACATGTTTAATAATGTCAAAAATATAATTGTAAAAGTTTATCCAATTATTAAATTTATTTTGAAAAGCGTATCCAGGGACATTAAATCAAGGCCTGTATTAAAATGTTAACTTTCACTTATGGTATAATTTGCTAATCAATATAAAGCACTCTGGCTAAGAGCTTTATATAAGTTTTTTTTAGATGAAAATAAATAGAAACAATAGATTGCTTTTCTTTATAGTTGAGGTCGATAGTTGGAAAGCGATGGCACAAAATCAGACAGCACTGTACACATAAGTCACACATGGCTAGCTGTACTATAGAAAACTATGCATTTGTTGAATTTGCCAATAACGCAGAATACAACGGCTAGAGAAATTGCCTGGAGCTCCTTCTGGTGCACCTCATAGCTTTATAGCATGAAGATTTTTTTTTGGTGGTCTAAAAATCTAGTTACAGAATGATTTAAGACCAGGATAGTATTATTCATCATTTGCAAATTAGAAATATGGTGAAAAACGTGTCCACCTGTAAAAAGGGCGAATGCTTTTAACTAACACCTTGCCTCCTCATATCTGTGTAGGTTCTTGGAGAACCAATGCAGAAAAGGAAGTTGGTGGCTGACATCACTTTAAAGAATCCACTATCTGAGCCTCTGAATGACTGTTGTTTCACTGTGGAAGGTGCTGGACTGACGGAGGGACTCATTGAGAAGAAACTGTAAGTGATCATCTGCTTGTTCAGAAATATACTGCCTTCTGCAAACATACAATGCTAGAGTCATATAATTATTCATGAATTGCTGCTATAGCATAGAAATATGAGCACCCATCAGTATGTGGCAGAGTAATGTAATAGTTATAACCAAGTGATTTGCATTGTATTGAACTTCTACGCTCAGCCACCTAGGAACAGACTGATGGTGATGCCAGCTATTGCCAATGTCACCAGAAGGGTGTAGTATGACTAGTGAGTGACCTCTTTCTTTCCTTAGTGATTACACCGTGGAGCCCGGACAAGAAGCCAAAGTCAGGGTGGACCTCTATCCCCAGCAATCTGGACTGCGGAAGCTCGTGGTGGATTTTGAAAGCGACCACCTGAAAGCAGTGAAAGGTCACAGAAATGTCATAATCGCACCTCAACCCAAGTGAGAAGAAAAGCTATAATATGGGTGGGAGCACTTTACTCCAGACTACCAGGTTATTCAGCTGTCCTATAATGTGAGCATTTTGTAAGCCTTTCTATACATATTTACTATTATAATCAACTGTCTTTATTCCCCGAAGTCTGTACTATATACACTGTAAATAAACTATGTGACGGACTGCCTGGCACGCCGACCGGGTACCTCCGTCAATCGAAGCTCCTAGTGCTCACCGAGGGCTCCAAGCACTCCACCAGACACCATAAGCACTGTACACTCCATGAACCGCCGCAGCTTGGTTGGGGTGTCACCGTCCTCCACCCACCCTGGACCCAAGACCGGGATCCAGCTCCCAGTTGGCAGATCTCTCCTACTTCAGAGAGCATCGCAGGAACAGCTCTTAGAGCTAATGATTATACTCAGGGGAGCATAGTGATTATTGCAATCCCCAGAGTGTAGTTCTCCAGTTCATTTGAACTCCAAATTTCAACGTAGGAAGTGCACGCCTGTTACCGTGTAAATAATGTTTTGTATCCATGCATTAAAAAGCCTTTCTATGAAATATGAAGTCTCTCTGCACATTGTCAGCATGTTGTTTTTTTGTTTCCTTTTGGCCAACTTTTGACCTCATTCAGTCCCAACTCCCAAATTATGTTACCTGCCAGACCCGTGATCTCCTGTTTGTTGCCATCTGCTTTTCCTGGACGAGGTACTGTAACAGGAGCCAGGCTGGGATCCATCCCATCTGGACTTGCTTTAGGACAAAGTAGTAAGATATTTGTGCTATTATGAAACACGTGTCTTGGACGTTCTGAAGCGGCATTAATCAGTCATGGTTCCAACTAACTTCACTCTCAGCTCCCTACACGTCCATATCTGTATAGACGCTGGTCTTTCGCTAGACTCAGTAGAGCTTACATAGTAAATATTGCTAACGAGTTATTCAATAAAGAGAGAATTCAAAGCAAAATTTCAAAATGAAGGTTGAAATGGCCAAACCTGAAAAATTCTCCTATTGAGCTATGCTTCCAGTTGAGCTACTTTGGAATTCACTTTATATTCTAACTTTAGTGAATAACCAAAATCAGATTAAAAACATTCAACAGATTAATGTTATTTTCAGCTCTCAATTCTGTAGTTTATAGTGGTTTCCAGAGAACAGGGCGCTGGTGCAGCTAAACTGGATTAAGAAAATAAAATCAAAACAAGTTATGAGTTTTTAAAACATTACATGATAATGTGTGGATTTCGCTTTAATCAGTTCACACACACTGCACATACTGCAAACACACTTTGTAAGCTGGTACAATGCCAGATTCCATATATTTCTGTATAAACCCCTACTGTGGCAGCGAGGGCAGGAACATTGCAAAGTAAAATCTGAAACTTGGTCCAAAAAGAACACACTCACAGGACAATCCATTAAATTTAGAATTGTCAGGAATTCAAAAAATTTAAGCCAAAAGAACCGAACTGGATGCATAGACAAATTAAGAAATGTTCCAGATCAGCTATTTTGGTCTTAAATCCGAAAATCATGACCATATTTCACTTTAGTGTATAAAATCTATTGCATATCTACACAACACTACAGAATCATACCTATCCTATGAATAAATCTGGCATCGATTCATTACCACCCTGATTCAGTGCTTACTTTATTAAATAAGAGCTTTCATTGCCTTTGTTTTAGGACTACTTTCTCCCTAAAAAGTCTTTCCTAAAAAAAGGGGTTAACCCCAAGTGCATGGGTTAATGAGGTAAGAAGACTTTGATGAGAATCCCCCCAAAAAAACGAAACAAAGGGACAGATACACACAGGACGCCCCAAAAGCCTAAAAAGTACATGACCCAAAAGCAAGGATAACCGCACAATAGACCCCACCACAAGCACCAGGAGCAGCCCAACAACACACAGGCAACACTCCTACATGGCACAAGTACTCAAGGGACATATTGCACACTCAAGCCCCTCCAAACACAGAAAGGGACATACTTTACAAAATACGTACACCTGGACGCAGGTGGGGTGGATCCGGTTGCCCCATCCATAGCATCAGAAAAACCCAAAACGGAGCTATGCCAGGAGGCTCCGCTTCAAACAGACTCACCCATACACACAGCCCGTTGACAACTCGACTCAGGTACGGTCCCACACCCTTCTTGCTTATATCACGCCCAGGGGCTGCATGAAGACCCAAATGGTTAGGGGTATGATACTATGAAAGCCGTAAGACACACACCTATACCGACTGGTGTGAATAGCAATAGACACTAGGCATACCCTCCAGTCCTCAACTAACTTGTTTTATGTAATTGTGCAGGCTTACTACTGCTTCTGTACACCCCAAATAACTGTTCGACATCCCTCCCTTTATTCCCTTCTGTAAACCCCTCCTTTACTTGTCAAAATTGAAAAACTAAATAAATAAAACTACTTTGATGACGGCTTAGAAAAACAAAAATCAATAAAAAAAAAAAAATGTAAATTGTAAACTAAACATAATCAAAGTATATATTGGGAGATAAATGAATTATACTAGAATTATTGAAGTGCCAACCAACACACAAACATTTTTAAAGAATCGTTTTTTCTATGGTGGCTGTGTGGGGATGTTTGTCCCCCAATACTGCAGTGTATGTTCATTGATTAAATTTATTTTAGCCTACAATTTTAAATCTTATTTCAAGTGCTTATCCAAGTCTTCTAACCTCTATTAAAGGGACACTCTACCCCCCAAATACAAGTTTTTAACAATATAGTAACAATAAGAATTTAGTAGATATAACTCAAATGAAAACATGCATGCTTTTTTATTGGAGGTGTGTGGAAATATATATAAAAAATGCAGATCGCTTGTCTGCAGCCTCCACTTCTAATCCCGCCAGACTTTCTGTGGCTGTCCAATCACAGACTTCCCAATGCAGCTCAATGAGAAGTCTTTGCAAGGCAGGTGCTCTGAGCAAGTGCTGCCACTTTAGTTTAGCTCCACTGAGCTAACCAAACCAGGAAGTAACAGAACAGGCTGTCTGACAGCCAAAGGTGTAACAAGACTGTCCACCTTTGTCGTCTATGCAAAATGTGCACTTTTGGTGAAATGGGACCACACACGAAAAAAAAAGGCATTCACAAAGCACATCAGCAAGATAAAGTGCTTTAAGTATTTGGATTCTTCCTTTATCCTATGAGATGACTGTGTACTATATACATACTGATTATTTTCTGCACATCAACTATATACCCCCATTAAACTCAAGGTCACGGCTTTAGTGTAGTGGAAGTGATATTGAGGAAACTTTAAATACCAGCAGAGATTTTACCACAGCAACTACGAGAGTGTGGATGTTCCATAACTCTTGGAATTAGCTGTCCATATTTAGCATGGTATTAAAAAAAAAAAAAAAAAAAAGTGAAATATAATTCTTAATATGTAAGGGATGGGAAGATCAGACTGAGCACTTGGTCCTTAGGTCATGTTTTGCACCGGTTTTCTCTTAAAGTCAGTTCAATAAACCCACACAGCTGTCAGCTTGCTTCCATCTGTGCTAATCCCCCCTATTCACACTTCTCATTTTCTCGGCATTAAAATCCTAGCCATTTATCTAGTAATGTCATTCACAGCCGTACAGCATGCAATGCAGTCTCTGTATACAATTTCTCAATCTGTTCTGCAGCTTTCTCCTCTATTGATGCAGTGATCCCTCTCCCGCACCTCAATGCCTGACCGTAGCACAGAATATCTGTCAAATGTTGATCGAGCTATGTCTGCCTATAAATAGCTTGCAGTATTCCATGTTCAATGCCATTAACAATGCTGTGTTGACTGGCAACACTTTTGCTAACCCTGTAAGAAAAACTGCTAACCTGTGCCATCTGTAAAACACTATAAACTAGGGGTAGGCAACCTTCGGCACTCCAGATTTTGTCGGCTACATCTCCCATAATGCATTGCCAGCATTATTGCTGTTAGAGAATTATGGAGATGTAGTGCAAAACATCTAGAGTACTGAACGTTTCTCTTTATACTGCCTCTCAAGGCAAACTTATTGCCTCTTTTGGATTCCACTACCACCTGTACGCTGATGACACTCATATACCTCTCCTCCCCGGACCTCTCCCCTGCCGTCCTGCAACGTGTCACTGCTTGCCTTTCTTCCATCTCAGACTGGATGTCCTCACGCTTTCTGAAACTTAACCTCTCTAAAACTGAACTCCTTGTCTTTCCTCCTCCTAATACTGATCCTCCTCTCTCGCTCTCCCTTCAACTCAGTGATATCCACATAAGTCCATCCCTGCAAGCGCGCTGTCTTGGCGTCATACTTGACTCTGGTCTCACCTTTGAGCCTCCCATCCAGTTTGTTGCCAAGTCCTGTAGGTTCCAACTCAAAAACATAGCCCGCATTCGCCCCTTTCTTACGCAAGATGCTACCAAGGAGCTTGTCCATGCTCTTGTAATTTCCCGCACGGATTACTGTAACCCTCTCCTGATTGGTCTCCCCAAAAGCCGTATTGCCCCGCTACAGTCTGTCATGAATGCTGCAGCTAGACTGATTTTCCTCTCTAGTCGGTCTTCTCACACCTCACCCCTCTGCCAGTCCTTACATTGGCTCCCTGTATGCTATAGGAGTCAATTCAAAGTTCTAACCCACACATTTAAAGCACTGAACAATTCTAGCCCCACTTATATCTCTTCACTAATCCATAGATATGCCCCTCCTCGTACCCTCCGCTCTGCCCGTGACCACCTCCTGACCGCTGCTCGCACCCGTACGGCCAACTCGCGCTTGCAGGACCTCTCGCGGGTGGCTCCTCTCCTATGGAATAGCTTGCCTACTGCCATCAGACTCTCCCCTAGTCTTCAATCATTTAAGAAGGGCCTTAAAACCCATCTCTTCAGGAAAGCTTATGGCCTCCCAGAGTAATCTCTACCTTACATACCTGTCTCCTGCTCTCTCCTATGGGACAGTGCTTTACTCTCTCCTCCAGCTCTGCTTCACTCCTACTTGATATTTCTTGTCCTAATGTTTCTAATACCCCACCTCCTATAGGCTGTAAGCTCATTTGAGCAGGGTCCTCTTCAACCTATTGTTCCTGTAGGTTTTCTTGTAATTGTCCTATTTATTGTTACATCCCCCCCTCTCAAAATATTGTAAAGTGCTACGGAATCTGTTGGCGCTATATAAATGATAATAATAATACTGCTAGTATAGAATCTTTGCCTGCAAGACATATCCTATATGTTTAGTAGTAGACAGGCTCTGCCTAAATGAACACTGTAGGCACTCAGTACAATTAATTTCATTGAAGTAGTCTGGGTGCACTGTCCCTATCCCTCTAGTGGCCGTCTACCAGATAGTCACTAGAGGCGCTTCCATGGAGTTTCACAGTTTGTCTCCATGAAACGATGCTGGACAGACTCACGCTCTGCACAAGGATGTCCAGCATCAGAGAAAACCCACAGGACAGCATCGAAGCAATTCCAAGTGTTTTAAGCATGCAGCACTTGCCGCGCATTTCCGTTAGGTGAACATCGGATGACCGCAAAAGAGGTGGACAGCGGAACTTGACCCAGAGTGAGAAATCTGTATTGACTTTCTCTAGCACTACTGTAACATCCACCTTTGTCGTCCAACTCCTCACGCCAGCATTCCTCTCCCTTGATGTAAGCCAGCACATTGGTGTCAGAGTGGAATGACATTCCTGTACAATAGCAAGTGTAAAGAAATAATCACAGCAACTACAGCACGCCCACAAGTCTAGGAGCTTTCTCCAGTTTCTCAATTGATGGCATAGCGATCTCTGTGGACAACTAATTTGGTGGTGAGGAAGGACAATACTTCCAACCAATGTTTTCTTCTTTCAACATTTGCTTGCATTGACTTATTCCCTTTTATTAGAGCACAGGCAAGTCCACATTAACTGCTTAAGGTATAATAGCTTTTTCATTGTCATCACAATCTAGTCCCTAAATACCTTACGCCAAGCTAGCCTGGAATTTCCTGCTTATTTAACATTGGCGGCTATAGACAGTCCTGCTGTTTCCAAGTTAAGTAAAACCGGCCATTCTGGAAAAGAATCCTTAAAGCACAGGTTATGCCGGCATAGATAATTTGACTTTAAAGGATTAACAGTTCTCTATTAACCCATCAAGGGAATGTAACAGCTTGGTTGTTCCTGGATGGAGTTAAATCGAAAAGGGGGCCTGAAATACAGAATGTGGATTTTGACATTTTAAACTACAAAGCACTTAAAGCACTGGAAGTAAGACAAATTGGGCCTGTGCCTGGAAAATCTCAATTTTATTTATTTTTTATAGCCTAACTGGGGGAGTTTTATGAATCGGAACACTAAGGAATACTGAAAGATATGGGCAGGAGTTTGAGGACAACGTGCTGTGAATAATGCCCATCATCGCTACACGGAGGATGAAAGCAGTTTAATTCATCTGGCTCAGCAGAAACTAAATTGGTAGAGAGCACTAATGGATCTTTATCCTAAACACATGGCAGCTCTTTCCTGTATACACAACCTGCTCACCTACCATATTTTGAAAGTTGTTTTTATACTTGCGCCGGGAGAGTGAGTTTAGGCTATTTGGATCTCACTGCTGCATCTGGATAGAAAACAGGATAAGGGATCAGACAGAGGGTAGGTGCATACATAATTAGGCTTCCACTGTCTACGGCAGTTAAATGCAGATGTGACAAAAACAATTTAAAGTGGATATGATTTTTTTTTTATTATTATAAAATGTATGGGTAAGAAGATATGTTAAAGTAGATTTCTATAAACCCTCCCATCCACACAAAACTGTGTGTATAGTCCCAATATGTAATGTCCCAGTATAGTTTGCAGTATGCTCAAGAATGCTTTCATGGCACACAGTCCCTTTAAACATTAGTGCACGAGGTAGGTATGTACACAGTCATACACTGTGCAATTTAATGTTGTTGTCCCAGTACGAATAAGTATGGATGCTCCCAAATATTAATCCTTCATGACCTACCTAAAAGGTTTCTACCCTTCAGCTCTCCTATTGTGTTAACTAAAAGAATGGGTATGTCTCTCCCAGCACACTATTCTGATACAAGTTAAAATGACAATCCAAGCACCATAACCACATGTCCTCTTGACATCCATACACTGTGCATGTAGCCTCTGAATATTTTACTTGTGGTTGCAGGAATTTGCAAATACAGCAGCAGCTACAAGTCCACCACATCTCATTTATAGCAGAAGGGAAGCCCCACTACTTTAACAGGGTCTCAAATTTCCACCAGATGGCCTGTAAATGCACCCATGTATGGTGTGATGAAGGGAACATTCATGAAAAAGCATGAATAAAGATATTTGGTTTGGCATGCAGACCACAGTTTGGCTGCTATCACTCCTAAAAACAAAACCAGGAATTGAAAAAAAATTACGATTGCAGACTGCTCTATTACATATCCCACAGGACCGCAGTGAGTAGGTGGATCTGACACACTCGTTTAGGGTAAAGTTAAAAAGTTCAGCCACTTCCTAGTTCCAGGAGAAGCTGCCTCCAAACAGGACCACGTGACCTGTAGAATCCGCTCTTTAAAACAGAGCTTGGAGTAACAATTGTTGAGTGTAAGTAAACCCCACATGGTGATTAAGTCAGCAGTGTTCAAGTTTCTCATTGTAGGGGGGATTGGTTAATGTTTGCTAGCGACCTGCAAGTTTGATTAAGGAAAGATTTGTCTTCTATAATGTGGTCTTTGTGTAAGCTCTGGAATGTGTTTACCTATTGCATTATGACAAAACCTTACTAAAAATCAAGCTGCACAGAAACAGGCAAACACTCAGTTAAAACGAAGAGAAAAATCCAAAATATTCAACATTTGTATAAACAGTTTAAAAAAAACAAACAAAAAAACACAAAATCCGACCATCAGTCTTACTCTTTTCATAGTAAAACAAGTTAACTTCAACTTTCGTGTATAATTATTGGAGAAGGATTTCAAATTAGTTATTTGTTTATAAGACCGCCCAATTACCTATGTGCTGTAAGGAGCTACATGGATAGTGATGATTTCTATGGGAAATTAACCACTTATCCACAGACCAACATATAAATGCTGTATCCTGCAGGTAATAGACATTTTTTAGGTTATGGGTGACAGAGTTAAAAGGACACTCCAAGCACCAACATAAGTTTCATGCATTTAATAGGTTTTGGCCTCATTAAAAAGCTGTATTTTTACATGCGCAAACCTTTAGTTATGCACAAATAAATACATTTATAAAAAGTTGTGTAGAATGCTGCACGATAAGGGTTGTTTTTTTAAAAGTAATTATGGGAAGAAGACTTGATGGGGAAATGTATAGATGGTTAATTACCCTACTGTATGCAAATGACCCTACGTGAGTATAAAATACCTCTGCACAGCTGCAATAAAGTCAGTTCTTGTCCCCGGTACTATGTGTTGTCAAGTGTCTGTCAAGCAGCCTGAGTACTGAGCTGTGCTACAATCACATTCAGTGATTTGAAGTGGTCATGGTGCCTGCAGTCAGTGTATTGTTTTGAAATGCTGCATGTACAAAGATTAACACCTCTGCAGCTAGATTTGTAACTCCACCCCTGTCGGATATTTGACTAATAACGCTGGGCAAAATTGCAGTCTGTTACCAGCATGGCGGCAGCAAACAGCCCATGACCCCTGTACCCCATTCAGTCCGCGCTCCCTGATTCCCTCCCCTTCCAGCGAGGTTAAGGGGTGGGGATCAGGGAGATGAAGATCAGGTGGATGCTAGAACGTGACCTTATTGCTGGATCGAGGAGAGTTTTAGTGTTTTTTTTTTTTTTCCAGTGGAGGGTGGCGCAGGCTAGGAAGGGTTACTCCAATGCACAGCACTGTTGGTTTTTGGTTGGCGTAATCTTTGAATAAGGCCAAAACTATCAAATGCGTTAAAGTTGTACTGGTGCTTGGAGCGTCCCTTTAATCGAATATAAACCACACTGTATTATTTCTGCTCAATGGTGAAACAGATTAACGTGTTAACATTTTCAAATACTGTCTGTTTTTCAATCATTTTTAATAAACTTTTACTATTTTCTAATTAATACCATTTCATCTTTCTAGGCGAGTTCATATTTCAATCTCTTTTTATGTTAAACTCAGGTGGTAAATTATCTAATTTAGTTTTAGTTCTTTTTTTTATTCTCACTAATTAAGTCCTTCATTAAGGGGCCAAAAATATATTGGTAAAGGTGATTCTTGTACCAATCAAGGGATCGGCTTGCTTCATACAAAAAGGAGTATAGAATAGACAAAAAGGAACACTCTCACAGAGATTGTAAACTAAGCATCGATATTCCCATAATTCTTCGTCTGGCACCAAACTAAACCGGGACGCCGAAGTACTTTCTAAAGTACAACTTTCTCTTATTATTGTCTCTAATGTAAACTTTGGTTCTAGATCACCCCTATAGGTGCACTTTTAAATCCAAAAAGAGTGATCAGAAAGTTGTAACTGTTTTTTTGGTTTTTAAATAGACACAACTTCACTATTGTTCTTAAACTGCACACATTATATTGTGTATTTTGTATCATTTCTGCATCATCTCTTCTAAAGAACAGAAAAAGGCTATTCAAAGCTGCCAGAAAGCGGATACAGAAACATAATCTGAGTGCACTCCATAAACAAGTCTCTAAAAAAATAAAATGAGGAGAAAAAAAAAAGCAAAAAACATTGGGATCAACATAGATGGTGGTAGCCTAGCAAGGCTGTAGTCATAACGGGTTGAAGACTTTTTCCACTACATGGAAGAGAAAGGGACAAAAGGTGACAGCAGTTGCTACTCCGCTAAGATGGTTTAGGAGCAGGACCACGCAAATCACATAGCAGGATAGGCTTCCAGTCTCTTTGAGCTCTCCTCCATGTCCTCTACGATGCTGGTGTTTACTGAACATGTGGGGAGAGCAAGGAAAGGCCCAGGTGGGAAGACTGGGATTGATCTTAGTCAGTAGAGAACAGGTCTCCCGCTGAAGGAAGTGGCGCCAGCCCCCCTGTGACATTGGGAAGTAGCGAAAGGTCCGGAAGGCTCTGTATGTGGGATTTCAGCTCTTTTCGGACTTGCGTTACACGTGCAAGCTTCTGTTTGTATTCCTGCAGGAATGAGGAAAAAGGGAGAAAGAAAAAAAAAAAGTGGAACATAATTAATAGCTCTGCAATTTTACATTACATTTCGGTTTGATTGGTCTTCCATGTAAAGCAATCCTTAAATAGAAAATGCCACCAGAAATCACTGCATGAGCCAAAATAGTTAAAAAGACACTATAGTCACCAGAACAACTACAGCTTAATGTCTGTAGCCTGTCTATGCAGGCATTTTTATGTAAGCACTGCCTTTCCAGAGAAAAAGCAGTGTTCACATAGTTGCCTAGAAACACCTCTAGTGGCAGTCCCTCAGATTGCCACTAGAGGTGCTTCCTGGGTCAGTGCTGCACTGCACTAAAGTCCAATGTCTCCATGCTCTGTTATACAACAACTCCTATGAATTCTATAGTTGTAGTCTTAGAGAAATTGAAAAGTCGTAGACAGACACCCCCATAATATATCCAGATACCACTGAGAAATCTTGCGAATGAACTATCATCCAAAAGTTTTACAAATGGAATTTATTCCTCATCGCTTCCCAACACCTTTCACCTCTTCTGGAGTAGAAAAAGCCAAAATAATTATCATGAATGAACATCTGGGATTTCGATACATTTCATAATCAAGCCCATTAATTTGGATTAAGGAAGTGACTAATTTTCCTATTAAAACCAACCTTGTGCAGTACTGGGAGCGCAGGAAAGGTCAGATTCCTGAAATATTAAACTTGGTCAGAATGTAGACTCCCCGGTCACAAATAACTTGTTTTTTTCAGCATTGGATACATAAAAGGATTAATTAAATGAGACCTGAAAACTGTGCTATTTACTTAAATATTCCCTGCGTGAATGTCATGTACACCATCACTCTGCATGTAAGAGGGCTGTGTGCAAGATCAGTATACAACTAACAGTGCTGTCAGATAGAAATATAAACTGATACTTGGAGTAAGAAAATGTACTCAATGGGGAGTTTAGGCTATGGTGTACTGAATTGCATTTAAACAGGGGATGATTGGATGGGGGGTAGTTTCAATGTTTGATGGCATGATATGACAGGATAGCTGTAGGAAGAAGCTAGATTGGGTGGAGTTGGTTTATTCACAATTTGGTTGGGCTGAATTGACCAGTGTTGCAAAAAGCCAAAAAGCCAAAAAGGCAGATATGGAAAATTATTCCTGATTGGAGTTACCTGGATGTGCAAGTTTTGACACGTGTGTGGCTTAATGTCCAATCACGTGGTCCACGTAACATGTTTTGCCACCAGGCTACTCAATTCTACTGGGCTCAGAGCAAACAGTACATTCCCTGCTGTTACCATAGACAACTTATGATACCTTCAGGGATTCATCCATGGCATCAGCCACATATAAAATGTAGTACAGTACCTGTTGGGTCCCCACGCTTCCCCCAACTTATACCTCGTTCTCCCACATCGCATCTCCCTCTCTCCTCGCAGAGATGCCGATCTGGCACGCGTCTCTGAAGGGATTTGGGCGGACCAATTTGATACCTTGAATTGGTAGAGAGCCTACTTCCCTGCTTTAAAGGAAGTGCCTCACAGCCTGCGAATGGGCAGAGAAGGGCTTCCCTGCAGTTCGGTGAGGTCGGTGGGCTAAGTTTCTGCAGGATCCAGCCTTCTTAGGCGCACGTGCTGGGAGGCACTCTCTTAAAGGGGCAGAGAGTGGAACATAAAGTAGGGTGTCAGGAACCCAGGGATGACGTGCGGGGGTGTATCCCTACTCACATATATAACAGTCTGTCTCCTAGCCCTCTTCGTTCAGTTATACTGTGCATACTGTGGTGTTCACTTCATTGTGCCTATTCTGTATTATTTAATTACCTGGTATCTTTGCTTGTTTTATCGTTTGTGAACCTGTGCTGACCTTTGGCTATACTGACTTCATCTCTGCTCATTCCCTATTTGGACTTCAACTGGTGAATTTTTCCAACTACATGCTGCATTTTGGGCTCCTCCTGCTAAAACCTTACAGTACCTGCTACTACCCACCCTAGGTGAGGTAAGAGACCTTAAGGGATTCATCATGGCATCAGCCATGCATGCAAGACAATACACTGCCTGTGGCTAGCATTGAGTACTATTGAGACCATCAAGGTTATTTCATGGTATTCCCAACATTCTATGGTCACAGACACAAGGGAGATAAAAAACATGCCCAAAGACCTACAGAAAGCCGAGCCATTTCCAATTCAGCTATTTTGGCCTTAACTTTGAATTCTCATTTTAGTGAATAACCCTCACAAGTTATTCTCTGGATCGAATTATTAAATATGTGATGTCACGCAAGGTTAGGACAGCCGCTGACGATTTTGAACCTATATTTTTTATGACACTCAGTCACCCAGCCTTTAGTGCAAAGGTTTGTCCCAAATATATTAAGGGGACATGTAAGTCCTGGCACTGCTTTCAGTTTAGGGACCTTGCTAAACTGTGCATTATGGGGAAAAAGGCACAGATGGTGTCATCCGCCATGTTGTCAGGGATTTAAATGCAAAAAATAAAAAATACATATAAACACACACACACACACACACAAACAAACCTGATCAATATGATTCTGTGGAGCTTTAAAGGCGTTAATAAGGTCATAGTGATATTTGCAATATTTTCTTTAATAGTCATATCAATTGGAAAACCCCCAAATCCTCCCACTTCCATTTATTCTGTTCATTTTCCCACCATCTGTCATGTCAGAGAGGCTGTGTCCCACCGGGAGCTGAAAACAACACATTCCATGATAAAATCAGGACGTTCTAGAGAAAAATCCCAGACCTATCGAGCTGTGTGGCAGCATAGTGTATAAGGGGCCATCGCTGTCAGAGATGGGCTGGAAGTGAGAATGCACGATTTCCACGTGCAGAAGAATACAACTTATAATCCAGCAAACTCGCAGCACTGTAGGGAAACTCAGTTAGTGCAATGACCCACAGTACAAAACATGAGTGGAATGCAATAAATGCGGAAGCTTGGCCAATAGTGGGAACACACAAAAAAAAAAAACCAGCAAGCAAAATGTACATGGGATTATGGGAAAGTATGTGTGTATGTAACACGCCATTATCCTCCCAGTGCTACGTGGCACAAGCAGAAGGGGAGCCATCATGCAGTCCAGTAAGGGGCATTGATCTGTGGCAGATCCAGGTTAGGAAAGTCCTCATTGCATTAAAGGGCCTAAAAAGGCCCTATGCTCGAGAGGATACATTAGAGGAGAACTACCTGTATCCTCTGGTGGTACCTTGACAGGAGGTCAATACACTACACATCCACCCCAAGGCAGGACATCACAATTCTGAACATCCACTCCCAGGCAAGACCTCGATCCGCCAATGATTCTGTCACAGAAAATCACTGAATGCAATGACTCTATGACAAGCCTTGATGGCACTGTGCATGGATTTTCAGCTGAACTTAGCAGTGTTCAGTTCCTCCCTGCTGTTGTTCTATAAAACAATGACAACAGGATAAATGCATTATAGAGGGTTGTTCATCTATTTTGATCCAGGAGAAGCACAGCTTTGTATCTGCTCTTCTTCCCAGTAAATGCCATTCTATGTCCAAATATTGACCATTAAATCTTATCATAAGCTCCTAAAATCAATGATAGGTGATGAAGAGCACTACATTCTTGAATGTACACATTCGGTAAGATCTGGTCTTTACCTCTAGCTTTTTCTCCTTGCTTGTTAAAGCTTCGTTCTGAGTCTGCGTATATTCCAACAGCATCTTTGCTAGCTGTCGCCGGTCGTCTAACTCTGCCGCCAGGCGCCCATTGTACTCTGCCAACAATAGACAAGCCTCGTCCACAGTCTTCGATAGCCGCTCTGCTGCCTCTTTGTCTGAAATGAGACGCACATGAACAGGAGAATATTTATATAGGAATTCCCGGCAAACATGCTCATTGGCCATAGCTCACTAAATGATTTGAGAATAACTGACAAAAACAGATAATTTAGTAATAAAAACAGGACAATTTTGGAATATCTCACAAAGTGAAAATCAAGTTTTTCTAGATAAGACCTTGAGAAGATCATGACCATTAAAGTTTCTAAACTTGTGGTATCCACCACATTTCTCTTGGCACCTACCTGTAATCTTTTCCAGCAAAGACACATCTTGGACCTCTTGAGGGAGGGATGCAATTTTCTGCCTCACAGCCGCATCACCCGATGCCGCATTTTCGAGGTCTTGTAGAGCTTTAATAAGATCATCAGCCTATGTGGGTGAGTGAGGAGAGAGAGACACAATCAACAACTGGGTGGAACATTCCCACCTGTAGTGGACAGAGGTCACAGTTCCAGTTCTAGCAACCAGATGATATACATCCGGCACTGGAGTCGGAGGGTGTGATGACATACTACATTGTGCAACAGTACAAGTGATTTTTAGTTTCAGACTACGTAGGTGCACCTCTTATATAATATGTCTGTGAAATGAAATACTTCAATCCCTCTAAAGATGTCATACGGGTAGGTAGACATAAACCTGCACACTCCCTGCCTCAGTCTCTCCTATCTGCGATCACGGAAAGTCCTGGATAATATTAGAGACTTGTACAAACCAATTATGGGTGAGAACGGGAGGTGTTTATTATTAATTTAGTTTGTAAAGTATGTCATTTATTATTTTTGCTCAGTTTACTTTTTGTGTGCCGATTATTTATCTACTGCTCTGGATTGTCGCTGAGTAAATATTTGTTCACGCAGACAGACCTCTGTTTACATTATAAATGGAATTTATTTTGAAACTAGAGGGGGAGAAAACGCCCAACATAAAAAAAATGCTCGCTAACAAAAATAAATGGATGCAAATGTGCATAGAGTACCAATTTGCAAGGAGAGAATGAAACCAAGTTCAAGGGCTGGGGGAGTACACTAGCAGCTAAATGCAAAGACCATCGAACAGCATGGGGGCCACAGCTGGACAGCAGGGTGCTACAGGATAGGAGAAGTGACAGCTAAATATGTTTGCATTCATACAGAGAAAGGCTAATTGATCGACCTGGATGATGTTCAAAACAGGACTTGCACATTTCTATCTCACCTCCTCGATACAGCCGGTGACAAGACGATTAATCTTCCTATATTAGTCTCAGTATAACACAAATCATCATTATCCGTGCACGTAGGCATCTGCCTGCACCTGACGGTGCGGAAAGCGTCCCAGAGAAATTTATATCTGCCCCAATCCTTCATTAACCATTTCAGTGAAAAAAAGATTACAGCAGCTCCGAGAATCGCTAACCATGGCTGAGCAATGTGCTGCTTTCATCATACTCATCTGCTGCAATACAACCTGGCTGTGCTGATGGGGAGTTTTAATCCGGATGGAGGGCAAAAAGCTCACTGACCCCGACTACCACTACAGAATAAAAACTTGTATTTTGTTATGGAGGAACCGATATAAAAAACAAAACAAAAGAACAACAACAAAAACAATAGAACAAGCTAAATGCAGTTGAATAAATGACTCCATAGAACTTTAACGGTGCCACTGTTCTGACCTTGGATAAATCCTTCATACCACGGCACTGCTTTTTTTATTACACGTATCCTGGAAGGTACTCTCTCTAGGTGGATGGAACATACTTGTTCTGGTTTTTTTTTTTACTGTGAATTACTTGGAGAAACTGATTAAGACTCTCAGCCCAATGGCTTTCAAATGTCAGGTTTCCTGTTGGGCAACAAGCCACTGTATGTCAATACACACACAAACATTTTATATACACACAGCAATCTAACAAATTCAACTATCAAAAGGAATCTCTTCAAACAAGGATGCTCTCTAAACCTCATACCAAACTGCATCTTGGCTCGAAGTTCCCTTAACGCATACTGTAATCTCCAATGTCGACATCGGCGCTTCTACTTGGCAGCCTGCCACCTTCCACTTCAATGCAAGCACCATAAAAGCTCTTCTATTACCTTTTCTCATTTTACCCAAAGTCCCCTTTATGCGCTCTTTCTCGAGAATCTTTTATACCTGCTAAAGTGCCGCGCTAAATGCCAGATCCCTTTTTGTTGCACACAAATACATCCCGTGCTATTGGATGGGATCGCGGAGCTGTGTCGGCTAATCTTAATACTGCACATTTTTCCAAACTATAATTCCCATGATGCTCAGCCGGCCTTAAAATTGGTTAGGCATCATGGGAAATGTAGTTTGGAAACAAAAGACTTCACTACCTGGAGAGAACAGAAACACTCACTACCCGTTCCGCAAAATCTACACCAAACCTTTACAAAAGTTAGTTACTAATATAGCCCTCCTATAGTAAATATATAGATATAGACATCATGTTGCCTACCATATTTAACTATTTTGAAAAATACTCTTCATACAGCTACTAAAAAATAAAAATTGTGTGTACATAAGGGAGTTATATGGACACCTGGCTCCTAATTTTATCAAACTTTGATATAAACTCATAAGATAAACAGGGGAAAGTGCCAAAGTACCGCAGTGCAAAACGCTACAGCGACTCTGCCTGCTCACTCTGATAGTTGGCCAGGAGGCTTGTGCCAAATACAATCAAATGATTTCTGGTTCAGGTCCATTTCTACAAAGTGGACATATATCGAGTTTATTATACGCTAGCCCAGTTCGTGTAATACCCTGCTTGGCACAGGGAAACATCTTAAAACAGAACTGTGTATATCAGTATATCAGTCCTGTTTGATGACGGCACTTTTTAAAAGGCAGTGAGATATTCTTAATAAAAACATACAAATCAATCTTTTTTCCTGATTTATTTTTCTTCTTCTTTTCCTGCAATCTTTTTTTGTTCCTATTTGAAATTCCTACTTTTTTGGATTGTATGCATCTGCAATGTTCCAGGTTTCATATAAAATATATGGCTGTATATTTGCTCTAATTTGACATTCTGCTTGTATAGGGTGCAACTATAGAAATATGACTATTCAGTGGTTTCTTTTTTTTATTGATATTGCCGTTACTGATCTTATGAGAACACAGGGGTGCACAGCTGGAGTTTACAAGATAAGCAGTTTATCCCCGAGAACAGCTCTCCTCCATACTGCGGCAGCTATAAATTTGTACATAGCCTGGAATATTAAACATGATTTGGGGCTATGTCCTGCTATCGACACAGCCACAGACCGTGGATTAACAGTCAGCGGTTTGGCTTTTTCTGCTGGAAGGAGAAAGAGCTCAGAGACCAAGTTGTGCATGCATCGCCCAGACAGTGCATGGCAAAACCTAATCAAAAACGGCCAGTCAACCTGGAAACAGATTCTAGACTGGCTCATTCACTAGGTCGGAGGTGGAGCTACAGCCTTGCAAAAAAAGCTTAACGTCTCAGATCAAGCAGAGGATCCTGCTGAAACTTTCCCAGAGAAATAATTGTTTATATTAAAAACATACAAAAAAACCCAAAAACATCCATTTTGTTTTTTTCCTTCTAATTTTTAGATCAGTGACGCATGGACACAAATGAATAACATCGAAATAGCTGGGCGACCAATTCTTCAAATGTGAAGCAGTGACCTTCCTTACGTCTAATTTAATTACCCCAAGAATCTAGAAAAACACCTTAGACAGACTTCTCGGTGTCAGAGGAGTTTCGTATTGCACTGGGGAATGTAAAGCTCCTAATGCAAAGCAACTTGTGGACCTTGGCACAGCAGACATGAAAATGATGTGTCACTACCAACCACTGCAGACCCAAGTTCCAGTCTGGGTCCAGGGGATAAGAACCACAACAAATTCCAGTCTGGGTCCAGTGGATAAGAACCACAACAAATTCCAGTCTGGGTCCAGTGGATAAGAACCACAACAAATTCCAGTCTGGGCCAAGGGGATAAGAACCACAACAAATTCCAGTCTGGGTCCAGGGGATAAGAACCACAACAAATTCCAGTCTGGGTCCAGGGGATAAGAACCACAACAAATTCCAGTCTGGGTCCAGGGGATAAGAATCACTACTCTAGAACAGGTCACATAGGGATTTAGTGTTTGCTGCAAATCAATAGGGACTGAAAGTGTCTGTATATATTGAGCCAATCCTGGCCCCAGCATTGTGTTGAAAAAAATAGTGAATCACATAGTGAATCAAATAGTGAACTGCTTAGTTGGGCAGTTTAAGTAGTCTAGACTTGTTGTAGAGCTACATTCATGTTATTTTACAAATGAAGCTATACAAGCCGTGTGCATGTTTGTGGATGGAGCACAGGCTCTTTCATCGATATCCCTGAAAAGTCCTTATGCAAGTCACTTGTATGGAGTACACACACATACTGTACAAATCCAAGTACTCGTACAAGCAGGCCAGTGCTTCCCACAGTGACATCAACAAGTAGATGGGTGGGGTTACAGCTGCAGCAGTTTATGCAAAGTGACTCAGTTACAGTGATTTATACACAGGAAGACTAGAAGAAAGAATCAGAACTTGCACAAATAACACTATAAAAGGAGCACAGGTTATTACAGGTTTAGCATACACCTGAAACACGTTATACAACATAAACCATTTGCTTGGTTTTCTCTTGGACCCGGTGCAATAATAAACAGCCAGTAGAAACCATTCAAAATGGACTACATTATATACATGCAAACCTACCTAGGAAATGTGTTTGATGGTTTATATAAATAGATCTGTCTATAGAGGGTATTCAGCACAAGTGCCAAAATGGCAGATCCTCCGTTCCCGCAGAGCTACAAGTCACATGAAGCTCTGACAGAGTTGTAGTTCTGTGATGAATGACAGATCAATCTTTAGGTATCCCCTGTATATAAGGTAGGTGAGAAATTTAATTAAGCAACTACTATAGTAACCCCGTATATTAAACGTAAGTTTAGCTTCTACAATGCTGCTAGCTATTCTGCTTGTACGTGCCTGGAAAGTAATGATTTAAGATTTTGCCAAAATATGCAGGTTTGCAAATGTAAAAAAAAACAAAACAAATTTATTCTGCCTGTGTGAGAGGAAGCATCTGTGACATATCTCCAAGCAATGACTGGGCTTATCTGACCGCAGACGAAGCAGGGAGGTACAACTGGCAGGCCAGCAGGAGTGATGGATACAGAAACCCTCCTACGCTATCCTCCTGCTTTATCTCAATGCAAACCAACTCTGAACATGACAGTCTGTCTAGTAGACCGTGCGGATCGGAGTAGGCCCTTCAGAATGTTTACACGAGTCGTAAATTAAACTAAAAATGTGCTGAATGAGCCAAAAATTTATCATTTATAAGGTTTACAGTTAGGCCAAAAACATGCAGTGTTTGAGTGTTAATGGAGGAATTATCTACACTTCTCCCGTCTGCTCAGAAAAGAAGCACGTGTGATGTGTATATAACAAGGAACTCTGAGCTAGCACATAACTACACACAAATGACTGATTGGCTTTAGAGCTCCATATACAGAACGGGAACAGAGATTAATTTATTTATCCATGGAGATTAATTGGGAAATAATTAACGCGCTCGATCCTGCTGATTTTGGCGCAGACTGTATTATTTTCAACTCCCAGGCAACATTCAGGACATGTTTAAGTAAACAGCGGACAGATTAATGGTGCTGTAAAATGAAAGGGAAAAGTAATCAATAAAAAATGGATGCCTTTTGCTTGTGACGCACGTTAGCATCAATGTCAAACACGGGGAACAAAGAAAAAAAAAACTCTGAACCACATATCAAAGCAAATGTTTTTTTTTTTAAACTGAAGTGAACAGTGAGCTGGAATTGTGACATTACTGTGGATAAAATTATGCCTTTTTCACAACACTAATCAAGAGTAACAAGCACAAACATTAAACAAATCTATTATACTAAAAACACGTCTGCCATAATTCAATTCTTTTTTGTATAGGAGTAATATTTTAGGAATGGATTCCTTGAAATGATTGGCAATCTACAAATCAATGTTAGGTAAATAAGAGAAATTTGTTCTGATTTTCACCCACAGACACCATAAGCCTTAAGGTCAGGTGGCTCTACATATATATGGGCAGATTTTATTGTTAAAGTGGATATTGACCGACTATAAAGGGGTTTGATTGAGCAGGGCTGGGTATCACTGCATTAATGCATTGCTTGGTGTTGAAGCAATGAACTGTTAAAAATCGAGCTTATGTGGCAAATCTGGACCATTTCTAGGTATGGATATGAGAACTTAGAAAAAGCGCACCAGAGGTGGTCCAGTTGAAGGGTCCCTTGGGGAGTAACTGGTTGGGTAATCATCTTCCTCTTCTTGGACTTGATGTATACTACGTTTCAACGATGTTGTCATCGGGGGCGGCTTTTCCTCACTCACTAAAAAAAAAAAAGAAAAAAGAAAAAAGACCATAGTCAACAACATCCTAGCACAGTTTGTTATGAAAGATAAAGTAAATAAATGTGTGATTTAGCATTCATTCTGCCCCCATTTCTACTAACCAAGTACCATGAAAGGGGTACTCCTACATTGGTTTACGCCAGAGGTGGCCAGCTTCTCCTGACCTATCTAAAGGCAACAAGGTTGAACTTTAAACTTTACAGAAAAATGTAGTCGAAGTGGCCTAAAGGCAGATCTACGACTTTTCTGAATAATACATATGAAGTATCAAACTAACAAGCTCCCATTCAGAAAATCACACGAGCTGTAAACAAATCTTGAGAATTACACTTCTATCCATACCGCCACAATCGAGGATGCACGGTGATGGTATTGTGGGACTGATTGTCCTCATAGGAACCAGCAGACAGGGGGAGGGAGGTAAGCCCTATGAATACACGGATCTACCTGTACAGTGTGTCTTCTAATTAAACTAGTCAGCAAATAACCGCAGGGAACACAGCCTAACATGTGAGTCATGAGTCATTGCTTCCATGAATGCGGTGTCAGAAAACATATCTTCTATGTCCGTAGGGATAGAACGAGACAAGCTCTGCTGCAATAGTTGAAAGACTGTCGTGCACAGCCATGTACTGGGCACCTTAAACGCATATGAAATGCATAGTTTTCTAGATATGAGGTATTTACTACTTCCAGTACCGGATTGGGTTTCAAGAATGAGCCACAGATGTCCAGCTCGCACTTCAGCCTCCCCTGACATCCTCCGTAATCTACACTGCTTCGCTACCAAGATAGACCACAGGTGATGCTAGCTGAAGCATCGGCTTAAATGGGACCTCTGTATATCTACTTGCTCAAGAGCTGAAACCAGTAAAAAAAAAAATTATCTTCAATATATCTGCAACTCTGTCCACTCTCTGACCTGTTCCACTAGAACAATGTAAGCATGAAATTAATGTAGGCTACAAATGAGATGTCTCAGTAAATTTGTGAATGCATCAGAACAGTCTAAAGGGAAAAGTTGTGGCATATGTAAAACATTATGAGGCTATGGGGCCAAAAGCAGACACCAAGTGTTTGAGAAAGAAAAAACCTAAATAAATATTACAAAGGGAAGAACAATTGAACCCTTTGATTTCTGAAATGTAACAGTCAACAAACATAGCAAATCTTAATTTCCAAGCTAAACAACACTGTTTGGCATTGTGTCTGAGAGTGGCAGAGATTCAGAGATAATTTCACGTGGGATTAGTCTGAACAAATATAGCACAAGTGTCTCATCGGGAAGGATTGTGACCTCGTAGTCACCTGCTGCAATGTCCACGTCTCTTCCAAATCTGAAGGTGCATGGCTTTTTAAAGATCACAAGACGGAGGAAAAGCAGGCAACCGGGATAATTTTAGGAAATGCAAAGAACATCCCGAAAAATAAATAAAATAATCAGACATATGAGTAACTTCTAACTCAGTACGGGGGTGTATTTGCAGATTATGTTACAGTTACAACAATCTGCTGTGTTATGACTATTGCCGGTTATTAAGCTTGTCATCAAATATTACAAATTTTTTATTTCAACAGTTTGTGGTTGCAGTTTGGCTGACCCCCATTTAAAATGCCAATAAACGTCAACAAAAAAGCAACAGTTATCGTGTTGGCTTTATTGGAATCCGAGAGAGACAGAGGAATAAAAGGACACTGACGTTCATCGTACATGGACAATGACTGTGATGTGTTCCCGCAGTTTCCTGCAGATCTTTATAAAGTGTTTGAAAGTGACTGGGAGGCAGACTGCACATTGGAAAGCTTGATCTAACAGATACTTGGCAGAGGCTATGGGCTCATGTCTTATCAACTAACAGCAGGTCACTCATAGTAATTACCCAATGTGTGCGCACCTGTCATGTACATGTACAGTGCCACCATCTAATATCTGTACAAAACAGTTCAGCTATACACTGGGCTAGCTCAGAGCTTGACAATGTTTTCTTTAATCTAAGAGCAAGACCTAATATTGTGCCCCCTCCTGGATATATACCAATCTGCCTGTTATTTCAAAAGGCAGGTCACGTGTTAGAATCCCATGTTACGCAGATAATGAAATCAGACAAGCCTTTATTCCCAGTAACCCCTTAAGGACACATGACGGAAATATTCCGTCACGATTCCCTTTTATTCCAGAAGTTGTGTACTTAAGGGAGTAATGAACAGGTAATAATGCTCAGTTCACCAATGTGCAGTTCAAGGGTTATATATGTCCTGTTATGCCCAAGATTTCTGAGTGTTACAATTCCTGTTCTTTGCCTTTACAATGGCGGCAACAGAAATAGTTACCACTCGTACTCCAACTCCCAAGAATCATGGGCAGCACTGAGACATGAATGTGTGTATATCCTGGATCTGCTATAACAGTAAGGACTTCTCTTAACCACTACATTAACACTTACACTAACCCTTAACCACACGGAGCTGCTTAAGGCAATTAAGGAGGAAATGTGTGCGTATAGCATATATCTTCGGTCTCTGTTTATCTATAAAGGAGCCTGCGGTTGTACAAATGTTAGACGCGAGTAACAGGCAGGTATTACCACCAATAATCATACAGGCCAGACAAAATTAAAGTGGTGTGGTGGTGGAGGGGACTGCTGTCTGTATCTATCAGTTCTCTCCTGAATAAACCCTTGGATTGCAGGGAAATTAGGGACTCCTAGCACACCCGGGTCGAGAGCACCTCTCACCATGCAGCCAGTGTCCACACTTCAAGGAGATGGGGGGTGAAGCTGCACACCATACAGGCATACTGCTCAAGTTGGTACCAGAAACCCATTAACCCTTGTTTTTTTTTCTCCAATTTTTAGGTTTTATTGATTTTTTTTATGCAAATAAAAGGTAATCAATAGGGTACAGAAGAAAAAGGAGGGATGGATGAATGGTTACAATTCGTTCGACACAATTCCGCTTTTAGTCACTTTAGTCGCTTTATACATTTGGTAGAGTTCACATTTTGTGCTCCATAACAGCGTATGAGTGTCAGGGTGGTTATATTCATGTTATTAACGGTAGTGTCGACTGTTTTCCCTTCTGCAGTTGGGACACAGTTGAGATGTTTGTTTGTATTGGGTGAGCAATGCATGTGTCTTATTCAGAAAATGCGTGTTCGTCGTTGCATTGGGGAGGATAGGGAACATCAGGGGAGTAAGGGGGAGAACTGGAAACCTGGTATACCTAATTTCCACATCGAATATGCAGTGAGATGTAATGTGGGGAGTTGCGGTTGGGCGTATAATAGTAACTTATCCGTCCCATCATCTATAGCGTAATGGATCTCGAGTGTGCCATCTGAGTGGTGAGGCCCACTGTATTGTAGTGTATTGTGTGATTTGTTTTGTTCTGTCCGTCCTCAAGGGAAATTATTTGAGTTTTTTCACTGTATTGTGGTGTGTATGCCAACTTGCCCACCTTTTAGTGTATGTCTCTGCTTGGCCGCCTAGTCTGTATGCCATACCTTCATATTCTGAGACATTATCGATTCTATTCCATACTTCTTGGGGTGAGGGCGTGTGTGTGGTTTTCCAGTGGCTGGCTATACTAGTCTTTGTTGCTGTTAGCAGGTGTATAATAACATGTCTGTTGTTGTCTAGCAGCAGTTCTGGGGAGAGGCGGAGTAAGTAGCATTCCGGTGTGAACGGTATTTTGCGTATAGTTAAAATTTCCATAGCTTTTCCTATCATTCGCCAAAGCTTGCTCAATAGTGGGCAATCCTAAAATATGTGTCTCATGCTTCCTTTGTGGAGAGTGCATCTCCTACATACATTTGAGACCGAGGGGTACATGTTCGCTAGCTTGGTAGGTACTAGGTACCACCTCATCAGTATTTTACAGTACGCCTCCCAGTGGGTCAGGCTATGTGACATTTTTCTTGTAGTCTGAATTGTTTGCAGCCATACTGGATTGGGGATATTGACGTTTAATTCTGCTTCCCATTGTTCTATGTATTTGTGTTTGCATAGTGGATCAGCGTCGTTTAGTGCTGTGTAGCATAGGGATAGTGGTTTTAGTTGTGGACGTTTGCCTATACAGTATAGCCCAAAGTTTGTTAGTTGTGTTCCATTAACCCTTGTTAATGTAACTACACTCACACATGGAACCTAAACTGTTATGTTTACCCCTTCTATTGACTGGCACTAATTGCATAACAGCAGGACGGAGGTAAAAAAAGTCAGTAGCACCAGCAAGTGGGCCCTGCGGTATTGTACAGCACTTGCTTGTGCCTGAGGGAAACAGTGCTATGATTAACCTCTTGCTGCTACAGAGACACTAATTGCATGCAATCAGTAACAGGCAGTGGAAGGGTTAAACAGTCCGATGCAGAGACTGAAGGGGGCACCTTCATCCAGAATGCTTCATAGCAACGATGCATGTTTTTTTCCCCCCAGTTTTCCTTTGGATAGACAGAGACAAAATTCACAGTGCCAAGTCCAATTTATGGGTTATCATGACACCCCGCCAACTTGAATTATTGACCTATACTATCAATCCCAAAAAACAGAAATTCCAGTTACATTTTATATATGTGGATTGTATGGCACGTACGTTTAAGATATGTGCCATTTTCCTATACAGGAAGTCTCCATAATTCATGAGGTGGAATCTTCGAGTTACTATGGTCACAATCACTCACAGCAAGACCCTGATTTTTACAAAGAAGGGATCCTTCCTAATCTTGGATACTGATCTGATGGCAAAGCCAAGCTCTCTAGGCACAGTAACACTGACAGAAGGTCATTATGCAGCCAGTCACCAAAAGACTACAGCTAGTCGGCAGCACTATGTGCCCGGCCAAACAAACATGTGCATTTCCCTTTGTTTGGGAGGCAACATCTTTTTTCTGTTTACTTAAAATTTGTTTATCTGCCATTTCCTATTTTCCTTGTAAAATGTCAGAGCTCTGTGGCACTGTATCGCTTGCAAAGCTTAGCTCAGGAGCGCCAACAAAATTGTCTGCTAAGAAACTGTAGGCTCTCCAGGGTTGGTAGTAGAGGGGTTTTTATTATTTATCAGAATAATTTAAGGCTAATGCCAAATGTTACAGGTAGAGGGATTAGAAAGGCTTGTTTAACCCCTTAAGGACCAAACTTCTGGAATAAAAGGGAATCATGACATGTCATGTGTCCTTAAGGGGTTAAAGAAATGCAGTAAGACCAAGTCAGTTGTGCAGCAAAAAAACTAAACAATTCTCGAGCTGGGTAATCTACACAAAAAAAAAAAAAAAACTCTCCAAAACTAAATGTAAAATTTTATGCCAAGTCACACCTACACTGATCTGAAAACCATTTCACAAGATTGAGGACTTTCTTTTAAAGATATAAAAGTACAATAAATATCATCCCAGTGATGGTCTCCTTTCAAGTTATTCACAGTCAGAAGCAAACTAATTCATTATTTGTAACGCGTAGCTTGCCCACGGACTGGCTAAGCTCACAAAGGCTTTTATACCTTGTCGCAGATGGAGATTTATTCATTTAAAAAATAATACAATGATTTAATAAATAAACAAAGTAACTTTTTAATGCCAATGAGGGTGAAATGCAAATTAAAAGTATACGAAAAAAAAATAAATAAAATAAATAAATAATAATAAAAAAAAAAGTCGCTCTACTTTAGTCTAAACTACGTGTTACCAGGGAAAGAAACAGATTAGCGAAAACTCCCCCCCCCCCCGCACTTGTCCCTTCAAAACAATGAAAGGGACACTATAGGCACCTAGACCACTACAGCTTTGTATTCCTGGCACTACAGTAATCGCTTTAATGGTGTCATTAGAATCAGCATTAAAGATTGTATGATGACACAGATTACTATACTTAGAGTGCCAGCAGGGCTCCGCAGAGAGGAAAGTAGAATTTTTGATGGCAGCATCAAAGTCTTTAAAGGGATTTTCCAGTGCCAGGAAAACAAACCCGTTTTCCTGGAACTGCAGAATCCTGGAGTCCCCCCTCCCTCCCACATCGCTGAAGGGGTTAAAACCCCCACGGACACTTACCTGAATCCAGCACCGAGTGCTCCGCCCACGCTCCTCCCACGCCTACGTCCGCCTGCAGGGGAGACCTAATGCACATTAGACCTCCCCATAGGAAAGCATTATTCAATGCTTTCCTCTGGGGATTCCGGCGACGCTGGAGGTCCTCATTCATAACGCGAGGACGTCCAGCGTCGTTTAGAGACCAAAAGTGGTCTAAGAAGCCGGAAGTCCCTCTAGTGGCTGTCTGGTAGACAGCCACTATAGGAGGACTTAACCCTGCAAGGTAATTATTGCAGTTTATAAAAACTGCAATAATTACCTTGCAGGGTTAAGGATGATGGGATTTGGCACCCAGACCACTTCAATGGGTTGAAGTAGTCTGGGTGCCTACAGTGTCCCTTTAATGTGTACATTGGGAGGAGGACAGAACAGCACAGCAGCTAAATCAGTTAATCACCGGATGGGTCAAATAAGACTACAAAGAAGTAATCATTAACCATCACCACACCAGAACCATAGAATGTTAAACAACACGCAATTAACCAGTTACCATTGCATGGCAAACAACAATGTTAAATACAATCTGTGCATGGGCATCTACCATTACAGTATTACTGTACAGATAAGGCTTTTTTGATCTACTGCAAAATCTACTTGATCACGGTTTGTCAATTTAATTAAAAAAAAAACTACAGGTAATACAAGCACTTGTTGTTAATAATAATAATAATAATAATAATAATAATATCTACCAGCTCTGTTAAAAGGCGGGTAAAAAAATGGAACCACCTTATATTAATGTCAAAGGATCCATGCATTTATAATAAGGGGAGTGGGGTGTGCGTAGTGCAAAAGGGGTCGATATAAATGTGATGCGGGCACCTTGGGATGAGGAGGGATGCCCGCACTCAGGGTAAGGAGACTGTGGTCACATGTCTGGTTCCCCGGGGACGATGTACCTTGGGGTTCCCTGGGACTGTCCTCGCCATCGATCGCCAGTCTGAGCTGCTGGACGAACTCGGGGGAGTAGACACTGCGCTCCTGCCAGATGTGAAGCAGCCTCTCCAACGGTTTCCGGCAACCATCATCCGCTTCACTGCAAAGGGGCAGAGTGAGGAGAGAAAAGATGAAACGTATTGACAGAGTGGAGGAAGGAAATGTAAAAAGTTGATTGTGTGAGTGGAAGGGAAGAACGGAAGGTATTCGGTAAGAGACCAAGGTCAGGTGGGCTAGTGGTAAGAGACAAAGTACAATAAGAGGGGGAATTTAGAGATATGGAAAGAGATCCAATGAGTGGATACAGAAAAGGGAGTGAGTGTGAGTAAGAGTGTGCAGAGCTTAGAAGATTTAGTAATTAAACTGTACAGTTTGCTTATTTGACACAATCAGTGCCACGTCATCCAGATGCTTTTTCAGAGATTTTACAAACGTTTGTGACTTTCATGCAATAAATGAACAATGCCCAGAGTTTCTGCCTCTCCGTTGCCCCTCTAATTCTACACTCTCTCAGGAAGGGCTTTAAAGTGCTGCCTGGCTCATCTTTGTGCTAAAGACATGACATCAATGACCTTATTAAAACCGTGATTAGTTCATTTCACACTGGGACCTTATAAAGTCTTGCCTGACAACATAATGTGGAATGTAGGTCTTCCCCCAAAATAAAATATAAGAAAAATGGCAATGGGGAGGTCTAATGTTCATTAGGTCTCCCCTGCAGGCGGACGTAGGCAGGGGAGGAGCATGGGCGGAGCACTCGGCGCTGGATTCAGTTAAGTGTCCGTGGGGGTTTTAAGAATAGCGATCGGCCAATATAATTTTTTCAGAGCTGATGCCAATTACCGGTCGCCTTTGAGGCTGATTGCCGATAACTGGTTCTGATAATCTGTACATTTTAAGTTTTGCAAAAGTAACACAATTTCTACAAAAGTATGGCATTAACTGAACATGTGGACCGCAATCACACTCCCATCCCTCTCAGGCAGCCAGTACATGCTGGGATCAGTGAGTTCCCAGCTTGTATAGAGCTGCTACGGATAGGAGTTTGATTGCTGACAGCAATCCACTCCTATCAGTGTCAGTCGTCCCAGTACATTACAGCAGATTACTCACCGTCTCACCTCACTGCCTCCAGCTGAGCTCCACATGTGGGACTCACAGAAACACAAGGTCACGGCGTGGGACTTCATGGACTGGTGGCTCGAGTTTCCGGATGCAGAAGTGGTGACCGGGATAGGTGAGTAAGTTATCAGTAAAGTACAAGGCCTATACCGATTACAACGGTATTATTATGATAATCTGTTTATCCCTAAGACACTTCCTCAATGCAGCCAATGTGCCTGAATAAAGAATGGTGTAAGTATATGTATGAATTCATGCCAGGGACTGCCATATTACCTGGAAACATGCAGAACGGCATCTACAAGAACATTCTCGAACTCGCGAGCAAACTCAGGTCCTTTGCGTTTGCTGTTCTGAATAACATCATTGGCCAGGTATAGGAACGTCAGCTTCCGGCTTGACTTGGCTGGAAAAAAAATAAAGGTACGAACACAGTTAAAGAAAATAGTTACAAAAGTTTAACCCTAAACCCAAATTACCCAAGTGTCATAGGAGCTTCTCTTCACCAACTTTTAGTAGGGTCCAGATTAACCCTGAGAAAGGGGGGTGAAAAAGAAAGAAAAAAAGGACAGGGATATACATGGCTATTGTCTGTGATACAGTTACAGCGCCCCCTGCATGTGATAAAAGATAGTACAGCTATTAAGAAAAACTCTGCGTTTTGCTCAGCCTGGGTATACGCTTGGAAACTGTGCAATGCTCTATACAGCAACAAATTAAACTTACAATTAATAGACAAATTAGAAGAAGGGGAAGAAAAGAAATATGCCTGGGAATCTAACCCACTGCAAGGTGTAAGAAAGCACGGGGCTCTGCCACCACAATGTCAAAAATTGAAAAGCAATTTAGTTCAGCTTCAAATATTCCACAATTCCCATCTGTGATCATTTACAAGGAGTATATGAAAGGAGTATTCAATCAGAAAATGCCTGCTCTCTCTAGATGTGAACGTGTTGAACAGTTCTGGGTTGCTGAAAGGGCAACAACATAATTAACAATAATTATGACGCAAGCACGGTCTAGTTACTGGTCCCAACTGTGGCGGGTACTTGACTAATGGCAATAGAATGACTTGTTTATGATGCCAACTTTTAAAAGACGACAATTAGAAAACTTATCTCTAGGGACCAATCGTAATGTTAGATGAGGTCTGAAGACAGATACCTGACATTAGCAAAAACAAGTAAAATGTAGTTGAACCCATTCGGCATTGGCGTTCATCTCCCATGTATAAAATGTACAATGTTTTACGCTTACACAAACTGTTCTTCTAATACATTATTATTATTACTGGCATTTAGAAAGCGCCAACATAATCCTCTGTGCTGTACAATTGGGTAAAAAGTCAGACCTATAAAAACGGTAAAAGGGGCCTGGCCCATGAGCAGAGATACAGCCATTGAAGCACTTTTACTTTGCTAGATCGCCTGTGCGCTTACAATCTAAGGGTTAAAACCTATCAAGTCTCCCTTACACAGCTCAATACTGTGGAAAAAGCAAAATGTATGTAAAAACTCACTTTTATGATGGTGGGTTATTGACAGATAATAAATTCTAAAAAGTACTACTGTTCGAAATACAGATTTGTATTCCTAACGTTATAGTGTCCCTCTGATCCTCTCCTGCCCCCACCTACCTTGGCAATGAAAGGGTTAAATAATCATTTAACCATTTACCTTATTCCAGTGTTAGTTAGTTAATCTCGGGGAACTGCAGGAAGCACATCTAGTGGCGGTCTGGTTTCTCTAAAACCTCAATGTTTTCAGATGCTAGGTTAAGGGGACAGGGATACGTCACCCAGACCATTTCAATGAGCTGAAGTGGTCTGGGTGCCTATAGTATCCCTTAAAGTTATGTCATATCACAGCTCTACCATGCTAACAAATGTTTAGATGAAGAGCAATTCTCAATGTTATGTATTTCGATCAGGGTGGATAAAAATTGGGGTCTGAAATAAAAACAATAAATACATTTTTAAAAAATATATGATTTTGTTTTGTTTTTTTTAATTTAAATTGGATTTCTGTTAATTAAAATGCTTTTGAAGGAAAAAAAGATCCAAGATTTAAGATACATTCTAGTCCAAAAGGTTATTCTAAATGAAACAGGGATTAGCTATGTAGCACAAGGCCCTATATTCATGCAATATTTAATTTTTTGGTAATGAATTCCATTAATCCAAGTTAATTGAACTTGTGTCTGCAGAGATAACATGCACTTTTTCACAGCAAAAATTGTATAAAATAAACATACAACGAACGTTCAGAAAAGACCTTAATCCCACTGATATTCCGCAAATCGGTGAACACACAATGAACATCTTTCATTTAAATTGTTCTCCAAAAATTTGTGATTAATCTATTAAACTGGAGATCGTTCACCTTGCAATAAAGTCATTGTTATCCATGTTTCCAATGGTATATTACGAAATCTGTTCAGAAATAACTGTTAAACTCATCTGAAAAGTTATTATTGTAAGTATGAAATATTCATCGGCTTAAAATCGAGTCTTACTGACGAATTAAGATTTAAATCAAATTAACCCTGCTTTCAAGGGCTTATTACCAGTAGATCATGAATTTAATATTTAAGGTCAAATTAGTTAAACTACAAGAATCTGTACAAATTCTTCTATTTTGGACTTAAATTTGGAATTGACACTTCTGCACTATCAATGTTAATTTCACCCAACTTGGATGGTGGTGTTGGGGTAAGAGAGCTGGGTTTACCTACCAGCAGAACTTTGAAGTTAATCGTTACGGTCAAGGTTTGAGATTTAGTTGACTAAAACTAAAACAATTCAGATGACTAAAATACGACTAAAAGTAAAATGGCTTTTTAGTCAGAAGACTATGACTAAAACTAAATAGAAATTTGCCGCCAAAACTAACGCTGGCGGGTAAGACCCATGGGGGAGTGAGGAGAAGAAATGAGGCACATGGGAGGCTGGGGGGACACAAAGAGACACAGAGGGGCACAAGAGACAGAGACTTTAATTAAACCCAGGGCTTGACAACTTTGTTTGGAATATAGGAGCCAGCTATTTTCAACAAGAAAGTGCAATTCTTAAAGGGACACTATAGTCACCAGAACCACTACAGCTTGATGTAGTTGGTCTGGTATCTATAGCCTGTCCCTGCAGGCGTTTCAGTGTAAACACTGCCTTTTTCCCGAAAAGGCAGTTTACATTGCTGCTTAGTAACACCTCTAGTGACAGTCAGTCACTCAGATGGCCACTAGAGTCCTGGGTCACTGCAGCACCACGTGCAGCATCCTGGTTCAGAGGCGCTGAATGGTCACCATAGAGATTGATTAATGTAATGCATCTCTAGGAGGAGATGCAGATTGGTACATTTGCTGCGCATGCACAAAATCCTTCCATTGCTTTCCTAAAGGAAAGCATTGCCTTAGCTGAGATCATAAAGATTGATCATCTCAGCCACGGCGAAACTGGCACGGCATGGGAAATGGGAAGAAAGGTGAGTAAAAACACGTGCGGCAGGTGTTTTTACCTAAACGCGTACACTCTGACAGGCTCACACACACACACACACATTTTAGTTTGAATTTAAACCCACTCAGCCTCCCTTCCTGTGTGCGAGGGAGCAGTACTCTGCCTGTAGCTCCTCTCTGCTCCCTCGCGCTCTGTAATTATGCCGGGGCCGGAATGACGTCATATTCCGGCTCCCGGCATCATTACACAGCGCGAGGGAGCAGAGAGCATCTGTAAACAGAGTACTGCTCCCTCATGCGCTGGCCACAATGCTCCCGCGGGCAACCGCCCGCTACCACGCTGCTCAGGGCGACCGCCCGCCTCCACGCTGCTCAGGGCGACCGCCCGCCTCCACGCTGCTCAGGGCGACCGCCCGCCTCCACGCTGCTCAGGGCGACCGCCGTCAAAGCTAGACAGCTGGCAAATCCCAGACGCCAGTGCGAAATTTCTAGTCGCCGTGGCGATCTGGCGCCTGGGATTTGTCGAGCCCTGATTAAACCCATTAGATTTTAGATGTGTTGAATAAAATCTACTGGAGCTTTAGTCGACAAAAACTAGACTAAAACTAAAATAATTCAGATGACTAAAATATGACTAAATCTAAAATGTCTTTTTAGTCAAAAGACTACGACTAAAACTAAATAGACTTGTGCCGCCAAAATTAACACTGAATGGAAGGAAGTGGTCACTGGGTACGTAAAGAACCCTGCCTTTTGTCAAACTGCTGCTAAATGGTTTGATATTAAACTGGGGGACAAAGAGCAGACAAGGTCATTAACCAAGCTGTAGCAGTGATGTTTCTTACAGTACCCCTTTAACTCCAGTAATATCTGTAGGAATAAATGGTTAACAAAAAATCTCTAGCTAGAAATTACATCCGCCATTTTCTGGCCAACATATTCTTTATTAAAACTTTTATTGCAGGATTTAGATTTTTATTCTTTGGAACAAGAAATTGCATTTGTTCTCATAAAAAGGACAACTTGAAACCTTCCTCGCTGTATGATCATAATTCATACATTCTTCCCTGCTGTCCCTTCCTTATATAATAAGGCACATTTAATGAATACGACTATATATATTATTGTAATGGGAAGGTTATGGAATATTGTACTCCATGGGTCGTGATGTCATCCATGTAATTATTCCCCGTAAGAAACAGGTAATAATGCACAGGTTATCACAGTGTGGTCTAGTGGTTCTAATTTTGGGTACACCAGGATATGCACATGCCACTCAGCCTAAGATTACTGGAAGTTGAATGACCGCTCTTGATACTGCTGAGGAGTGGCTCTCACTAATATCAAACAGAGCTGGCATTTGTATTAAAGGGAACCAATAGTCCTGAAAACAACAAACATTATGCAGTTGTCCTTTCCACAACCCTTCCAATGCTTTTCAAAGAGAACACACACAGGGTCAAACACCACGCTCCGCAACAATAATACAGTTTTGAGCTGCATTTGATTTCAGAAAAGCGTTTCACTCGGTTCTGGAGGAGAAAGCAACTCTAGATAATGGCTGTCAGGAAAACCGCCACTAGGGGTGCATTTAAAAGAACACTAGACAGTTAGGAATACAAATGTGTATTTCATATGCTTTAGTCTTCCTGTCCCTAGGTATGGTAGTCCCATCCACTTTGGTACTGTTCAGAATAAAAATGTAAAATAGATGTTTTGCTTACCCTTTTCCAGCACCGAGGACCCCTCGGTGCTGCTTGCCTCTCCTCCTCCAGCGTCTGTCCAATAACGTACTACAAGCATTGCTAATGCGATGTGCATGCACAGTTAGTGTCGCACATGCATCAAGTAGGAAAATACTGAGTCTGCAGTCAGATGACCAGGTTTTACTTGATTACTCCAGATGGATGTGTCCATAGTGGCTGTCAGTATGCCTACCACTGAAGGTTTGTTGAACCCCACAATGTAAACATTGCAGTTTAAAAAAAAAAAAAAACTGCTACATTTTACATTGCAGCATTAAACATACAGGACCCAGACCGCTTCACTGAGAAACAATACAATACATTATCACTAACCATTAACCCCAACACTATCCGAAAAATATTGTGTAATATTAAGGAAGGAAATGCTGAAGTATGCATTAGTGGAAAAGAGCGCCATTTTGTGGGTCCTGAGACATTTTAATATACTACGATCCCCCTCTGCGTATCATTTTATTATACCGTTCCTTTAAAAGGTGAGATGCTGTCGCTTGTCAGAGATTGCTTGCAAAGGTACTTGGCACGTAGGAGCTATTTAAAGCTTTATGCATTTTTAACAAAACTTTTTTTTTTTTTTAAATAAAACATGCAATCTATCCTTTTAAAAGCAATTTAATGATAAAGAGTTATAATGATTGTTTTTTTTTTTTTTACTGGCTGATTCCCTAATAGCCTAATTAAGGAAGTCACAAAATGAAAACCTTGAATTCTAAGCAAAGGACTCTGGTCTCTAGAGCAATATTGTGACAACGCGCACACACAGAGGTGTCAGACGTGTGCAACAAAACAAAACATTCAACGGATTCATTAGGAAATAGAACGGCAAACGAACGTCCAATTAAGTAATTAAGTACTTCCGAGATTGTGTAAATTGAAGAGCAGTAGCGCTGGGTGGTAACGCAGTACTGGCACAGAAAAGAAAGTGGGTGTCAGTGGAGCATGAAAACAAAGGAAAATTAGCAACATAGGAATGGCACAATGCTGGCTGTTTGAAACGAGACAAGTAGACTTAAGGTGATGGCTTTAACGAGCAAATCACGTTACAGTACAAGAGTGAAAGAGCACTTACAAATCCCTGTCTTTTTTATTATTATTTTTTACACTGTGCAGAAGATCTCATGTTATCTCATTGTGCAATGAAAACGGGAATGAGTACCATATTGAATTGGCGCTTCCCTCCCCGCCTCTATGACCAGTCCAGACCTGAAATTAAAAAATAAACAAAAAACAGACCCATCTGCACACAAGACTCTGGGACAGAGGATAGCTTCTTCTCTCGTAGGATTCCTCTGTAATATATTATCCCCTAGGCAGTGTGAGCAAGGGCCATGAACCTGGAAAGTTATGATATAATAAGAATAATAAAAAATAATAAGCTGAATATTACAGGCACTTGTCTTATAGTGCCTGAAAGAGACCGTGAAAGCGTGCACTTTTAGTTTGTGTCGAGATTAAAAATGTAACAGTTCTTCTCTTGTCTCTGCTATAGATGGTGCCAATTCCAACCACCTATGTATATCTGGTGTGTGGGTACCTATTCGGTACTATGTTGCAACCATTCTACAATTTCTGTATGATTAGACATCGCTGGAAGGTTGCATGCTCCACCAATAGCCTAATTAAAACACTCAATCTAGCAGTCCAGTGGCAGACCCCTCAGAAGGACTATAATTACTCTACCCCTTATCGGACTAGGGGTAGCTACCATAGTTACTGCTGCCATGGTAACCGGACCACAGCTACTGAAAGTTAACGTGTGCTATGCAAACATACGTCCAGACGTCAAAAAAATCCAAGTATTGAAAATATACAAAATAGGCAAGAGAAAAACAAGCTACAGAAAACCAAAAACAAACACACTGAAGTTAAAACACTTTGTTTGACTACATTATGCTTAACAGGTAGCTACGACAGTCATGCATGTGCAGGGAGCAGGCAGAGAGGGGCAGAGTTTTACTGCGCTGAAATCCGAGGCTCCCTATCTTTATAGCAGCATAGGAAGTGGGCACACAGGATACTGACCGCAGTTATTACCCAACTCACTAACAAATGCAAACACAAGATTGTGGCTCCCATCCATCACAGGACCAAAGCTAGAAGACCACAACCCTTCGAGCAGACTTATTTGGTACAACCACAGCACAACGAGCAGGGGAAGGGAAGGAGACTTAGAAACAAAATCTATAGTTCATAACAATTAATGTATTCAAATACATATCCTAAATTGTAGCACAAAACATCAATTATGTTTATTATTATTTTTTTCTGTAACTCTAAATAAATTCAGAACATGCACTTTTCAATTCAAAGTATAGAACAACAATGAAAATGTATTTCGTTGTCTGTTGTTCTATATATAATTTCCAACCAGACGTTCAGAACAAAAGGTGCAACGAGACATAAAAGAAAAAAAAATTAGTCTCCTTGTTATATTTAGATATAAGTTTGTCTCAACATCCTAAAAACAAAATCCATATTAGACATAAAATCTGTTAAGGTCTGAGAAACTGAAAGCACAACATTTTAAATAAAAATGCTTTAAAATTACACTTATATAAAAAAATATATTCTACCATTCTACCATCTAAGTTCGTTCTGTTTTATTCACACATACAGAAGAAATCCAGATGGATGGCTAACACTATTATACTTATGATCTGATTTATCTACTAAACGTTTAGCCCATTTATCATGAGCGAGAGTGTAGGTGAAAGTTTATGGTCCAGCATAATCGATTAAATCTCATATTGCATTCATTCTTCCAGCTTAGCCTTGTATTCTGCTTTATTTCCATTTTCACATCATATGCAATGAATCCTTTTACATGAGAACACGAGCTTCTCAAGGTCGCTTGTCAAGGTGTTCCAGTAGGCTCGGCGTTTCACGAGCGCCTTGCGATGCAGTTTGTCAGACTCGGTCAGTCCCTAACACGTACCAACGTAATCATCAACTTATCCACGCAGCGAACTGCTTTTTGGAAACTCAAGTACTCAAACAAGCCTATAACACAGTCCCTGAAATCCACTCCATATACTCAATCATTAGACCAATAACTCTTGCTCTGAGATCATTCTTGAGTACAGATGCCTTGTCATCCTCTGGTTCTGTCCCTATGACCAATGCACTAGTTCTATCAAAGTATTTAACCAGAAGATACATTGAGCGTTTCCCTAGTTCTCAAATATGCCTCGAGGCCTAGATGTTTTTGCCCAACTTCACGGTACTTCTTAAAAGCCAGAGTTGATTTTGTTGTAAATTAACCTGTGACTTTGAAACACCACAGGTGGATTACCAGCTAAATTTTGTTTGTTTTTTCAAATCAACCATAAGATCAAAGTCTGTATGTTTCACAGTTTTTGTCCAAGATTACCGATGTAAGAGCAGGGGAATGGCAATTCTCCATACATCTGCCTTCTCTTGCGTAACCCCTTAAGGACACATGACATGTGTGACATATAAGGATTCCCTTTTATTCCAGAAGTTTGGTCCTTAAGGGGTTAAAAGGTTACTCCAACCAAAAAACAGTGTTTTAATAAAACACTGGTTTTGGTTAATGTAACCCTACCTATCCTGGTCCCCACACCCTAAAAAAACAAAACAAATTAATTTCTTCCCTCTATTACAGCGCTGAGGACATTTTCTCCTGGCCGCCTGATCCTCTTCCACTGATATAGAGGGGAGGACGGGTTGAGGGGATGACACAGGCCGCATAGCCACTGTAAGCCTGGACATGCTAAAGTCAGACGGTCATTATTCACTAAATTTACATTACCCAGCTCAGAACCCTCTTTCAGGGCTGGATTATGATGACCCAATGATGCTGCCAGAGATGGAAATACTCATTACTCTTTGGCAGCAGAGGAGTTAAACTCTGTACACAGTGAAATACTGTACAGATAGACTTCAGCCACAATGACCACATCATATCACTGAAGTTGTCATAGTGCTTGGAGCAACCCTTTAATGGCCAATACACATTATCAAGCACAAAAAGAATCGGGTTATGGCATCGTACTCTGGGTCCCACAATGATCCAGGTTGCAACCAAGTGAGGAAGCAGGAACAGAGATCCATCTTCGACAACACAAATAACCATCAATGCTGCTATAAAAAAAAAAATGTATATGGACATTTCAAGATTTATTCTGTAACACAGAATCCAGTGAACTTGTGGGGCATTAGTGATAGCAGGTGGTACTATTTCTTAGCCTATTAAAAAATAAAAAAGAGACCCCACCCCTTTAAGGTACAGCTGTGCACAGAACCAATCTGTAGAGCAAGGATGTACACCCACAAAAATTCACAATCAAGCCTGTAGTATTAAAGGGTTACACCAAGGACCATGACCACTTGAGTGATCTGAAGAGGTCATGGCGCCTCGAGTCTGTATGTGCAGCATCTCGCTTTGAGACGCAGCACATACAGTGATTTACCTCTTATCTGCTGAAGGTGTAACTCCACTTTCGGCAATGTCACTAGCCAGCCGGGAACAATATCCTGGGCTGGCTAGGGCCAATTCTGTGCAAAATTGGAGTCTGATGCCGGCATGCTGAGATAGAAAATGGGAGCCCCGACCCTGTGCCTCCTCTCGGGTTCCAGTCCCTGACCCCCTACAGCAAAGTGGAGTGACGTCAAGGAAGAACTTGGACTCGTGGATGGAACAAAGTTAACTTATGGCGTTTATTTTTTTTAAGTTTGGAATGACGACAAACTCAGAAAGGCTTACTCTAACCAAAGTCAGTGTTTTAAATAAATACTTTTTGGGCTGGCGTAATCCTTTAAGGAGATCTCGTGATACAGATACAGATATGGTCCTTTGCACCTGGCAGTCAGCAAAGAAAAAACATACAGAGAAGTAAAATGAAGAAATGTTTCTATTCTCCTCTTCACTTGCAATGTTTGCCTTGGCTTTGCCTGGTCTGAACTGGATTATGATATAATTTGTTAATTATTTTATATGAATGTAGAAGAAATTTTTTAAAATAAATGTAAGACGTTGTAGGCGATTTCTCATGGTTTATTAAATGATGTAAATTCCAGATAAGTGACAAGTCCTCTTTTAATTGTCCAATTAATCGAGGAGAGAGAGAGATGTCTAGGACCTTTAGTCCAACTGAAGATAATTGGCAAAGAAGAAAAAGTTCCCTAGAACTGGATTAACGGATAGCCGACATGACAATAAGCACGTCTAATCTTTAGCTCTCCTAACCTAATTCACTGTGATCCATTCAATGTATTCATCCTCACTCTCCTCTACCTGATGGGAACCGACCGGGAGAACATGTGGCATGACAATGCTTTGCTATTCTGATTGAGAATTAGATTTATGGTCACATTCTCACACCGGGGCAGCAACACGGACTACATGGCAGCCTGGCTGAAGCATTTAGTGATGGCAAAAATGTAAATAGAAGTACACAATTATATAGTGAATCTGACTGCTGGTCTGCAGTAGCGTATAGACACCTTTCAAGTAGTAGAATAAGTTGTAAAATGGCCAATAAAAGCAACAGAACCCCTTCATCTCAATGGGTTGCAGGGGTCCTTTAGTTTTAACCCTTTAGTGTAAAACATTGTTGTTTAGTAGATACAGCAATGTTCACAATGCAGGGTTAAATACACCTGTGATGGCTGTCATACTGAAAACCCCTAGAGGCGCGTCTGTTGTAAGAACCCAGTTCTCACAGCCAACTTCCATTTCATTGGACCTGGTCGCACAAGCGTTTTTAGTCCCCAATGCTCTGCCACGAGAAGCATTGGATTGGGCGTTGGTGTGATCTTGCAGGAGGCATATGAAATGGCTGCCGGGATTCGATCTTGGTGCTAGAAAAAAAAAGGTGTAATACCCTTTATTTCAGTTACTATTTAGCTTTAGAGGGAGAACACTGTAGCTTTATAAGGAAAACACCATAGTGTTAGGATTACAGGTTTACTTAACTTTTCTCCCACATCGCATTGCTCTCTCGGAGTCCGAGTTCATCAACCTTGATGATCTCAGCCAATCGAACGCTTTCCAATAGAAAAGCATTGGGAGGCTACTGCGCATGCAAAGCAAAAAAACTGCACTGTGCCAGTCAGACGGTCTCTATGAGGCATATAATCCTGTAATGTAAACACTGCCGGGTTAAAACAAGGAGGGCATAGCACCCAAAGCAAGAAAACTGCACTGTGCCAGTCAGATGGTCTCTATGAGGCATATAATCCTGTAATGTAAACACTGCCGGGTTAAAACAAGGAGGGCATAGCACCCAAAGCAAGAAAACTGCACTGTGCCAGTCAGATGGTCTCTATGAGGCATATAATCCTGTAATGTAAACACTGCCGGGTTAAAACAAGGAGGGCATAGCACCCAAAGCAAGAAAACTGCACTGTGCCAGTCAGATGGTCTCTATGAGGCATATAATCCTGTATTGTAAACACAGCAGGGTTAAAACAAGGGGGGCATAGCACCCAGACCCCATTGTTTGAGATGAAGGGATCTGAGTGTCTACAGTGTTCCTTTAACTAATGAACGAGCGAGCGAGAGATGCCCCTACCACTGCAATTAAAAACAGATTGCACATGCCTTTATGTGTAGGTCACCCTATCAACTTAACAGTCACTCACTACATAATCATCACTTCATGTTTCGATTTGCCTCCAGGGTATTTTATGTACAAAGCCATTATTACAAAGCCATTTAATTTTTGTGTGTGTGTGTGTAGAATACAACTCTCTGCATGTTCCCTTGCTTCCAGTGATATAATACATAATAGAGAGTTATAGCATATTCTGTATTACACCGCACACACAAATCATGATGGATCTGTATGAGTTTCTTGCAGTGGGAAATCCCTTCAATGTTCCCAAGATGGAATGTTAAAGGAACACTATAGGGTCAGGAACACAAACATGTATTCCTGACCCTATAGTGTTAAAACCACCATCTATCCCCCCTAAATATAGTAAAATATTACCTTTATTCCAGTCTGCTGCTGCTAGCTCTGCCCCTGATCTGATGACATCATCAGAAGTGATGATCTGAGCCAATCCCAATTCTTTCCCATAGGAAAGCATTGGATTTGCTGAGACTGTCAAGGAGGAAGATCAGGGGCAGAGCCAGCACCAGCCAAACACAGCTCTGGTCAATCAGCATCTCCTCATAGAGATAGATTCTATCAATGCATCTCTATTAAGAAAGTTTAGTGTCTCCATGCAGAGGGTGGAGACACTGAATGGCAGTACCGCACACTGTGCAGCACTGCCCCGGGAAGCCCCTTTATCAGCCATCTGTAGAGTGACCAGCGGATGTATCTCTAGGCTGTACTGTAAACACTGCTTTTATTCTGAAAAGACTGTTCACTGCAAAAAAGCCTGTAGGGGTGATTCTACTCACCAAATAAATACAATAAGCTGTAGTTGTTTTGGTGACTATAGTGTCCCTCTAATGCAAATAAGATTACAAATTTCCTTTTAAATCACTACAACCTGCCAAAATACTTTATGGAGGTATGTGTTTGAATAGCAACTTTTTCGAAGTTAAAATTAGTTCTGCAACCCATTAACTGTAATACAATATATACTAACATATGTATAACTATGTCAGACCCCCAAAAAAAACTTTTCCTGGGATCAGAGGGGGGTCCTCTATATGTGGGAAGGCAGAACAGTTTAATTAAAGGGACAATCCACTGCCCAAATATGAATATAAGCCCCTCACCCACCTCCTCCAACTATGTAGTAGATAAAACTAAAAAAAAAAAAAAAAAAAATTTGGGGTATAGCTAAAATGGCTTAAAAACAGTAGATTTCAGGTCAGAAGCCTCTGCAAGCCCTCCCCTTCTTCACCATCCATGACTTTATGTGGCTGCCCAATCACAGACTTCCCAATGCATCTCTCAATGAGAAGTCTTTGCACGGCATGGCTCTAAGTAATTGCTGCCTGTTGAGTTTAGCTCCACTGAGCTAAACTAGGAAGAAAGGCTGTTTCACTGACAGCTGAAATAGGGGTGTAGCAATGTTAAAGGAACACTATAGGCACAACGATAACTGTAGCTTAATGAAGTAGTTTTGGTGTATAGATCTTGCCCCTGCAGTCTAACTGCTCAATTCTCTGCCATTTAGCAGTTAAGTCACTTTATATATGCAGCCCTAGTCACATCTCCCTGCATGTGACTCACACAGCCTTCCTAAACACTTTCTGTAAAGAGAGATCCAAACTTCCTTTATTGCTCATTCTGTTTAATTTAGAATTTCTTATGTCCTACTCTGTTAACAGCCTGTTAGACCCTGTAGGAGTCTCCTCTGCATGAATAAAAGTTCAGTTTACAGAGGAGGAGGTAAAAGCGTCTAAAATAAGTTGGAAGATCTGTATGAAAATGCAACAGTTTTTTCATTGCTCTCCGAGTGAGCGAGGCACCTGTGACGACAGAAAGGTGGCGTGGAAGTCAGTACCACGAGATTCACCCCCGTTGAATTTCAGGTAAGCAAATATCTTTATTTTGCATATTGGAGTGCAAAAGGAGGGGGCAGATCCAATTCATAGCACCCAATATGGCATATTACATAGTAAAGGTGCTTCCCCCCCCACAAAGGTTTTTAAGGTCTTGCAGAGTGTTAATAAAGATATAAATATGGGGGAGTTTATTGATATGTGCATGGCTTTTGTGGGAGAGGAAAATAAATACAGGCATGCAATTGTTGTGATGATGAAAAATGTTTAGAAAAAAGATAGATCTTAAAGGACCACTATAGTGCCAGGAAAACATACTCGTTTTCCTGACACTATACTGCCCTGAGGGTGCCCCTACCATCAGGGTCGCCCTCCCGCCGGGCTGGATGGAGAGGAAGGGGTTAAACTTACCTCTATCTCCAGCGCCGGGCGGGGAGCTCTCCTCCTTTTCGGCTAAAGCGCATGCGCGGCATGAGCAGCGCGCGCATTCAGCCAGTCCATAGGAAAGCATTCACAATGCTTTCCTATGGATGCTGACGTCTTCTCACTGTGATTTTCACAGTGAGAAACGCAGAGCCCTCTAGCGGCTGTCAATGAGACAGGCACTAGAGGCTGGATTAACCCTAACATAAACATAGCAGTTTCTCTAAAACTGCTAAGTTTATAGAAAAAAGGGTTAACCCTAGATGGACCAGGCACCCAGACCACTTCATTAAGCTGAAGTGGTCTGGGTGCCTATAGTGGTCCTTTAAATTCTACATGGAAACAAAAATAAGTTAAATCTCTGAGAGGAGGGGGGCGGAGCCAAGCTGCAGAACAGAGAAGTCGCATAGCATTGTAGCTCCTGCAATTTTATGCCAAAACACCCTAACCAAACGACCAAAATCGTCCAAAACAGCCTCAAATCCCAGGCAATAACAGGGGAAACGACATGGGACGGAAAAGCAAAAAACAAAAGCCCGATCAGCCCAGACTTGGCCTCGATATCGGAGCCATGTGGCGACAGGCCCACGGAGCGGTTGGGCCCAAGATGGCCGAATACCCAGAGACATACTCCGACCTGTCTGATGACTTCTCCCAAGGTGAGGACACACTTCACTCTCCCAGTCCACCAGCAGCAAAAGCCACACCACCAGACCAAGATAACGCACCAGTCACCACAGCGGTGCTCAAGGCATTACTGGCAGGCCTACAGACCACGATCCAGGCAGAATTGGCGGGCCTCCACACAGACCTCCAGGGAATAACCGGGAGACTAGGCACCCTGGAGGATTCCTCCGCCACCACAGCTACCCATATCGCCACCATGCAATCGGAGATAAGGGGTCTGCAGAGTAAAGCAGAGGTCTATGAACGGCAGTTCGCAGCACTGGAAGACACACGCAGAGCAACCAACATAAAGGTACGGGGAGTACCAGACGACATGCCGGCGGAGGAACTGCCGCACTTCGCGAGGAGGCTCTTGGCAGCGCTGCTACCAGCACGGAAAGCCAAAACAATAAGCCTGGACGGAGTTCACAGAGTTCCCAAACCGACCAAAGCCCCACCAGCGGCCTCCAGGGACATTATACTCCGCTTCCAGCGCAAGGAAGACAGAGCCGCAACCATGGCAGCGGTCAAAAACCTTCCCCAGTACCCCTTCGAAACCATGTCCCTCTCCTTTTTCACGGACTTGTCCGGCAGTACCTTGGCTTGGAGACGGTCGCTTAAGCCACTTACAACGCTACTTCAGCAACGAAACATAACATACCGATGGCGCCTCAACCGTTCCCTGCTGGTGACACATAACGGGAACACCCATGAGATTCACAACCTCCAGGGAGCGGAGGACTTGCTACCCATACTAGGACTACCTTTAGATGCCATATGTCCCACGACAACCTCCAAACCACAGCACAGGTGGAACCCGGAAAGGGTGAAAAATTTCGTTCTGCGAAGGTCCGGACTCGGCTCCCCGGCTGACAAGCCGCAACAAACTATTGGCCGGGACTGTTTGAACTAACTCCTTGTGACTCTTTACACTACTTAGCAATTTTGCCTAACTTGTTAATTTATACTTCTTTTTACCTACCGTTATGAATCTAATAGTTCATGTACCTTAAATGTTACTAGCTCCTTACCGGGAAGACTCACATAAGAATGCTCCCAGTCAGGCTACTTACCCCACTCCCCCCACCCCCATCTGCCCTAAGCGGAAACAAGATGGTACATCACCCTAAACGGCAGACAGATGGGGTTACGGCACACCCAGCACCTAGATACCTCCCAAGCTATAGCAATACCTCACAAACACAGAGGGAAGAGAACACCGTAGAGCGATACACTGCACCACTGAGCTCAACACCTCTAGGAACAGCTGATTGAAACATAGGCGGATTTACCCCATAGCACACATCCTAACGGAGCAGACAACTCCAACTAGCTAGACACACGCCAGGTATCATAAGACCTCTCCATAGCTATTATCAGGAGCGTATTTTTAGTACATATTGGCCACTCAACGGCTATTAGTATTACCCAGCTACAACATGTGTACTCATTGCGTGTAGTTAACTTAGCGATTGTTAGCATGTTATACTCTATAAATATTAAATGTGCAACTCCTCAGATATGCCACTGAAAGTTTTGATATTGCTCACAGTAGCTGTTGTGGCACTGCAAGCATGTATGTATCCAAATGCACAAGAAAAATAAAGAATTATAAAAAATAAAAAAAATCTCTGAGAGGAGGTATACCCATAAAGTTGTGTACAATAACTATATAAATGCCACTGAACAGACAATGTATTATTATTTATAAAACACCAACAAATTCTGCAGAACTGTATGGGATGACATTAGAATACCCCTCTAGAGCAGATAACGTCAATAGACTTCCCACCATCATCACTTTGCAATTTCCAGTTTAATCTTCAACAAGTTCCAAAAAGTCACTTGGATCACTGCTTACAATATATCTGACTGGTATCCACCTTCGTTCCGGAGAGACCACATGTCAAGCAGACAGAATCGTCAAATTTGTACCCATAACACTCAGTTCCTGGCCTGCATTCCCAATCCCTTGTGTACCACCAGCATCCCATTCCTGTAGACACCCAACGTATAGGACAGTCTGTCAATCACATTTCTAATAAGCTTTCTGTAAAAACAGCTAATATAAAAATACATTTTAATAACTATAATGTGAGAAGTGCCACCAGGTTTCAATAAGACAACTGTACTGTGAAATTTTTATCCAGTACGATGACAATTTGCCATTAAGTCAAGTCATTATATAACTTCTTATATAACTGCATCATCATTTGCATTTGGCATCTATAGATCCTTACTTTGAAAGGATACATACAAAAAAAAATATTTATTTTTTTTTTTTTTTAAATAAACCCTATGGAATTTTACCTGTTCCTTTAAATTATGTCCCTGACATACTAACATCTTAAAGGACCACTATAGGCACCCAGACAACTTCAGATTAATGAAGTGGTCTGGGTGCCAGGTCCAGCTAGGGTTAACCCTTTTTTTAATAAACATAGCAGTTTCAGAGAAACTGCTATGTTTATATTAGGGTTAATCCAGCCTCTAAAGCCTCTAGTGGCTGTTTCATTGACAGCCGCTAGAGGCGTCTGCGTGCTTCTCACTGTGAAAATCACAGTGAGAAGACACAAGCGTCCATAGGAAAGCATTATGAATGCTTTCCTATGAGACTGGCTGAATGCGCGCGCAGCTCCTGCCGCGCATGCGCATTCAGCCGAAGAGGAGGAGAGCTCCCCACCCGGCTCTGGAGAAAGAGGTAAGTTTAACCCCTTCCTCTCCCCAGAGCCCGGCGGGAGTGGGATCCTGAGGGTGGGGGCACCCTCAGGGCACTATAGTGCCAGGAAAAACGAGTATGTTTTCATGGCACTATAGTGGTCCTTTAATAATAGCAGCTCAGTATTCGAGTCACCAAACATAAATGCTATATAGTATAGTATACAAGAGCTATGGGGGTGAGATGTACTTGACAAACATCTGCACTATCAGGATAAGCCATCGTGTTTCTATATAAATTGCATGTAAAGTGTTCTGAAATGTCGAATCTAGCATGGACGTACAGATAAACGCATGCTTGCATAAACATCTGTGTTTGACTTTAGATAAGACTGAGGGTGGGACAAATTAGGCTGCAACACTGAAACCCAATTCACCATCAAATGAAAAGCAGGATGATAAGAGTTTTGTAATTTCTTTTCATTTTTTTTTTTAAGACTGCTGAACTTTTTGCTCTTCACAAACCATCAAGCAGAACAGCAGGTACAATAAAACAAAAAGATTTTAAAAACAAAAATAAAAAAATGAAAAAATAAAAAAAGCTTTAAGCACAATATAAATAGACAGAGCAAATTATTACACAAAAGTATATTATATTATTTTACAAATTTCATCACGAAAAGAATGGCCACCACAACATTCTTGTTCATGCTCAAACTGGCTACCATGTCTTGTGACTTTTTATTCCCATATTGTTGGCAATCACTGACTTAAGTAATCAGGAGTCAAATACACCGTCACAGTCTATAGGGCTCTAAATTAACAGACAAGTTAAAGATGTGTAGCTTATGAAGGTCAACTATCTTAATACAGCAAGACCAGAGCATGAATTCACAATGAAATTGTTATATTTGCAACTGAAGTGGCAGCAGAAAAAAAAAAAAAAAAAACTATATGGTTGATATCCTTTCCCCAAAAATGGGAGATATAAATGCAGGGCATGTAGTTGGGAATGGAAAAGACAAACCAGAAAGGAAAATTGAAGCTGCATAAAAGCAGCGTCCATTGCTGAAGCTGGGTAATATAGCTTCATGGTAAATGGTGGCCATTTTACTTTTTTCGAGAGCTTTATTTGAAGTGTATATCGTTTGAAAATTACCTGTGACACAAAATGGCCACCTATTTACAATACATCACAACATAATTACCCTCTGTTTTGCGGAGGTAAAATGGGCTTTATCAAGTAAACTTTAGAATATTCAAAGCAAGAGTGGCCAAATAAGTAGATCCCTAGCTGTCCGAGAACTAAAACATTCTCTTTACCAGTTGTGTAAAGGGACACTAGTCACCAGAACAACTACAACTACAGCTTAAAGGAACACTATAGGGTCAGGAACAAAACATTCCTGACCCTATAGTGCTAAACCCACCATTTTGGTTGCTTTCCCCACCTTAACCTCTTTATAAAAGTATAAAACTAACCTTATTTACAACGACGCGTAAGTCAGCATGCGCTGGCTCCGCCCCTTTGTGACATCATCAAAATTGCTGATTTTTAGCCAATCCAATGCTTTCCCACAAATGCCATTTTGGCCAATCAGGACCTCAACATAGAGATGCATTGAATCAATGCATCTCTATGAGGAAAATTCAGCATCTACATGCAGAGCGTGGGGACGCTGAACGTTAGTGCTGCTTTTTTGGCAGCACTGACCCAGGAAGCACCTCCAGTGGTCATCTAAGGAGTGGCCACTTGGAGATGTCCCTAGGGGCAATGTAAACACTGCTTTTCTCAGTTTACATGAAAAAAGCCTGAAGGGAGCTATTATACTCACCAACAACATTTACATACAGTATTTATTACAGCACAGCTGTTGCACAGGTTTATACGTTGAGCAACATACCAGAACAATGTCAGTAAGTTGGTCATTTTGGAGCACCTATGTAAGCTATCGATATTTGTTTTGCTTTTTTTAATAAGATTAGGCTGAAGAGTGTGATTTCTCCAAGCAAGATCGATTAAATGTCAAGACTTCAGTTTGATGAGAATGACCTGAAGCATGTGTGAGAATGTTATTAAGGAGCTGGAGAAAAAAAATAAAATACAGGTTTCATGCTCCTGCATCGGAGTACCGAGCTTAAGGAAAATCTTTATTTAGAAATGTCCCAGCAATCTCAATGTAATTGCCACACGTCAAAGGCGCCTGACTGCGCAATCTGCAGAGATATAGGGAAGTCTGTATTAATCCTTAGCATTTTCTTCCAAACTTCAAAATAAATAAATAAAATATTTGGCTGGTTAGGTTCAGCAACTTGTATACAGCTCTTAAACTATTATTATTATTATTATTATTATTAAAATTTAGCAAATTAAAGGAACACTATAGTGTGATGAATACAAACATGTACATTGTTAAAGTCCTAATTCAAGTTCTCAGCCCCTCTTAAAAAAAGTATGTTACTTGCCGCCTCCCTTCCCTCCCCCCCCTCCCCCCAACGCAGCGCCGGTCTCGCCCTGGCTTTCCCCCACCTTGTCCGGCCTCCATAGCTTAGATCACCAAATGTGATTATTTCAGCCAATCCAAAGCCTTCCCATAGCAAAGCATTGGGAGGCTACAGTACATGCGCATCAAAACGCTGTGATGCGACCAATCAGTATCTGCTCATAGAGATGCATTAAATCAATTAATCTCTATGGGGAACGTTCAGCGTCCCCATGCAGAGACGCAGAATGTAAGTGCTGCACACGGTGCAGCACTGACCCAGGAAGCGCCAAAAGTGGCTGTCTGAGTGATTGCTGGGGTTACTAGGCAGTGTTTACATTGAAAAGTCTGCAGGGACAGGCTCTAGAAACCAAAACAACTACATTAATCATTTCTGTCAGTTTTTTCCCCAGACACAGCTAAAGCACACATCGCAGTTAAAGGACCACTATAGGCACCCAGACCACTTCAACTCAATGAAGTGATCTGGGTGCCAGGTCCCTCTAGTTTTAACCCTGCAGCTGAAAACATAGCAGTTTCAGAGAAACTGCTATGTTTCACTGAGGGTTAATCCAGCCTCTAGTGGCTGTTTCACAGTGAGAAGACGCTGGACGTCTATAGGAAAGCATTAAGTAATGCTTTCCTGTGGGCGGTCTGAATGCGTGCGCGGCTCTTGCCGCGCATTCGGATCTGAATTCGGCAGGGGGTGGAGAGTTCCCCAGCACAGAGGGAGCCCGGCGCTGGAGAAAGGTAAGTGGCTAAAGGGGTTTTAACCCCTTCAGCCCAGCGGGAAGGGGGCGACCTAATGACCCTATTAGTGCCAGGAAAATGAGTTTGTTTTCATGGCACTATAGTGCTCCTTTAAGGAGAAGAAGTAGAAACATTGTTTAATTTCTCCTCTTTTCTGTATGCTTTCACTATGCTGACTGCCAGGTACAAGGGACATTGTATAACAAGGATTGACAGGGAGCTAACATGGAGGTGCCCAGTTGAAGAATAAAGAGATGTGGATTTCTGCATTTTTAATTTTTCACACCTCACAAATACATTATTATTTTTAGAGGATAAAGAAACATAATATTTAAAAGTGAGGGTAACCTGTTAAATGAATCAATATATTATAAAGACTTGCAAGTTTACTTTAAAAAAAAAAAAAAAAAAAAAAGTGAAATGCAGTCTGTTTTAGAGCTGCCAACTTTTGATCAATTGAGAATTCCATAGATAAGAGATGGTTCAGACAGTCTCATACAATCCTTCTCATTTAGGATGACTGCTGAACATCAATAGGTATTTTGTTAAGTCAGCTACAGTTTGAAATCTACCTGCTGAACGGCCCAGACCTACAAGTTATTTGATTAATGTAAAGGTACTGCTTTAATGCATTTAGAAATAGCACACTAAAGGTTTCAGAACGTAGAGGTCCCACTGCCAATGGAAATTTGACAGTGTGCAGTTTAAAAAACCAAAAAAACAAAAACAAACAGGATTACAAAAAACAAAACAAAAAAAAATGCATTTATTTTACTACACAGCATTTATAAAATGTAATATATGACCATTTCTAGTAACGGTTGGCCACAGATTCTTTAAAGGGACACTAGAGGCATTCAGACCACTTCAGCTCAATGAAGTGGTCTGGGTGCATAGTCCCAGGTCCCTTATCCCTGCAATAGTAATTATTGTAGTTATTGAGAAAATTCAATAAATTACTACTCCGGGTTAACGCCAACTCTAGTGGCTGTCTATCAGACAGCCACTAGAGGGACTTCCGGATCGTTAGGCGACGCTGAACAGCCTCGCGCTCCGCATTAGAAAACCTAATGCGAGCGTGGTCATGCACATTAGGTCTCCCTAGGAGCGGAGGCAGAGCCCGAGCCAGCACAGAGGGACATTGACGCTGGACTCATGTAAGTCACAAAAGGGGAGACTTACTAGGCATTATAGGGAGCAACAGTGCCAGGAAAACCACTCTCTGACCAGAAAAGAGGGACTGAGAGTCTGCTCCCAGACTTTAGGACCATTCAGAGAGCGCTGCTAAAGTGCCTAGTGCATGCTTCACAACGCGAGTGCATGAAATGATGCGCTCGCACTGTGCTGCCCAGGTAAAGTTCCCTGGTGTTTCTAGATGCGGGATAATTGAAAGGGAGGAAGGCCGGCAGACAGTCCAAAATATTATTTTCCAGGCTGACATGTATTAGTTTAGTTCCAATAAGGATGGTTCTCCTTCCAGCCAAGCAGAGCTTGGTATAAACAGATAGCCATTCTACAACAATTATCAGTTTATTAAACATTCAGTGTAATGACTGGAACCATGGGTAAGGGATAAACTACATATCTCAAACTGCTAGAAAAATGTTAATGGGATTAGTCCAGTCCCAACAGAACAGAATAAAATGTTCCTGACCGGAGCAACTCATTTTGGCGTGAAAGGTGTCCACATGCATTTAAGAGACACTATAGTCACCAGAAATACTACAGCTTAGTGGTGTCTATAGCCTGTACCTGTAGGCTTTTTTTTTTTTTATCTAAACACTGTTGTACTTTCCCCATAGAGATGCATTGACTCAACGCATCTCTATAAGGAGATGCTGACACACCTTCTTGGCAAATATTATCAGAATTGACAATCTCAGCCATTGGCTAAAATAGTCAATCCTGATCACCTCAGCCAAGGAGGCGGGGCAAGGGTGAAGCAAATGCCGGCAGATCCTTGCAGCGTTGGAATAAAGGTAAGATTTAACCCTTTTTGAGTGGAGGGCCTGGACCCTAAATAGTGTTTTATTACTATACACATTTCTATTCCTGACACAATAGCGTTCCTTTAAGCAATGCACCAAGAAATACTTTTTACGATATGTAAAACTTTTATTTAATTTTTACCTTTCATTTTCTTTCCCCAATAAATATGTTGTGCATTATCTAAATGGACCACCAGATCCAGGATTAAGAGATGACTCAACTTCATGAACAAGATAAGACATCGCTAAAGACTGTACTGAAATTATTTGGGGTTGCTTGAAATGCATGAACGTCAAACATGAGTGTCTCTTATGGATTGTTTTGCATTTATTTTAATGTATTATCTATACTGGTTATTAACCTAGAGTGTCTCTTTAATTACGAGGACACTATACAATGGTAGAAATTGATATTCTTTGTTTGGAACACTGGTAATTTATTTGTGAATCAGTCTTTCAAAATTAGTCAACTCATATGATACCATAACCACAGCTCATGAAAGTTACAATTCAACTGTCAAAATGTCAATACTTTAAGGTGTTTTACCCAAAGTGGGTCAGTACATCAAAGGTGTTATTAACATTGCAGACAAAACTCAAGCTTTCTGGAATATATTCACAACCTGAGACACCAAATTAGACAGGCTGGAAAAATAAGTGAGCGGGAGAATTTTTTAAAGTTCGTTTCGAACGTCAAGTTTAGAAGATCTGTGATTACCAAACATGTGCTAGAAAGACAGGCTTGCACATACACTGTGCACTGATGACGCACTCATATATGGGTTGTGTTGTCGCATAATTTTTATTGATTTTTTTATTTGGTCTTCCTGATCTTGTCTAACAGAATGCCTCTGTCAGACGATTGGGACGCGAGATTTAGTTATGACATTGTGTCACTTGACAAACCTGCAAGTTATTTTGGTCTAATATTTGCAGTTATCGTTTGCGTTATGCACTATTCCTCATTTAGTAAACAGACAAGAATGTTACTAGGTGCCAACAGCAACAGTTATTGGGCGGGAAAACGTAATTCCCCTGCATAATATATCTAGAGCTGCACCTATAATAAACGGTACATATCCCTTCCAAACAAAAAATACATAAATATAATACAAAAAACAGAATAGAATTTATGAAGGATTCTTTAGCAAGCCAGGCGTATAACAGATTTACAAACAAACTATATTTAAATTGAAGGGCTGGGTGATAGGATAGATTTTGACCCATATCTGGTGGCTGATAAAGAAATATTACCTGGGAGTTCATACAATATTGTTCCTACTGAGTGCTGGTTTTGGAGGCAATAAAAATAAAAACCGGTCAGATGAAGCCAGCACATGTGTCTGCATTACCAGCAACTAGAACCCACACAGTGTTATTCATTAGAATCAAGAATTAAAAGTGAACTCAAAACTTTTTAAGCTAAAATAGTTGAACTGGAAAAAAAAAAAAAAATTCAAATTCAGCTATTTAAATAAAAAAGGGTAATTCTCCCTCCAAAATATTTTTTTTTTTTTATTATTTTAAAAATAGAGATTCACGTTGAGAACCCGACCAATTAACACCTTAGTGAATAGCTCTGTCAAGTTTGTAAAAAAAAAAAAAATTAAAAAAAAATTATACAAATAAATCACACTGGTACTCAATTGGTTGTGGACTACATCTCCCATGATGCTCTGCAACCCACACAGCAGGCTGAGCATCACGGGAAATGTAGTCCCGTTCTGCTCAGTGCTTGGAATGAATGCCCATGCCCTATGTACCTCTCCGCAGCTCCCGGTGCCAGACGCTCACGATGTTCGCCGCGTGCTTCCGGTGGTGGATCAGCCACAGGGACAGGGTCTGCACGCTCTGCTGCGAGTTACTGAGCTCCGACAGCTTCTTCTCCAGGGCCGGCTCGGTAAACGACGCCATGTCTGTCCGTGGTGGGCCCCGGGCCCTGCACAAGATGGCCGCCTGACCTCTCACCCCCCAGCCCCCCCTCGTCACGTGACCTCCTCCCCCCCCTCTCGAGCGCATGGACGCCTCACCTTGACAACAGAGAGACTGTGGAGCGCCGCGGCGCGGTGATATGACGACACTTCCGGCATGTGAAACCGCCCTATCTACTGCACTATGAACTAAGGGTAAGAGTGTAATTAGCTCTCACTGTCACTGTCTGTCTGTAAACACGTGGGTACACAGAGCCATAGGACATCAGCCTTATATATATATACTGTGTATGGGGGGATATATATATACTGTGTATACACTGTGTATGGGGGGGAATATATATATACTGTATATACACTGTGTATGGGGGATATATATATATACTGTATATACACTGTGTATGGGGGGGAATATATATATACTGTATATACACTGTGTATGGGGGATATATATATACTGTATATACACTGTGTATGGGGGGGATATATATATACTGTATATACACTGTGTATGGGGGGGAATATATATATACTGTATATACACTGTGTATGGGGGGATATATATATACTGTATATACACTGTGTATGGGGGGATATATATATACTGTATATACACTGTGTATGGGGGATATATATATACTGTATATACACTGTGTATGGGGGGATATATATATACTGTATATACACTGTGTATGGGGGGATATATATATACTGTATATACACTGTGTATGGGGGGGAATATATATATACTGTATATACACTGTGTATGGGGGATATATATATACTGTATATACACTGTGTATGGGGGGAATATATATATACTGTATATACACTGTGTATGGGGGAATATATATATACTGTATATACACTGTGTATGGGGGGAATATATATATATACTGTATATACACTGTATATGGGGGAATATATATATACTGTATATACACTGTGTATGGGGGGGATATATATATACTGTATATACACTGTGTATGGGGGAATATATATATACTGTATATACACTGTGTATGGGGGAATATATATATATACTGTATATACACTGTGTATGGGGGGATATATATATATATACTGTATATACACTGTGTATGGGGGAATATATATATACTGTATATACACTGTGTATGGGGGGGGATATATATATACTGTATATACACTGTGTATGGGGGAATATATATATACTGTATATACACTGTGTATGGGGGAATATATACTGTATATACACTGTGTATGGGGGGGATATATATATACTGTATATACACTGTGTATGGGGGAATATATATATACTGTATATACACTGTGTATGGGGGAATATATATATACTGTATATACACTGTGTATGGGGGAATATATATATACTGTATATACACTGTGTATGGGGGGAATATATATATACTGTATATACACTGTGTATGGGGGAATATATATATACTGTATATACACTGTGTATGGGGGGAATATATATATATACTGTATATACACTGTATATGGGGGAATATATATATACTGTATATACACTGTGTATGGGGGGGATATATATATACTGTATATACACTGTGTATGGGGGAATATATATATACTGTATATACACTGTGTATGGGGGAATATATATATATACTGTATATACACTGTGTATGGGGGGATATATATATATATACTGTATATACACTGTGTATGGGGGAATATATATATACTGTATATACACTGTGTATGGGGGGGGATATATATATACTGTATATACACTGTGTATGGGGGAATATATATATACTGTATATACACTGTGTATGGGGGAATATATACTGTATATACACTGTGTATGGGGGGGATATATATATACTGTATATACACTGTGTATGGGGGAATATATATATACTGTATATACACTGTGTATGGGGGAATATATATATACTGTATATACACTGTGTATGGGGGGAATATATATATACTGTATATACACTGTGTATGGGGGAATATATATATACTGTATATACACTGTGTATGGGGGGAATATATATATATACTGTATATACACTGTGTATGGGGGGGGGATATATATGGGGAATATATATATACTGTATATACACTGTGTATGGGGGGGGGATATATATATATACTGTATATATACTGTGTATAGGGGGATACATAGCTTGACCTAGCTATAGCTCTATAAACAGCAGTGGGGGAATGTTATACATGGTCCTCTTTCTAGCTGCCAACATTTCTATGGATAAAGAGACACTCTCATTGTATGGGTGTGAGTGGGGGTAGGGCAAAGAGTGGGGAGTGGGGCTGATTTTAAGTTGATTTAAGTAATCATTTATGCAACTAAAATGTGATTTAGAAGAAGAACAATGTATCCTATTTACACAGACCGATTTCTAAACACATTTATTGTAATTTACAGACACATTACTGGGAGAATTATTGCTGTGGAGCTCTGTTATACACATAGGCACATTACTGGGAGTATTATTGCTGTGGAGCTCTGTTATACATTCAGACACAATACTGGGAGTATTACTGCTGTGGAGCTCTGTTATACACTCAGACACATTACTGGGAATATTATTGCTGTTGAGCTCTGTTATACACTCAGACACATTACTGGGAGTATTATTGCTGTGGAGCTCTGTTATACACTCAGACACATTACTGGGAGTATTATTGCTGTGGAGCTTTTTTATACACTC